GGATTTGATGTTACAGCCATCATCCTAACTGTTTGTACACGAATCATGTCTACACTGTAACGAAAACGCCTAGAGCTCGGCAGCTCAAGTTTCGAACAGTTGAGTGCCAATGAGTGGTGAATCACCAAAGAAGATATTCTTGATTTCGTCAACGTGCCTCGGGATCAACATATGGTAATTGAAGCAGTGATGTCAAGAGCAAAGGGCTATTTCTATGCTCTACTACTTCGTAGTTCTTGTGGACAGAAAGTTTAAAATTTAAAGCTCCAATCGCTAGGGACTAATTGTTCTTATTGGTCAAACTGCCACATTCTCAACGTTTATCTTTCCTTCTAATACCATCCCCATACTCTGTGGCAGCACGAGTAAATCTTTCAGCATCTGATCAACGGGACGGGATGCTAACTTATCAAAGTATATCATTACGTGTGGTACGCGGGGAATGGGGATACGTATTCTCAAACTCGTCTATCTATTTCTTTATCTATGTATGAATCCGTCCGACAACAACCAACTCGAGTCAAGTTCAACCGTCGCCTTACAGAGTAACTATGTGATGATGCTGACTCGCAAATCATGTTGTGTAACATGGTGGGTCTGTCACGTGACAGTGAAAAAAATGGAGGGGTAATTCACAGTCTTGGCAATGGGATAAACCCGGAGCGGACGATAATTGAGGCGAGTAATCCCGGTTGAGTAGCTCTGTGGCTCATATGTGGCTCGTCAGGCACACTCTCCAGCCACAATCATCTCGCCAATCATGAACCTCTGTGCCGTCTGAATCAACGAATGACGGGAATTTTCTCGGAGATCGTAATTCGGCATCTCATGTACTTACTTGGTAAGGTTATCATACCACTTTTCTGGCTTTACATCATACCACGCGAGTTATTTTGCCTGCAAAGAGAAAAGAGCTTACTCCGTCCGTACAGTCCACGCATCATGACAACATTTCCGAAAAATCTCAGAAAAATCCGGGCTTTGAAAAAGGATAGGAAATAAATAAATAAATATGCTTCACATACTTCCACCAAGAAATCGAATTGTATCTCTTGTGAATTTAAATATAAAGAAACCATACTTTGAATTGTCTAATCTAATAAGAAAACAATATAACCAACCCATTTCTCGGGATTTGATCATATCTCCCCCACCTTGAAAGAAAGAACTTCTGGACGACATCATCGACTAACTGGCAGCTTATTAACTAATCCAATTCCACGAACGCAACGAATCAACAATAAAAAAGAATCCCAATCAAACACTAAACACCAAACAACTACAAAAACAAACCAGCTGAATCTTGAAGAATCATCAATCTATTGCTCAAAAGTCTTTGCAAGAATCAGGTTCAATATCCACCCCTCAGTTCAATTCCCAACCTACACAAGTAAATCTACCGATTGCCACAAAAACTCGTCTCACAACCTTCGAACCTACATATAAAAAAACATGAAGATTCTCACCAAGGAAGAAGAAGCCGAGCATTACAATGCCACTTTGAAAGGTGGTATTACCGGAGGTCTCATTGGTCTCGCGCTGGTATGTATTCACCCGCGGTCTCAAGTCCCCAAATCAATAAACGAAGCTGATCAATCTTCCAGGGCGGATCAGCACTCTACGTAGCTAACCGTCGATTCCACACCATTCGCAGCCTCACCATTCCTATGAAAAGTTTCCTCGTCTCATCATCCGGCACCTTCGCCGCCATCATAAGCGCAGACCGCGCATCTCGCGCGTACGAGTGGAACCGCGATCCCTCGCGAAAGTACAAAGATAAATCAACACTCCTGCTCGAACAAGAAAAGGCCAATGAGACAACTGCCCAGCGTCTGAAGGCATGGGGAAAAGAAAACAGATACTCGATTGTGGCTGCATCGTGGGTGGCTAGTATGGGAATAGCGTTTGGGATTGTATCAAGAAACAAATATTTGACCGGAGCTCAGAAATTGGTACAAGCAAGAGTTTATGCGCAGGGTTTAACGCTGGCGGTATTGGTTGCATCGGCGGCATTTGAAATGGGAGATGCGAAGAAGGGAACAGGAAGGTGGGAAACAGTCATGGTGCTAGATCCGAATGATCCGGAACATAAGCATTTGATCCAGAAGAAGATTCACCACGAAGCTTATGAGGGAGAAGATTTATGGCGTGGTACGTTTCTACTCGCTTCACAGTCGTTTGGGTTTATGGAAATATGCTAATGGATCTCTATAGATATGGTAGAAGCGGAGGAGCGCCGAATAAATGATCGCAAGAGGATAGCGGGAGAAATTCAACGCTCTAAGGGCAAAGGAAACAAAGAAGAAAAGAACCAAAGTTAACCACAACTACACTGTGGTGGCAAACACGTAACCCGAGACTTCCGTATTGTGTCCTGAATTCAAATTGGACATTATTGACACATCTGTACTCAATTAGCTTAACATCAAAATAGTGAATTAATGTTATATCTTACTCAGCTTCAAGTTTGAGAAACAGGGCCCAATCCCTCTTCTTCAGCCAAGATCTTCCATTTCCCACTGACAGGAGCATTGCTTAATCATGAAATCCCCAAATCTGGGATTGTGAGGTTGTAGTCCAAGGTTATGGTATAAAAGCCCCAGAGCGTCCGATAGTTCTGGACTGGAAGACTAGATTTCAGCTTTTATTGATCGAAATTCTTTGAATATTTGAATGTAGTTCATTATTTCAATTAGTTTAGAAAACTTCACTCATATATATTATCTAAGATGATTCATTGTTTGAATTGATTTGAATACCTATCTCAAGTAGATACAGGAGTCCAGAAGCTTCGTATTGTTGGACTGCAGTCTAGACTATTGGACGCCCTAGCACCGTCACAGTTCAACTTCCAACTGTCAAAGTCCTCCGTGAATCATAAAATCATCCATCAAAACTGCTCTCGTATGTCCAATTTGGCTACTTCTTTGCACAGAGCTTACGCCTACTGTCTGACAGGTAGTTTGTTTGCCTTGAGAGCACTGGTTGATCTATTTGGCTATTCATTTGAATCCCATATTCTATCCGAAAAGTTTAATGAAAGAGAAACATTCGCAGTTCTTCATCTAGTTGCACTACAGTAAAAGTCTGCGAAATTCGAATATCCTAAAGCATTGAAGCATTGGAGCATTGATGATATATACTCATGTACTCACTCATCGTTCTTGATTCTGCTGCGCACTTAAACTGCATAATTATATATTAATATCAGAGTTGTGCAAGTTACACAAACACTAATATGATAGTGTCTATGAGCAGATACTCCATCTTTCGAGAATCGACACGCACGGAGTCTACATGGGAGAAGTAAGGTCAAAAGTTAGAGCTCGAGATTGCTAGTCGCGGATTTCTAGACAGCAATTATTGATCACTTAGTCGAGAGGTTTGGAAACTATAAGTTTTATTAGGGTATGTCCCGAGCTTGATAATTTTTCCGAAGGAATTGAGCATACTTGCTTGCTACAGTATAAGAATCTCAATCATATCAGGATATTCTAGGTAGGTAGTTGGAGCACCGGGGATAAATAGATGAGATTTTCTCGCTTGTGAATGAAAAGGATTCTAGAATTGACTAATTGGTTTGATTTACGCTCAGTTAAAACTCGCTTCTGGATTTATGTAGGTTGCATAGTTATGTAATGCAAATGTTCTTTTGTGTTTGATGTACGTGTAGCAGTTATTCAGTCTCAGTTATGCATCAAGATCTATATTTCTAAGAATGGAAATCTGAATTCATATAGCTGCTGTTCTCTTTTAGTTTCTCCATTAGTCTCTGCGTAAATATACGTATGGCTTTGTCCACTCTATCATACGGCCTTCAAGACGCTCATTCCTCAATGCACTTCGTATCCACACAACAGCAGTCTCTACCACGATGCATTTACCCTTGCAGCTCTATTGCATATATCTTTCTGTTACCTCAAAATATGCATAAGGTTAGCCTAACTCGCTAATTCCAGCATATCTGCGCAACACCTTTCAAACTGCCGAACCACCTTTCCATCCATCCACCCTCGAACCAGGAAATGAATCTACACCCACTCCAATGACTTTGATAACGAGATGTTTAAACTAGTTTTCTTGTATATTTCATAAGAGTCTTCACTTATGTTCTATTAAATATGTGCATTTTGCAATCTTTAATGATGAGTTATTGGTTCTAAGCATCTGATATTTGCACCAAATCATATATATACTCACTATTTTTGTCATCAAGATGAGATTTCTCCATGTGGAGATGTATCTCTTTACCTTCTATCTATACCATGAAACTTACCCCTGACCTAAGTAAGCTTTTTATGCTGATCCAAGTTAGTGGCGGAGACTTGACTTCAATCGTAGCCAAATTTTCTACTTCCTTGAAACATACCTTCTACATTCGACATTTCTTCAAGGATAATTTTGCTGCACATCTCATTTCTGCTGATGCTGGTGTATAAATAGGCCCAGTAAGACTGTTTTGTAGGTTTTTAATATAATAAAAGCTGCCTGCCATACAATTTCATCTCATCCCGACCTTAAGAGGAAAATTCACGCAAGCAGATTGAAGTACTTGGTACTTTGACATTGTACTAATAAGCTATTAAACTATGAATGTGCTACTGCTTCGCTGTTGCAACCTCATGCAATAAAAACTCGACGCAAAACAAAATATCTGAAGTTTAAGAGCCGCTTAGAGGACTACTATGAATCCATGCCCGCAGGAAACTCGCATCCAGACTCCTTACCCAGTGCCAATAATACAATCTCCCATTCCAAACCCCCCCGAGCGCCGAAACTGACAGTCACCAAATCATCCACAGCACACTTCTCAACCCGGTCACTCACCAAAAATTGCGCGGTGATTAAACTATAACTCATACTTACGATACCCAACCTAGTTGAGAAAAAATTCACGCGCAGCCCAATCGTGAATCATTATTGCCTGAATTTGTCGTCTACGCATCATCATAGCATTTATCCGTCGAGCAAGACTAATATTGTTTATATTATCTGCTGTGTCATAAATCTGGCTACTGACTGCTGATGTGGATGAAAGTTCGGATTGTTGATTCATGGGTTGTGTGTATGTGTCTGTTTGGGTATTGGAGCTGGGATTTGAAGTGCGGAGAGGAAGTAGAGGATTGCGGTTGGAAGTTGGAGTGGTGTTTATGTTATTACCGTGGTTGGTGCTGTAGTTGATGGAGAGACTAGGTTCGGTATCAAGATTTTTATCTGGAGTTACGTTGAGATCTTGATTGGTCGCGGGTGTCAAGGTGCTAGATGTCGTATTCTCATGGTTGTCTGCCCTGTGTTCAATACTTCGAATATAATCTCGCAATCTATGCATTTCCTGTTGAAACCGAGCACCCAGAGCTTCTGCCGATGGCTTGTCAGTTTGTCCATCTAGTCGATTGTTCGACCAAAGTCCTGTATTTCGTTGACTAGTTTGACTGGTGTCATTCTCAAAGGGGTTGTTGGCTATTATATTTGTGCCCTGAAGAGCCGAAGTAAAATTATTCGTGGATTGAACAGTTTGAGACATTGTATGTAATAAGGTGGGAATTATAGGTTGACTGTGCTCATTGATACGTGGTGCTTGTGTACTGGAAAAGGGTCCAGATTACTGATGTCTATTCGCGCCAGGAAAATAGTTATGGGCAAAGCGTCCAAACATCCCCATGGTTGTTGGCATAGAATTCGAGGCGGGAGCATTCATATTTTCATTGGCCGTAGGATATCCGTTTGTTCGGGGCAAATCAGTCATATATGGTGTTCTTGTAGGTTGCCCATCAACAGGACTTACAACTCGGCCACCGAGAATGGACAAGCCTTCTTCATTATTTTCACCGTACTCTATGACATTTTCATTGTCTGTATAAGGATGAGTGACTCCGAGTGTGTGATCAAGTTTGTCTTGTGTGCAGTAACAAGTTCTCCATGTGGCGTTGCAGCAGTAGCAGAACTGGTGACCGCATTGACATCTTGGTTTCAAAGAATCAGTATATGTTGGAACAATGATAGTGAGTATAGAACAGAGAGTATTTACTTCATCTGAGCACAGCCCTCTGTATGTTCAATCAAAGCACCGCACTTGGCGCAACGCTTCCACGAATGCTTCTTAGCTTCCGCCAGCACCATCTCAAGAGCTTCATCAGCAGGACAATCTCCCTCGTGCCATTTTCCCTTGCATTTTACACACGACACTGTATCGCACGGTGATTTGGTACAAAAGGCCTTATTTCCTTGGATACTCTTCTTGGTAATGAAAGCCAAACAATCCGTATTAGCACAATAAGTACGATCAGTGCTTCCATACTCTTTTGCTTTGACTTTGTAGATTCGGAGAATATTAGCAGGTAGTAAATCATAAATTTATGAGAGATCCATAGCCTGTCCGCAGCATTCGGCAGGGAACAAGTACTCCGCGCGTATGGCGAGAGTAAAACGGGCTTTGATACAAGAGCTACAATATACGCAACCGCACAAAAGAATGGCAGCTTTTTGAGCATCCTGTTGTTCCTCGCAACAGATGGTACACTGGAATTGAGACGTGGAGCTTTTACTGCTTGATTGCCCGTCGAACATCGACTGTTCTAGATTGTCTGGAATTCCGTATTCATGATACTTGTCTAAAAGATAGTCACCGCCATCTTTAATGCCATCGAGACTGTTGGGATGCCTAGAGGAATTGGGGGATCCGGTATATCTATGCCTGTTAATACCCATTCTTGGCTGATATGCAAGCTTGGAGAATAATTACCATCTGATTCCGGGGGGTTTTCCATATCAATCGCATCCACTTGGGGCTCAGGTGTTCCCTCGTCTTTGATATTGATGGTAGGAGGAGCGGGAAACTCAGATAAATTGGCATTGTTGAGATATCCTGGAGAAGCAGTGTCGCTGAGAACAGTTCTTGTACTGCCTGAAGTGAGTGACTACAATACATGTGAGCAAAAAGTCACGAGGAAGGAAATTGAGGTGGTCCTTACATCTGCCATTTAAATGTTAATCCCATGGGCAGAGGTGGTATCTGTGCTATGCTGTGACAACGTTAACCTATGTATTAATATATGGAGGAGGATGATTGGCGAAAAGGGCTGTAAAGTAATTTATGGAATATCACATCCAAAAAGTTGGCTTACTCGAGAGCATTGAAAGATTGAACGAATCTTTCTTAAGGATCTTTCTTTGACAATCTTGTTAGAAGCTGGACTCAGGGAGGACGGGAGGCTGATATTCATTCAAGTCTAGAAGCTACTTTTGGCTAGCTCAATATCTAGCTCATTATCATACAGCTATTGATGAAATATGTGTATAGAAATTAGATTCTTACCGGCTAATAATATTTGACGGTATAGCTGCAATCTTTTTGGTGAATGAATACCAACACCTTTTGAGAACCTCAGACTACATCAACAATGAATGGGATGCGCCTTCCACTTGGTTCGATCTAAAACAGATACTACTACTCCATAGTATAATCTGTAAACTCTATTTACCAGAGAGACGGTTTTCTACAGTGTAAGTGATTTATTTGTCAGCACTTAACTAGCCAAGTCAGATCATCAAAAATTCAACCCTACACTCAGTATTATTTTCCACTTGAAAGCGCAACAAAACAATTGTTTCCTTGCTAAATTTTGCTCGCCAGCCAGAAACTTCCAATACATAGCTCGGAAATTTTCAAGAGCTGGTTGAAAGTTGAGGTGATAGTCCAGAGAAGAGTGCCTTCAATGTGGAAAGTTAAAGGAATAAACTGCAAAAGGAGCACGTCAAATACGCCCCCAATAATATCAAGAACTAAAGAAATTTTTAAAGAACAATACAATTTCCCACAATCAAAATCGCAACGCCTACCTCGCATAAGAAGTTCTCTGCCTCCCTCCCCCCTCCTCCCTCCCCCCTCCTCCCTCCCTCCCTCCCTTCAACTCAGCGAGGAGATCTCAGAGTCCGATGCTCCTATACAAACACTCGACCCCCAATCCGAACTATCCGAATAAAAGCATTTCGCAACAAACCCTAAGTCCCATAATTTACCTCTTAGCTTCACCCACTCCCTGCTCCCCTCCACCGTATCGTGATTCCTTTATGCTAGCGCTCAAAAATCCACTCAGCCCTCCAGGTGACAATTATAGTGCAAGACAATTTGGTCAGAAATGTTGCATCAAATTCGGAGCCGGATCATCAAGTGGGAGCGTGTAGGACCATAGTGAAGATTTCACAAGTTCTATCTAGTCTGTATCTTGTGATTATGATAAAAGCACCCCACCATCATGAAGCGGGTAGAAACAGGTATTTTGGAACCTTTGTTCTTAGAGATATTGTTGTCTATGTAGAACAATATTGAAGATTCTACTGGAGGCGGGATCACTGGCAGTAGTAGTCTCCATACCCACTCCGGACATTTGGCTGTACCTGACAATAAAGTTCCAAGGATGTTAATATTAGAGTAGAGATAATGTTATTTGTTAATAATTGGGATCTTTAAAGTTTGAAGTTTGAAGTTGTCAGCTGTAAGATGGTCGATGTCGTGGATAGAGTGTACAAGAACACCCCACATGCTCTTTCCGTGGTAAATGCATGGTATGGCCACCAAAACAGAGGTAGGAATGGTACCTCCTGCCTGTTTTAAATCTCCTTCCTCAAGAATACAGCATTCCAATACCATGATTTTCCCGTGGAATCAACTTTTGGACCAAACAACTTTTCCACATATTTATAACCTTTATAACCTCTCCTCTCATACCATTCTTGATTGGAAAACCGGGTGAAAGTTAGCATGTAAGTATTACTAAAACTCACTCTCTAACAATAATTACGAGAAATACTTACAGGTGGAATTACCAAGCCTAGAGCTTCGTACTTCTCCTCTCTTCCTGCATCAACTTTATCAATCGTATTCAAGCCCAATGTCTTCGCGCACAATGGTTCGGAAACGGCCAAATTCTCGACAGTATCCATAGCTATCTTTCCTAATCCTGTTCCTTGAAGAGCACGAGAAACATAGAAGTTTGATATCCAGTAGAATCCTTCGGTCTTTGGGACATATCCGAGATTCAAATAATTTTCGGATGGAGGACCTAGACAGATATGTCCGATTGGAATGAAAGATCTCTGTGGTGAGGGAATATCTCGAGGTTTTCCGCCAAAAGAAATTGCAGTGTCAAGTAGCGGCTCTTTTTCTTGGGGATGCTCCTCGGTATGCTTGAGTATTTTGGCATCTTTTTCGAGATCAGAATCTGCAAGAACCTGGAAATTTTAGAATATGGAAACAGGAATTGGTGTGGGCAAGTATATTCACAATCCATTGAATGTTGAGTTTTCCACTCTCTTGAGTTTTCCTCCATGATTCGACATATTCATCATCCCATCCGCAAGTGATACGTTGTTGTACTAGTCGTTCAACATGTTGAGGAGAGGTGGGATCCCAAGGGATTAGATCGATTTTGGGTTTCGAGGAGTTAGCAGGGTCGATGGATACCATTTTGATTTTTTTTGAATGAACAATGGAGAAGCAAAAGGGTCTATCATAGCCATACTTATAACTTTCCCAAGCCAACTGTTAGATCCATTTTGGATACTAGTTATGTTTCGTCACGAGAGAGTCGTCTGCTGAATGACAAGTAGTCTTCAACCAGGGTCAAAGGGCGTAAAATACATGAGGGTTCGGGGGCCAAGTAGCTTTGCTTAGATAGAGGTTTCTTCAGGCATCTACCACCGTATGAGAGACATGTGAATCTTCTTCCTGAACATATCCTTCGGATATAGACGGATGTAGATGTTTGTATCTCTATTGAATTCTCCATTTAGAACTGCTTGTTGTTTTACCCCACCTCTAAAGCAGTGCAGTACACTTCCGAACGATTCCTCAATTTAGTATTGTATCTAATGCTCCTAAGTATTGCAATTGATTTAAAAAACCAGAGCAAAAAACTACAACTCAAATACCCGATCAACAATCATCTTTAACGCCGACCGGGCAATGTCAGCTAATCCGCGAGTCATTTTGAGCAAATGTTAGACTATCACGTGATGGCCAAATATTCACAAGAATCCACAATAGATTCTTAAGAAACCTTTACCACAACAAGTAAACCTCCATCATCAAATCAGCCAATTATGGCCTGATAGTCGTCACGGCCTGATAGTTCAGTGGTAGAATTCTTGCTTTGGGTTATTAAAATCTAAATTGTAAGAGGTCTCCGGTTCGATCCCGGATTAGGCCCTTTCTTTTTGCTTTTCCTATACCTGAGAGATGTTGTAATCAGACAGCTATCTTCCTGCATTGGTGATTTAGGATATAAATTTTTTGCTTTTGTTTTGTATTTATTTGGTTGGTTTGTTGTGTGTGGGTGATTGTGCGGAATTGGGAGCGGTTGCGACGGCTGTATCGGATACGGGCGGATGTATATTTTAGAATTTAACAAACGGGGAATTTTAGGCATGTTTTCTGTGTTTTCTCAATGATAGACAAAATAGTATGTATATTGATATTTATTCATGGTCAATAAGTAAACAAATAACCTAGAGATCTGGAATCCAATAGATACATATTAGAATTCCCAGACGTACTTCCACTTTGTCTGCCCTTGAACTACTTACCTACTTTGCTGTTCTTAAAGGACTAGTCTGCAATGCAACCCCGTGCAATGGAACGAAGCTCTGAGTTATAAATCTTACAAGATTTGCTAAAGATGTACCGTAGATTGACCAAGAGGTGGAACGCCGGCCTGGCACACTGATATTTGCTCAAGAAAGATATCATAGTTACTTACCATCTGCGTTATGTCCCACAGCGAAGCAAGGCCAAAGACGAGAGACTTTCCTTTTCTAGCTTGTCTAACCTGGAGCTCATATCGCGAGAAGTTGTGGCTTAGTATATACTAAGCTCATATACGATGTTCCCGAAAGCCTTTCTTTCATGCATTGCCAAATCCTCAATATACGCTTGACGGCTTGGGATAACTCATTGTGAGACTTCGGCTTAGACCATCTGAAGCAACGCCAGAATGAGCAGATACCGGAATCTCCAGGGCTTGTGACCTCAACCCATTCTTTGAGTGCGACAGGTCCAATATGGTATATCCTAACGCCGTCACCTTGGTAATAGGCAACGTGAGTGAGTCGCAAGTAAACTAAATCTTCATGCCCGGCTTTTCCCATCCTTCGACAGGTATTCAAGAGCGTAAAATCCTTTGGAGTTGAAAACCAGGTAACTTTTCCGTGTGGACTTAAATGTACGTTGGGCAATGGTACATTGTTGCCAGTTATAATGGAACAGGAATGTCTTGCAGATTCTCCCCAGAAACGTTCCTGAAAGGGCAGGCTCCTGTAATCCAAGATCACAGAACTGAATGACATTTCTCCTGGCGAGAAAACTTCAAAATGTGTCATTGTGCAAGAAGCAGCTTTGTAGATATTCAATCATCATAGCCACCTGGAACGCCTTCTTTTTGCTATGTATTGACTGATACACGGCATCGGCTCATATTCCGAATGCTCTCGTGGAATGATGGATCTGGTATCGCATCCAAGAAATCGATGTAACTGAAATTAGATAGACCAAATCTTGAGAGATAGAGGAAGGAATTAATTCTCTATGTCTTGTAGGGAAGTGGGGAAGGCTTTATTTGCTAAGCAAAATGGACAAAATGCGCACAGGTACAGTACTCGTATAAATCTGGTGATTAATTCCAAAATTCGAGTATACAGGGTTTCGTGCTTTGAACTTGGAGTTCTGGAGATATTATACACTTTACCTACCTCGATAACAAGTCCGGTGGAATAACACGTGCGCACGTATAATTTTGAGGTGAATTCTGTGCTGGAGTAAATTGATTCAACAAATGAGTCGAGAAATGAGTCCAGGTTGTTCTTTATGACTTGGTGGCGGCATTGACAACCCAATGGCATTACCGACTCGCTTCCAAAGCTTTCTTTGAGCATCCCTCTTTTCTCCGGACCCAAACTCCGAACGTCATAAGCATCGTCAACATCACCAACCTAAATAAATAACTTTGCCATCCATAAATTAATTTCAATCAATACAGCAATCAAAAATCAACAACCAAATAACCAACCAGCAATATCTACGAAACTATCAATTGATAATACTACAAAGGCATCACGATCATGGCCTTTACCATGCGCCAACCTTTCAAACTAACCAGCTCGCTGGCTATAGCTTCAAAAACCGCATTTCGATCCACCCCCGCGCGAGCTTTTCATTCCAGCAAACCTACAACCTCTTTCTTCACTTCACGCACCACATCTCCCACCAGTACTCTTGTCAAAGCTCGAAATGCATTTAGAGGATCGAGAACATATCTGCAACAGCCAGCTGCTGTGCAGAATCCAAATGGTACCTTGATGCAGAAATTACTCGTGGGTGGTGCTATGTTCGCAGGAACATTATTTGCTATCAATATGGTATGATATCTTCTCCTTCCTCCTCAACTTTATCATCTTCCTATCCAATTAAATACAAGAAAACTAACAGTCCCGCAGGTTTTCAACCGCGAAACCCGTGAAGATGGCGGAATGCCCGAATACGAACGCAGTTACCTAAATGACACATTTATGCACACAGGAATCGGTATTGGAATCATCGGATTATCTGCGCGCGCAATGTTTCAAAGTGGTTTTATTTACAGATTGATGGCTACTAATCCGTGGGTGGTGATGATTGGTGGTATTGGTTTGAGTATTGGTACCATGATGGCTACTAGAGCTACGGATCCTAGCAAGTGAGTTTTGCCCCTCTTTTGATATTGACTGTTGGATATTCTGAATTTTGAATTTATATGGGAGAGACAAGAAACTAATATGTAATAGTTATGTTCAAAAATACGCTCTCTGGACCGGCTTTAACGTAACTCAAGCCGCATTTATCGCTCCTCTCCTCTTCATGGCGCCACCCGCCATCATCGCTCGTGCAGGTCTCTACACAGTCGCCATGATGGGAAGTATCTCTTTCGTCGGCGCAACCGCCAAACAAGAAAAATACCTCTACCTCGGTGGACCTCTCCTCGCAGGAGTAGCCCTTGTTGCCGTTTCCGGATTTGCTCCCCTTGTCCTCCCAGCTACAGCAGTTAGAACTCTAGCTTTCACTGAAAATATCTTTTTGTGGGGAGGTCTTGCTGTATTTGGTGGTTTCACTCTCTATGATGTGCAAAAGATTTTGGCACATGCGAGGATGGCCGAGAGAGGTATGATGAGGAGAGATGCGGTTAATGAGAGTATTTCCTTGGAATTGGATTTCCTGAATATCTTCATTAGGATGGTCCAAATTTTGATGATGCAGAATAATAGGAGGAAGTAAAGTGGGGTTGGTTGTGGAATAGTAGGAGGAAGTAGACTGAATTGGTTGTGGAAGAGTATAATGAGAAATGGAGAATGTCACCTTAGGACTTGATAACACCAGGGAAGGAATAAGGAAATGAATGATACGGCGGGGACACATGTAGCAGATGAGGTTTCATTAAAAAATAGCTCTGCTCTTTGGGATGGGATGGGATGATGGTTAGGTTAGGAAAGTCTACGGACTATTTCTTATACAGTTCTCCTCTCCTTCTTTTGGGATAAATTACTGGGAATTTGTCTGTTAGTGGGTGGGTAGGTAGGTAACATATTAATCAAAACAAAAGAGAAAAACAAAAACAAAAACAAAATATTAAAATATTAAAATCAATACCGATACTTGTATTAATCTATGTCTACCTACTGTATACCAATATCTCTGTCACGATTCACCATTAGGATTAGTGTCTTGGGATGAAAAGGAATCACGTGATAAGGAGCCCTGAGGAGCCAGAAAGCTCCTGGGGGCTCCCTTTATCGATCATTATATAGTCAGAGTAGTTTCATAGTTTAGGAGCTTCGTGCTCAACTTAGTTATCAATTAGTTTACCTACATTCTCCTTGATCTAGTAACGACTTCACTTCCAAGTGAATACCAGTGATAAAGCCTTAACCTACAACTACCAACCAGACGAAACCTCAGGCAGCCGCTGCCTCCAGTACAGTATCGTTACAACCTGCTAGGTACTTAGATGTATATCTATATATTATATATATATATATATATCTATCTAGGTATCTATCGATCTGATCTGATCTAATCAGATCAAATAGAGTAAAGATGGATAAATAACTAGATAATTGGATGAGGGATAATGGATAATAGATAAACTCTGTTTCTATACATACATACATTAGGATTTATATCGAGATCCCACTCTTCTTCTTTTTCTCTTCTCATATTCTGTATATGTACCCATTTCCTTATCTCTCATCTCTCGTCAGGAAATGATGTGATATGATATGATATGATAGATAGTTTAGCATATACCGACCGCTATTTTCCATCTAATCAAAAAATTTTGGTTCCTGATGAAAAAATTAAACTATTCGTATCAATTCATATCAATTCATATAAATTCATATCAACTCAAATCCCATCAAATCCCATCAAATCCCATCAAATCCAATTCACCCAATCCAATCCAATCCAAATCATCGTAAGCCCACCCCAGGACCACTCCTCTTCTCGACCCAAAAAACCAAATTTCCCTTTCCCATCCTCGGTACTGGACTTTTAACCACAGTAGCAGCAGCAGCAGCAGCACCCCTCATACTCCTTCTACCCGTCGTAGTTGTCCGTAAAGAACTCCATCTCGACGCCCACCTTTCTATTCCACCACTATCTAACCAATTCTTTAAATTTTTACACTGACTGACGTCGAAAATTTCAAGTTTGCTACAACCTTCCACTACGGCTTCTACACCTACTCCTGTAACTCTTACACAACCTCGAACTGAAAGTTCTTTTAATTCAAGAAGATGGAGACCTATGGATCGAAGTGAGGAGTCTGAGACGGCGGAGCCACAAAATGAGAGTTTGAGTGATTGAAGAAGAGGGCAGCCGAGACTTAGGACTTCGGTTGCTGTATCGGAAAGGGCGCAACAGAATGACTAGATATTAAGTTAGTAAGAAAAGCTGGACAGATACAAAAGATCAACCTACCAAATCTAATTCTTTCAACCCCTTCGCCGCATTCGTTAAGTAAACAATAGCATTATCAGTCAAATATGTGCAATCCGCCAAAATCAACTTCTCCAATCTAGCAAATTTGTAAATACTCCAATGCTGAAATCCATTATCGGTAATCGTCGTACATCTTGTGAGATCGATACTCTGTAATCTTTGATGCGCATGAACTGCAAGATGCGCCATTGATCGATCGGTAACATGTTTACAATACGACAGGGTGAGACGTTTTAGATTTGAACATCCGACGACAGTTCCGACTGGTGGGATGAACGTTCCTGCTTTTTGACGAAGGGAAGCTTGAGGAGCGATGGGTTCGGTTACGACCCAACCGACGATGCGGGCTAGAAGATTATCCGATACCTTGCGACAGTTGGAGAGGTCTATTTCTTCGAGTTCTTTGGCGCTGTTGGCCATTTCTAAAACAGCATTGGCAGTAATGTCCCAGACTGATTTCATTTTCCAGATTCGGATATTAGGGCCACATTGTGAGTAAATTGCAGCAAATCCTTCATCGGTTATATGGAAGCAATTGCTAATGTCGACGCTTCGAGCACGATGCCCAACAAACGGACAAATGTATTCAACGAGTGCTTTGTTGGTGATTTTGCGGTTGTATAGGGATAGATCAAGGTTTTGGCAGACATTTGGCGAAGAGGTTAATAATGTTGACCAATGGAGAGATACGAGTCGTAATCTCATCAATTGGTAAATGTCTAGAAATGAGAAAATATTGATTAAAATTGCATCTGGTAATATACCCTGGCTAAATTGACTTGGGCGCCTTTCGAAAATTTTAGGCCTTTTTGGTCGGAAAGCTGATTCTGGGGGAGTGATTGTATGTGATAGTTTAACAGGTGTTGGCGTTTGAGATCTAGATCTAGTTCTCGGACCAGAGGATCTATCATCCGGCGGTGGAGTTTCAGGAGGAGGAGGTGCCCATGAACCTCTTCGTGATCTCGCCCTCATATTATCCATATCCACACTAAGGAAAGGATCTGGATCTAAAGGTTCCATCACTGCCCCATTATCCTCAACACGACTAGGCTTATGAGGACTTGCAGGTTTCGAAGGAGTGAATGTGACTTGCGGTAATGTTTTCCTTCTCTGATGTTTAGGACGGCCGTTATTAATGGTAAGATCGTTGATAGCTGGGGAATTGGCGTCACTCATAATGACATCTTCGTCTTCAGGTCTTCCAATTCGAGTTTTTGCTGTTACCTCTACTTGTTTCCGTATATCTGGTGAACATCTTCTCCATAATTCTTCAAGCACTTCCCCACTAATCATCAGACATTCTACAGAGGTGATGGAGCGTACAGTCGCTGTCCTCCGCGGTGCTAAAGACAGACTGACAACTTCGCCAAAATATTGCCCAGCTTTTAATCTTGGTCTTATGTATGATCCATTTGATCCTTGAGGTACTTGTCCATTATGTCCATTGGAACTTTCGTGTATGACTTCTGCTTCACCTCTCACAATGAAATAAATCTCATTGCCAGTCGAACCTTGTACGATGATATCCGTAAATGGTGGGTATGCCTTTGGCGTGGCACTCAAACCAAGAAAGTGAAGTATTTCTGGCGGTAAAGTTGAGAATAAAGGTAACTCCTTGAGTGTTTTCCTGACATTAACCAATCCACTACCCAGCGCACTGCCAACCGAAGGATCATCGATTATGCCTGGACTTGGAGATTTTCGCTTTTTCTTATTGATGACCGTTCCATTCTCGATGACCCCTACCTCGCCAGTAGAAACTTCACCTGGCGCAGCTTCTCGTGCAAGCTTTCCACCTCTGGAAACAAGCTCAGTTGAAACCAGTTTTGGGCCAAACCCACCTTCCCTTCTCTTTTTATTAAGAATAGTCAATCTCTCTTGTGCCTCTTCCATAATCGCTTGTTTCATCTCTGGAAAGTTTGGGAGCTCAGCTCTCAAATCTTCTTTCTTCAACACCACCAATAAACACTTCGTTCTTGCTATAATTGTCGCAGTCCGAGGTACATCCATTAAAATTCCAATTTCACCAAAGAAAGCACCAGGCCTTAACTCTGCGTATGTAGCTTCTCCATCTCGGGATGTGACCGCAACAGCCCCACGTACCAACCAGTACATTGCTTTTGCATCATCTCCTTCGGTCAATATATGATCATGAGGTGAATGAACCTGCGGACGAAGATGTTTTCCGATTGCCGCAAGGAATGAATCAGGAGCCGAAAGGAAAAGAGGAAAGGAGCGTATTCGATCGAGAAGGTCGAGTGGCATATCCGGGATTGTCGAAGCTGTGAGGGGAGAAGGTCGTACTGGTCGAGTGGGATTGGTTTCAATATTGAATGATCGGATCAAGGATAATGAGTCTGGAATAGGTGCGCCATTGGCCCTGAAAGGGCCAGCTCCCCGTCGACTCCTACTCATGATGTTGTATGTGTATTTAGCAAGCTACGATTTCGCAGAAGCTCATGTGGGTACCTTGCGGCCTAGTGGCCGTTCTGCATGTAGATTTGCCAATGTGGGCAATATTAAAACGGTTTCGATTACTTGTGAGAGATTTCGCTATGCAATTCGCAAGTTCACCAGTTTCGAACACCACAGGGCAAAGAGGGAGGTCAAGGAAATTCGTGGATGGGCAGCTCAGGTTGTAAATGTTCTCGTGAGGGGATTGCGATATGTACAGAGGGTTTAGTTCAAATCGAAAAGTTCTTTGTTTGCAGATAATATAACGGGTGAAAGTATCGTGCGACAAATCTGTGAATTACTCAGTCAGCTATTACATATATTATAAAGGCATTGGATATATAAAAGAAGTCCAAGACGCTGGGTGGATAAGCTGCACAATGTGTCAGAATAGATAGATGGGCTTACTATTTCATTCCTAGATCATATAATTGGAGGGGTAAGGGAAGGTTCCTCTTTTCAAGAGTTTTTTTCCTCAATGAAAGCTGACAATGCACGACAAGATGATAGAGAGTAGAATATGAGGTGAGAAATAGAAATCACAATCATGTACAATAATAATAATAATCACGGTGAAGGAAATACAAGACCTCTACCGTAGCACTCTGAATGGAAGTATAAATGCACGGAGCGCAATATGATCGTCGAGCTTCGAAATGGAGCATTCGGTGGCTTTTCTTAGCACGAGACGACCCTTTAAAGTCTCCCAGTACTTGGGGGAATATTTTGACTTTGAGCAATTAAGAGTTGGGTGTGGGGGGAAAAGGGAGAAAGGGGGAGAGAGATATGTCCTTTTCCTTTGCGAAATCCCCTTCATCAGTAAGGAGGATACAATACAACAGCTACCACAGCTACAACAACTACCTACCTCCCTAGACATCCATAGAACAATATCGGTAGTGGGCGAATGGTGGGAGACACAAATTGGCACTGCACTGTAATTTTTCTCGGTTGCTTTTTGTGGTGGGCTGTTGCGCGCTATGACGATTTTCCTCGCTTCTTTTTTTCAAGCATCATGATTCATTAACCTTAGTACTGTTAGGCCTTCCGTGGGGAATGCGGTGTACGCAGTAGATTGTTACAGGAGGGAGGGAATGAGATATGGAGCAATTTCTATTCATTCCATGGATTCCCTGGCATAGATCAGTAGTAGCTACAGGTACTAAGTGATAAGATACATCAAGTTAAAGGTACTGACTGTACTCTATTTCATTTCACAATATTACCTAGATCCTTATTAAAGTTAAGCTGTATTTATATAAACAAATCAATAGAGAATAAAAGAGTGATGGAGGGAAGTAGGCAAATACCGGTACCATCTCTGTTCCTATTCTTTAACCCTGTCATACATACTTGTAACTCAGATGAGTATCATCATCCTTAATAGGTCCATACACATACATACATACTAGCTACCTAGGTATGTAAAGTACAGTATATGAAATAAATGAAATATTCGCCTCTCTTAAAAACTTCTCCTCACCCTTCACTGCCTATAATATCCTATCCCATCCTCCCACCATCAATCTCCAGCTCGTTCAAGTTTGAAGCATCTCGCGGTGAGACTTGCAAAATCGAGCGAATGAATTCAGAATCCAGGGATCCATCATCCATCACAAGCCTATCCATGGCCCGCCTGTACGTACCAAAGTAAGCCTGAATCGCTTACCATGCATGTATCGCTCAAAAAAAAATAAAAAAATAGATTGGCATCTTCCATTCCATCTTCTAGAAGCTTGAAGCCAGTTGTTCTTCAGCCTTACATATATACTGTACTCCTGCCGAGGCTTTCTACCGGTAATCCTACCAGATGATACGAAATAATAAGACTTAATTATTACATTATTGTCCGCGATTGGAATATCGGGAATATTTGAGCGTTCATGCATATAGCAGGCAGAGTAGATCAGAGATTAAAAGATATGATTGGGTTTTTTCCCTCCGCATGCATATTATTGGTACCTACTAGCCATGTTATCGTACCTGAGGATGAAGATTTCTCGTCCACTAATATATGCTTCCGCGGGGACGACGAGCTTTAAATAATTCATGCGCCGCATCAAATCACCTATTTTTATTACTGGTGTACCTCCAAACCAATAAAGGGCTTGGTGCAACATCAGAAATAGACCTTTTACCCACCATCTCCTTATATCATCAGATATCAATCATAAGAACCGTTTGAAGTGATACTACATTGAGATCATGTTCCCATGCGTTTCCATGCGCATCGACATGTAACGTTCATCCCACTCCCCCATTCAGTATACATATCCGTTCAGACCCCAACCAGCAATTTGCCCATTTTCGAAAAGAGGAGCTTCAATACTGTACGGAATTACCTTTCTTCTTACAATCAAAGTACCTATTTGGAAAATATCCCCGTCCATGATGTTTCAAATGACTCTAGAGCAGAAGAATTCTCCCGCACGAGAAGAAATGTTTCAAGTGCTTTTGTCCAATCTAATAATGTGTAGTTTCATTGGTTAATCCATTCGCAACCAAAGCAACCAAAAGACATTAAAGGAGATCTGCAGGAACTCATAAGAAAGTTCGATTCGGACCGTTCCTGGTCTGATGGAGATTATTACCTCATTAATGTCAATACCCGTTTCTTTAGCATGCCATGTGGAAATGATAATGCGAACCTGCGCACCGTGTCCCCCCAAGTGCTATTATCGCTTCGTTTCATCTTCTTCGATAGCTCTTGCATGAACTCTAATTTTTTCAACCCCCGTTGCGTTTCACCACATGAACAATTTGACAAAGCGGAAAGCTACTGCGCTGATGGAGGAGAAACCGTCATGGCGAGATCGGAGTGAGGCTTTTTGCATGTGGCGTGTGTTTGTGATACTTGGGTCTCGTGTTGGCATGGGCATCGTAAGAAACGTCTTCTTCGTATCAACATGTAGCTTTCCGAGAGGGGAACGTTGTGTTTAAAGAGCTGATCGATCACCTGGGAAGTTGGGTGGTACGATATCTTGACGTATGTGGCTAGAGATGTTGAGTGCTCTTTTTACCTTTTCACTCCTCTGCTCTAGCACTCCTCTGTTCTAGTTCAGCTGGGCGGAGCTTAGGCTCGTGGATATTCTCAATTTCTCATTGAGGTTATCCTGATTCCATTTCGCATGCCTATTTAGATCTTAAGGATATTCACGGAGTTGTCATTGGAATCAAATTTCATTGCGGTCAGCCATAAAAGGAAGGTTGCCATAAGATTAGGAATAATTGCGTGCTTACGGAGTATACAGCACAGCTATCTTTTTTGCTCTCGCATGTGAAATCAATTGAAGCTTCTAAGCTCTTCCATTGGATAAATTATTGATTTGTCAGATTTAACCTCATTGAATATGGTCCAAGCTTTTAAATTGTTTAACCCCTCCATCGATCATGACGACTTGATACAATTGCCACTTCAGATTTCCTTATATTGATACTTTTATCCTCGATTGTCTTTGCAAAAGCACATAAAAAGTTTCAGTAAAGATTCATTCATCAAGCCCGGATAAACTTCACAAAAGTCACAGCAGAGAGATCTCGAAATAGTCTCAAATCCTACAATCTGCCTTCCCAACCTATCTCTCTTAAACTTTTCCTCCTCCTCATTTTCCTCACAATAATGGCAGCCATACCCAACTTCCTCAACCGTCTTATTCGGCCATTCACATCCTCATCTTCTCTCTCCGTAACTCCCGCCGGCGCATCCCAAATCTCCGTCCCGGAATCCGCGCAAAAATGCACCATTGCCGCAGGCTGTTTCTGGGGCGTCGAACACATGTATCGCAAAGAATTTAGCGGGAAAGGTTTATACGATGCACGAGTGGGATATATTGGAGGTGATACCGAGAATCCTAATTACAGAGCTGTGTGTTCGGGTAACACTGGTCGTATGTTCTATCTGATTCTTCAATCTCCAATCATTTGATTTTTTAACATCTTTACAGACGCAGAGGCTCTACAGATCCACTATGATCCCTCACAAATCACCTACCGCCAATTAATAACTTATTTCTATCGCATGCATGATCCTACAACTGCGGACCGCCAGGGACCAGACACAGGTTCACAGTATCGCTCTGGGATTTTCTATCATAATGAAGAACAAGAGAAAGAAGCGCGTGAAATTACCAAGCAGGTTAATGAGAAATGGTGGAAAGGGAAGGTGGTTACGGAAGTCCTGAAGGCGGGTGAGTGGTGGGATGCAGAGACATATCATCAGAAGTATTTGGACAAGAATCCAGGGGGTTATGAATGTCCAAGTCATTTTTTGAGAAAGTTTCCACCTTTGGAGGATTAGGGTGGTGTAGATTCGAGACTCTTGGGGATCAATGATAGGGTGTAAGAAAGACGGCCTTGTGGAAAGGAGGTAGACTGAGTGTATTATAAAGATTCCTATTTTGCATTGTCATGAGAGTAAGATTTTCTAAAATTTTCAAGGGTTTTCCATGAAAAGAAATTCAAAGACCATGGTGTAGGAGAACATATTTCAGGATGTTTGAAATGTGATTATATCGGTATTCCGTGACCTAAGGAGCACTAACGATCGCATTCTCGCTTCGTCTCCTTAATCCCAATGTATATTGAGTACCAATTATCTTCGAGGAAAGTCTAAAATATAGTGCAAAGATAGAGATAATGAGATGATGAGACAATATTCTACAACTACCACATAAAGAGAATGAAGACCACAAAGTTTTCGGCGTTGAACCCCATTTTTCGTTTATCGTGCATGGGATATGAGTATTAACCTACCCCAACTATTCCTCCTTTAAGTGTCGGAAGTGCAAAAAACTGATATTGAATACCTATCTTCTCCCCGTAAAACATAAGATTACCCTATAGCACTAGTCTCAACTGAATTATGATATTATAATATATTGTAAGATACGAACAATAAAAATTAAAATGGGTATAGGACTACTAGTACTATTACTACCTAGGTAATTAATAGATCTGAAATAGTGTCAATGATGAAGAGTTTTGTTAGTCTTGTTAGCTTGGAGATGATGGGGTTTTGAGAAGGTTGTTGGGTATGCTGGAAGCTGTCTTTGTTTGTAGTGTGAGAGGTGATCGTATGGAGGATTCGTTATCGGCGTTCTATTTGGGATAAAGTGAGTAACTTCTAGTTCGCTGAATGCCATACCTAGTACTTAGTTGTTGAATATTCTTCTGGGCTTGATGTACATGTCTCCACAGGTTTGAAGCTCCTGATAGTGGGTCACGCGGGGTTCACGCCAATGCACACTAAGGTCATAACGTGACTACCTGCTCTTTATAAGCCTGAGGCAGAAAATAATTGTTACTAGAGCGCGTCAAAGTAAATGAATACCTAAGTACGAATCCCATACTCTCAAAGTTACCAAATTTATCAATTTGGCACCATGGATCCTGGACGAAGAGCTATGTTGGAAGGCCGCGCACCTCGGGCAAGAGATATCACATCTCCACGTCGCGACGAAACCAATCGAATTACCAAACCACAACGACCAGCAGGCAACTCCAGTTCCAGACCTTATCGAAACAACCAGAGTCTCGAAGACGAACAATCAAAGAAATGGGTAGCAGAAGAGGATACTTTTGTTCTAAAACAAGCAAAGAAGAAGGCAGATATTCGAGTTAGAGAAGGACGAGCGAAACCAATTGATTGGCTAGCAGTTATTCTTCGAGTGATAGATCCCGATAGAGATCTCCTTGACGCCGATGAAGAAGAGGTTCAGTTAGATGTGGTAGATCCAGAGGGTATTTTCGAAGGTCTTAACGATGCGCAACTAGGAGAATTGGAAGCCGACATTAATTCTTACATTGCTTTGGAGAACAACAAAAAGAACCAGGATTATTGGAAGACGATGCAAATCATTTGCAATGATCGTCGCCAGAAATTAAAGCCTCTGGGTCCTGATGAACGTGCTGTAAGCTCTGTTGCTGCAGATGTGGACAAACTTCTGGGACCAAAAACGTATGGGCAACTCGAAAGTTTGGAAGGGCAAATTAGAGCAAAGCTCCGCTCGAACGAACCAATAGATACAGATTACTGGGAACAACTCTTGAAGAGTTTATTGATCTGGAAGGCAAAGGCTAAATTAAAGAAGGTATATCAATCTGTGCTGGATGCTCGACTTGACGCCTTACGAAAAGAACAAAAGGAAGCTGCAGAAGGTGTTCAAAAGAAGTTACAAGAACTGTTATCTGGTCCAGCACCAGTGGTTGAAGAAGGGTCTGACAGACAAAATTCAATCGCCGCGCAAACACCTCGTCGTCAGCCTCACTTTGTCTATTCAGAGAAGCACGACCCGGAACCGTTACTCAAACTACGGACTGAAGACAAATCAGGCGAGATTGTTGACGAATCTGATTTCCTCAAAAAGGTCGTGGCAGAGCGGCGCAAAGTCTTAAAGTTAGGTTATGTACCTTCACGTCCAGTTGCCTCCGAAAAGAGTCTGCCCAGCTCTGTCAGCAAACCAAGCACATCTATCAGCAATGCACCTCCAGGGACACAGCGCTTTTCCGCTGTAGTCACTGAAGATTTCTCTCAAGCTACAAAAGCATTGTACGACAGAGAGGTGGCACGGGGTGTGAATGAGAATGAGGAAATCTTCGCGGCGGAGGAAAGCCTTACAACGACTTCGGCTCCTCAATGGGCAGACAAATACAGGCCAAGAAAACCGCGTTATTTCAATCGAGTGCAAATGGGCTACGAGTGGAACAAATACAATCAAACCCATTACGATCATGATAATCCTCCACCAAAAGTCGTCCAAGGTTACAAATTTAACATATTTTATCCGGATCTCATAGACAAAGCTAAGGCTCCAACATTTCGAATTATTCGTGAACATGGTCGAAAGAGAGGAGAGTCATTTGCAGCTGCTGGAGAGGAGGATACATGTCTGATTCGCTTCATAGCTGGACCCCCTTATGAGGATATTGCCTTCCGTATTGTTGATAAAGAATGGGATTATTCTGCGAAAAGGGATCGTGGCTTTCGTAGTAGTTTCGACAAGGTATGTGTTGTGGCTTCAATGTTTCAGTGTCCTGTATCTTGTCTACTCGTCGTGTAGTGACAATCTCAAAACCACAAAGTATCTTTGAAGCTGGTTCCCTAGCTAATGTGCTCACTCAATGACAGGGTATTCTTCAGTTACACTTCCAGTTCAAAAAGGTTAGTGACAGTCATCACAACACCTACCACCCTTCAACCCAAGCTAATTTATCATCATTCAGATATACTACCGAAAATAATCACGATTCGGAGGATTCCTTCTTGACTCATCATATCGTCTTGGGTGGTTTTTTAGAGCCAGGCAAGAACGGATGCCACTGGGTTAACATAGTCGTCATACACTATTCTACGGCTATGCCCTAATCTTACTTTTTAGACATAATCTTCACGTATTTTTTTTATTCTCATACAGAACTTTAAATTTGATTTATTCCACTTATCAAGGAACAATCCAAATATTTATTTATGGTAAGTGTTTATTTATTGTGTTTCATAATCTTTCAACACACAATGGCTTCACGAAATGACTCTCGCATGTTGTTCCTAGTGATCCTCCATCAAGTGTGGATAATCAATTTTTTTATTCTTTTGGGGGAGAAAAACTTGCTGATGATGAATTAAATATAGTACCACTCCCAAACAATGAACCTTCTCGCCGAACTCCGGAAAGCAATCTATGCACGGTCAGGGTGTCCAATCGTCCGAACTGGCAGACTAGATTTAAGCTTTCAATAATTGAAGTTCTTTGAGTGTTAGAATATAATTCAATATTCTACATAGTTTAGATATTCCAATACTATCTGGATACATTGGAGTTTCGCAGACATCAATGTGGTGGAAGTTCTTCTTAGGTAATCTTTGAAGGAATAAATGATTCTGTCTGTAAGAAGTGCGAAGGTTATGGAGGTGGGAAGTGGAAGGATATACTGGAGTTTGGTAATTATCAATGTAATAGGGGTCCTTCATTGCCGATCATTGAAGGAGCAGATGATCCCATCTTTAGGAGATGCAGAAGTCATGGAGGTGGGAGAATATACCAGAGTTTGGTAAAGATCAAATCGGTTGGGTTTCTCTTTAGCAATCATTGAGCTCACATATAAACCTCTCCAGATTTCTTCCACGTGTGTTATGTCACACAAAGCAACTTTGTACATCCGTCAAAAATAATACTACCTACATGACGGCAACGATTCGATGCATAAGAGAAGCATTAACCCCTGGAAATGCAGTTGAGGTTATCAACGTCCTCTATTCATCTCATAACCCTCCTGGAAAGTTATATTAGCAGTGATTTCGGACTGCTGGCAACGATCCGTAGCACTAAACCCTTTTTTCTCAAACATGGGTAGTTGCGACGTTAATTATGAAGAAAAAATCCGGATCGGCTTTCGTTCGTGCAAATCATTGGGATTTTTGGTTGAGCAGGTCGAAACGGTTTTACGGGTGGCTGATTTCGGCATAGTCCACTTAACTCTGACAAAAACAACTTTGTGTTCCTTCTAGAATAAATTCAAGAACAATTAAACCAGACAATTATTTGTGATTGTGCTCGCTCGAGGCTGACGGTGAAACATTAGTATGCCCTTCTAGGTTTAAATTCAAACAATGCTTCTCCTAGGCACAATCTCTAGCGTTATGCAGTCTCCCGTTTTCCTCTCCCTGTATGACATGGATATGCAGACCTACAGCCTACCTATTTACAGCAGACAACAAGCAATTGCTATTCAAGAAAGGGTCATTGTAGAGCTCACAGTGTCTTCACAATGTTGCTGCCCGGGGAGCCTGTTTGCACCACACGTCAAAGGCTTGCATCCATGTGCTGGCATTCGCTCTCCTGCATTATGGCCTTGTCTTTTCAGGTCTCTACGCCCATAGTCACATAGCCCCCAGCGTTCCCACTGCTCCTTATGTTCTAGATTTCTTTTTTGAATAACTACACCCGAAGTCCTTTGCTATCTCAATTCTTTGAATTCTCCGAGAAGAAAGTCACTATCGTCTTACAATAGAGCAATCCATTCTAAGTGTATTACTTCATTCAATAAACACATCATTGGCAGCGAAGTTGAGTAGATTGTTTTCAAGTGGTCTTCAACATGGATTCCGATCACTTTCAGCAGAATTCTCAACATCACGATTTGCCTTGGGACTTTCAAACTTCGGAGAATATTGGGACGACAGCACAATCACAAGCTGATGCTATATTTCCATCATTTGACGGTCTACCTCGAATCATTCAAGATCAGTACTTCATGGCTAGTTCATCATCATCTCCTATGCCCAACAATGACTGCAACCTTACAACGCCCCAAATGCCGGCCCCTCAAAATCTAAATTCTTGGGGTCATCAGGCGCCATTAGCTCCTGGATTTAGAGACGATGGAAATGGTTATTCTTACGATTGTCCAACTGATCTCTCCGGTCTTGAACAAGAACATTCTCTCAAAGCTTTCGATAACATCCCTCGAACTACATGGCAACAACCTTATGCCAACACGACTATGATGTTACCAGTATATCCTTTTGATACTAGCGACAATGTCGGATCCATGGTATCATCTAGGGCTGACCATGGCGCAAGATCTGATGATTGCATCATGATGGATGCAACGCACAAGCCCCTTAACTCTAAATCCCCCTCCAGCTTATGCTCCGAGGAAGATGGGCAAAGCTCGCGCGAGCCTACGGCTATGGATGTCGATGCTGATAGTCATGGCGCAGATGAGCAACCATACGCAAAATTGATTTATCGAGCACTGATGAGTGCGCCAGGCCATTCTATGGTTCTACAGGAAATATATCGTTGGTTCCGAGAGAACACTACTAAAGGGAGTTCGGACACCAAAGGTTGGATGAACAGCATTCGTCACAACCTATCAATGAACGCTGTAAGATTCTATGATTAAGTATGTTTTGTGATTCACTGAGGCTGACATGTTCGATGTAGGCGTTCAAAAAAACGGAAAGAAAGATTCCTGGAGAAGAAACCAAAAAGTCTACTGAGTGGGTTTTGGAAGATTTCGCAATCAAGAGTGGAGTTCAGTCTACAACTCGATATCGCAAAGGAACAGGTAGCAAGAAATACGCCAAAGCAGAAAGCACTCCAAGTCGACACAACTACAATGCGATGCGAAAATCTTCGTTTCACTCCAATGGCAAAGGAAAGCTATTACGTCAACGGGGGAGGGAAGATCCAAATCCAAGACGAATGATTCCAACATCGTCCAGATCAGAACCGGCAAGGTATCCAGGAAGCCAACTTCACGCCTCAAACGTTAATTCTGTATCGAGATCTCCACGAAGATCACCTCCAACGCCGGCACCAGAGGGCCCTGGAATTTACAGTCCCGTCATCAAAGAGGAAAACTATAATCCTGCATACGATCTCTACAGGTTTGAAGATTGCCAAGGAGTGCTCCCTGATGATCACGACCCACTCTTCATGGACAATCAAAATCCACAGTTCATGCAAGTTCATCCGATGTGCACCAATAACCAATACTAACATTGAGGGGTTAATGGAAGAGAATATAGTGAAGTGTTTGTTATGTATTGTAAGGGTGGAAGAACTGTTTCGATACATCGAATAGATGCAAGTTTCGTTTGTAATCAAAATATTGCATTGCTGGGGGTTTTATTGTCTGTACTAGGATGTTATGCTGCGATCCCGTTGTCTATTTGCTATAACTTTTCGCGCAGGATGTCAAGAGTCTCTAATTTCTTTGATCAACGGCACCAGCGGCAAAATCTCAATGATGGTGAGCGTTTGTATGTAGGCATATCCCAAAGCTGATAATCATTATGATGGGTCACATTCTTGGTCTTTCTTCAACCTTTAAAATGTTGTGCGACTGCCATAAGAAATTCAATCTTTTAGTCCGGGTAGTGGTTCCCCATCCTATCCTGCCCCGGCTCTATGCCCAGTACGATCCTTTCTTTGCCTTGCAGGATCAGGTAGTATTGGTTAGTGTTGCTTCTTTTACACCCTGTGATCTATCCCAGAGTGTGGCATATCAGTCTCTCGAAATAGCCTACACCACCAAGCTTCCCGTGTTTAAAATGAGGTTGAGATGTACCACCCCACCAATATCCTGGAAAGATTCTGTTGGTTAGATTGTATGCGGTGCCCCACGCCGGAGGAAAATATTGCGCTATCCAGCGATCCAGTAACTTCAAAGGTCATGCATTAAACTCATAATCATGCAGCATACTCCACTCTCCAAGTCCAATAGACGGTCATCGGCATCATTAGTGTCTCGAGAGGACCTTGTCCATGTCCGTAGATTGTAACCACACCTTGCTTGAAAGACGTTGAGGACGTGGTCGAAATTCTTCTTTGTGGTAGTTCATGAATATACCATGGTACTTCTTCGCTGGAATCATAGGACTGTTTCTAAGAATTGGTCACTTCTTCGAGCACAACATGCTAGTCAATAGCTCATTCATATCGTGCTTCAGCTCCAACAGCCGGGCTACTGGTCCACGCCCCACAGTGTCGACCAAACGAAAGACGAGATCTGTTACAAGATCCAATGGTAGAGACTAGAACATTTCAACTATAGTATGAACTTTGACTGCAGACATGCGATCATCATGCAGCAAGACGAAGATATTTCTAACAGAATAAGCACCGATTGCTGCTCAAACAAACGTTCCAAACTTTTGGTGCTGCGAACAGATGTCAAAGAAAGCCACAGTTGTAGAGATGCCGATTTCGCTCTTCTCAACATGCATCCAGATCGATCAGGAAGACGGGAGAGGGCTTGTCCTTAACTAGCGGGCAAAGAAAACTCGTTCCGATAGTATCCTTCGAGGTTATGATGAAAGAAACAATATGCCAAGTCCGCATACTAATCGTCGAGAAAGCGGCCCGGCAGAAGGCAGCCACAACGGCATTTTCGAAATTTCTGCAAAACATGGCGCATTTCTGGATATCCATGTCCCTGTCGTCTCTTGCCTTAGACTCAACGCCCACCAAAGGCGCCGGGCTGTCAATATATGTCTGTTTGCTTCATTCTGTCGACAGAGGCAATCCGTGACACACATGAGCGCAGGCTTCAATGCTATGAAAAAGTTCTCTGCCGCTCTGCAGATTTCCCGTCACAACACAATTGCAATATGTAATTATCGACTCCTTCAGCGACTCGGACTAGATCCGTCAATACTTTTTACCATGGAAAGGTGGTCTACACGGTAAGGATTTGATAAATCGGTGTATCAGCGAGCTCTACAGAGTTCTGCGCATTTCTAGGATGGTTCATCTGACCGTTTGATTAGATGGATCAGATGAGAATTGAGATACGTAGTGGCACTGAAGAATATGAAAGATATATCGGTGTCGGCCGCATCCACCAAAATCAGCCAGCCATCTTCAGCAAGGATGAAAGATAATCTCCCCTTTTCACAGCCAAATTTTGGATGATTGAAAGGGTTTGTACTAGTTTGTACTTTGAAGCCTCTGGGAAAACTCCGTCAAAAGCAAACACTTGACTTGACACCTCCACTAGTACTACCCCTGAAGCTTAATTTCCTGCCCGCGAGAAAGTGGGAGGCCCGCTTTCCTTTTAGTTAGCTAAAAGATATCTTATCTAACGACATGCTTTTGTCATCAAGTGATCAAAACACATCACAGCCAAGAATCTAAGCTCTTATTAAAAGCCGAAGTTTAGTGAAGTCTGACTTAAAAGGCGGAGTGGGATGTCACACGTGCAGAACATCACGTGATACTTAACATCATACGCTTCATCTGTTTGAATCTCCACTTTGAAGTGTGTATATTCTCCGAAGTTCCGATTTATATCCAAAGCTCTAACCAATACGAGGGGCAACCCCTTTTCGAGCCCAATTGCGGCCCTCAGCTTTCGGCGATAGGTCGAACGTTCCACAAGGGTACGTCTCACCGGCTCGGTGGAGGACGTCCTTGAGTTCCACCAATAATTAAACCTAAAATGGAGCATGAAGAATTCTTGTTCCAGAATAAATGGAATGGACCAATAAAGTTTATTGAAATTATTTGTGGTTCTAGATTAATGCGGGATTTCAATGCCGTGGACATTTTTTTGGATAATCTGGGGATGGAATTATCCATAGTTTCCAAGCATGAGGTGATATACAGGCTCTTGGTTCAAGCAGGAACTCACCGTCTTCATCAAAAGCCCAGGCCAAGGCAAGAAATTCGGAGAAACAGGTGCTCCTTGGCTGCCCCCCTGGCAATATGTGAAGGTTTGCATGCCCACCTTAGTTCGCAGGTAGACAATATATAAGTCGCGCCGGATCCCAAACATAGCTAAGAAAAGTACTACGCTTTCATTCAAACTACTTGGGCAATCGAAATAACGGGATCCTACCTCAAGATGCATTTCCAATTGAGCTCAATTCTTTCAGTGGCAACTGCCGCAGTCGCAGTTGCAAACCCAATTGGGTCAGACTCATCAGATGCTGTTGCTCGTAGAGCTCACTCAAAGCAGCAAACATCAACAAGACCAGTCGTCCAATACTCTCCCATGAACCCATCCGTAGCTCCACCTGCTCCAGCAGCAAGAACCAAGACTTGCGTTGTGCCAAGCAATGGCAATGGAAAAGATGACTCTCCAGCCATTATGAGTGCACTTCATTCGTGCAACAACGGTGGCCATGTAGTTTTCAGCAAGGGTGTTACATACTCAATTGGCACGGCCATGGACTGGACTTTCCTTCAGCACATTGATCTTGGTATGCCACTTTCTAACGCCGACGCATTGATGTACTTTTTTGCTAATGGATTTTCCAGACATTCAGGGAGAACTTCTCTTCTCGAACGACACGACCTATTGGCAGGCCAATTCCTTCCCATTCGTCTTCCAAAACGCTACCTCATTCTTCAAACTCGGAGGAGAGGACGTTTTCATCTACGGAGGTGGAACTCTTAACGGAAACGGTCAAGTCTGGTATGACCTTTATGCCGAGGACATTTATGCACTCAGACCAGTTCTCATCGGAATTGATGGACTTAAAGACTCCATCTTGACCGATTTGGTTCTTCGTTACTCCCCACAATACTACAACTTCATTGCAAACTCGAGCAATGTTGTGTACAACAACATCAACATCTCCGGTGGAAGCTCGAGCAAAAACCCTGCAAAGAACACCGATGGATGGGATACTTACCGATGTGACAACATCGTTATCCAGAACTCTGACATCAACAACGGAGATGGTAAATACCCTTTCATCCAGTCTTGGAAAATTTTGCTTACCAGGTTCTAGATTGTGTTTCTTTCAAGCCAAACAGTACCAACATCTTAGTTCAAAATCTTGCCTGCAACGGCTCCCACGGTATCTCTGTTGGATCCCTCGGTCAATATGCTGGAGAGTTCGACATCGTCGAAAACGTATACGTCTACAATGCCACATTGACCAACGCCAGCGACGGTGCACGTATTAAGGCTTGGCCTAACACCGCATCAGCTCTCAGTGGTGATCTCCAAGGTAAATATCTTCTCCTTTTCGGATTCAAAGTCAATATGTAACTAACAAACCCATAGGAGGCGGTGGTAGTGGCAGAGTCCAAAACATTACCTACGACACAATGCACGTCGACAACGTCGACTACGCTATTGAGATTGACCAATGCTACGGTCAAAAGAACCTCACCCTCTGTCTCGAATACCCATCTGCTCTTACTATCACCGACATTGTCTTTAAGCACTTCACCGGTACCACCAGCAAGAAGTACAGCCCTGAGATTGGTACATTCGCCTGCTCCAGCTCTTCGGTTTGCAACAACATTGTGGCAACCGACATTAATGTAACAAGTCCAAAGGGAACAGATGAGGCTTACTGTCTCAATGTTGACACATCAGTTTTGGATGTTACTTGCAACAACACTCCTAAGGGATTTAACTAGGGGATAGTGTTAGTTTCTTATGTGAAGGATGATGTGTGATGGATGTTGTATAGAGGGATGATGTGAACTAATGGTTGTTTTGTTGCTTGTTTAACTAGAAGATGTGATACGAAATTTAATGTTAGAAATTTGTACAATATTGTCTGAGGTACAATGTATCTATTTTTTCTCCCAATGTGAAATCTTGACCTCGTTTTATCATCACTCTTTGGATACGTTATCATCATTATTGCGTTTTGATTTCAGGTTTCCCTTTCATTCTCAGTATCCTCGTATGTAATCACCACTCTCATCACACATTGCTTTCCACGCCGTCACATCCTACCCTCACATCTCTCAACCAATTTTGCAAGCATACAAATAACGTTCACTCAGTTTATCACTAATCATTCCTACACTCCATACTGAGAAGGACACCTTGAGAACGAACGCGAGTTCTCGGGCCAACAGAACGTAAACTACAAGCAGGTCACTGAGTAAATGCCACTATACGCATCCAAGACATTCTCCGTACCTGCATAACACCATCGAAGTAAACCCTGAACACCCCACCGACATTCGGACCGGACATCAACCAATAGCGCACCAAAAAATACCAACGGTGAAATTTAGAGTTTTATTTAACCTTTTCTCTTTATCGATTATTATTAAGCTTTAATCAAACTTTCAAGCTTCGTCTTGGATCTAAGATTATCCCTGATTTCTGGACGCGCTAGACACCGTTCGACCTTGCACCGCTTATTATTTCTATAGTATGTACAGAGTATGTGTGGGTGTGGGAACTTGGGAAGCGAGATATGGTACTGTACATATCGGTGAGACTAGTTGATCCCCCAGATAGATCGGTGGAAGATTAGTAATATGCATACGGAGTAGAGAAGATGGAAGTGGTCTTTTTTATTCTATTCGCATTGGGATGTAACGTCGGCAATGGGATTATTCATCGGTTACAAAGATGAGGTGGGATGTCCGGAATATAATTTTACCTTCCTTACTTACTACGTACAAAATGTTCGAGAAGGTAGTTCGGGATTCTTGGGAATTGTGGGCGATTTTGAAGAGCTTCTGATTGATCATGAGGAAGCAACTATAAATTAGTCTTGCTGCACTATCGATACTAATACTTTTTATGGCGGTAGTCAACGCGTGTGTGAGTTGAAAAGACTGTAAGCTCTTCCTAGTACTGGTGATCGTAGGAGATGCAGATAGAGAATAGGTTCAAGTGATATTTAGAAGCGATTTGAATAGAGAAAAGAATTACTTGCCATAAGATAGCAAAAGGAAAGCCTAATCTTTATATCTATATTAGATAATGGCCTATATGGGAATGAAAGAGAGACTTTGTGTTTCATTTGGCGAGTTGATATCATAGTCGCCGTCGCTTGCACATGCTCTCGCCACATATACATTCAAGGTTTCTGTAGTTCAATAGCATAGCCATCAAGTATTCTTTGCACCTTCCCTCTCATCTTACGCCACGAACTAAGCCACGATTTGTTTCGTCTGTGAGTTGGTTCCAATGTATCCAATAGTCCTGTCGTCTAAAATCCAGACAGCAATCTAGACGCTAGTTTGTGATTTTACTGACTAGATGGATAATCATGGAATATTAGAGAATTTTCGATATGAAAGGTTAAGTTTGTCCGGACTACTCTGTAGATAATGTAAAGTTAGGAAATTCAGATTAACATTCGGACCTCTGGACTGGATAGAATTTATTATTACATTATTACATTATTACATTATTACATTATTACATTATTACATTATTACATTATTACATTATTACATTATTACATTATTACATTATTACATTATTACATTATTACATTATTACATTATTACATTATTACATTATACCATCAGTCAAGTACAAAAGTTCGGTTCGTTCGGATTGCAGGATTGCGGTTTAGTTTGTTGTCAATTTATATAAGCTTTACTGTTTAACTTAAATATTTAGTATATCCTGTGACTAGTACGAATTATTGGATACACTGATTGGTTCTAGCCTGTAAAACCTGCAAAGCCTTCACAGTCGAATTGCACATGGTATCGACCTCCTCTCATTGAAGGTTATGCTCCGTTCTCCATCAGCACCACAAGTAGTACGTGCCATGTGTCGGCGCCATTCAAAAAGAAAAGAATAGCTTCGACCAAGAATGCATAGATGTCATTCATGCGGATCAAGGCCTAAAATTAGCCATGGACAAATCCATTTCCTGTCATGACATCGAGACCGAGGATTTCTAGCACTTACAATAGGGTTAACTTTACACACGCTTATATTTCACAAAGCTCGTAATGCACCAAATCCAGAAGCCATCGTGCATGATTCATTGATACCGATCTCGTCTTCAACCTCACCTTGCACTCGAAATCGCATCGGGTCGCTTTATGAGCTCTGCCACCAAAGAAAGGTCATGCACTGAAGTCATATTTGCTCGAATTTGTTGCCCAGCTTAGACAAACTTCCTCATGTTCGAGTTGCACATGCGTCTCCATCTTGTTCTGGAGTTTTGGTCTAATTATCCAAAATGTATGATATGGTCTGAGGTTATTGATGATCGACTGGCGATTGTTATAGGTTATGCATAGACGGCATGAGCCCATATGGTGCATTTTGGCGACTCTTTGGTATCTCCGATATACAAATGATCGACTATAGACACTGATAACACTACTGATGTTCATGTTCGCCTTGCTATGGTGTTCTCAAATACTCGATTTCAGATTCCGGATGTTTAGTTCGAGTTTCAACATGCACCTAGGACAAGTTCCATATAATTCTGGAAAAGATAAAGTATCCTAAAAGCTCACCAATTTTTTGTGCTTTATAGTGCTTGTCTGCTATACTATATAATGGTATGAGGTGATGATGGCTGCCAGTTGCATCCCTAGTATTTTGATTGCCTATCAAAATCCTTTCTTGGGGTGCGGAAATGGTGGATATAATATCACTGGTGCTAATAGCTGTCAATTGTTACCCATAATGGTCAAGGCGATTCCAGCATACTTTGTTGATGGACTCAATCGGATTCCTGATTTAATAAGCATCATTTACTATCAATGTAATAAAGTCGAATTATAAGTGTCTCACCATTCACAACATTTCAGATGCTGCCTTTCATCTAGTCGCCTCGTCCGAAAATTATATGACAAGAAGACACCTGCGTGTTAGCTTTTTAGATTATAATCAAGCAGTAAGTTGAGTAGACCTTGAAGAACTTACTTCAATGCGGTTGAGAAAACCCTCGGTTACTAGCCTCCAATGTATGAGTTAGACAAGATCATGAACCTCACAATTGCTGCTTGTGAATCTATGGATGGAAAAACGGATGGTGTTGTTGCGCGTGTAGATCTTTGTCAATCTGAACTCTGCAATTGACGCGCCATACTACTGTGCTGCAGTCGCCGCTTCTACAAGCGAATCTTCTTCGCCTGCAACTCTAGTACAAATGATACCGCGTGAGCTCAACCTGTGGCAGTTGCAGCCAAGATTCTTGATAGTCTCCATGAGTTTCAGAGTCGTTATGCGTACGTATCTTAGCCATCTATAAGTTGTTATGATGCGGCTACCGTATACAATCACGAAACTGATAGCGGGGAGTTATTTGTCAGTGACTTTGAATAAATTCCCAGTACGCTTCATTGAAGTCCTACATGGCAATGCCCTTGATGCTGGTGCCATCGAAAACGTTACCTACAATACCCTTGGGGATCGGTTCTACGCTGGATGGCAATTATATGAGGATTCGTTGCAAACCACAGGGTCCGACATTACACCATTCCATGCAACAGGCGGCAAAGTCCTCAGTTCCCAACATAACTTTCGATGAGAGCAATGAAGCCCTTGATGACTGTAGCTGGTCTTTCGTCGTCCCTTGGGGAGCTCATCGCGATATCAATCCCTACGGACCAAATGCACGTTTCCCTCAAACGAATCTTGCCGTGTTGATCGGCTGAGTTGAGAATGGCAACACACCAACTATTCTCAATGCCAGCATGCTCGAGTGAGAATTCTAGCCACAAAAACAAAGAATTTGTCCTTTGGCATCAAGACGTGATCTAACAATGGAACTACCATGGCATTCGAAAGCAATCAAGCTTCTATTGATTCGTGGATCTACTAGATTGCGCAAAAAGAACTACGATCAGGAGAGTAATGTGGTATGGAAGTTGGATATAATTCCCTGTTCACACCAATTCTCGAGAAGGAAAAAAAACCTGTGTACAGGTAATAATGGATGACTTTAAAGGCTTAAGCTTCTTCTGTGCATAGTTTAATTTTGTAAATATTCAATACCATGCTTTGTTGCCTTTGGCAGTTTAATTGACTTGATGCCCAACAATGGTATAGATATTCCCTAAGCCGTACAAACTTTTCGTGCTTTTATCCTAGTGGTGGACTTTTCCCGTTCCATTTGCTTGTCGTCGAATACACATTGCAAGGTTGTTAATGTGTAATTTCTGGTTGGAAACTTTACATTTCAGTCTCTTAATCAATTCAAGCAAGGAGCACCTTTCAGTACCTATTTAACTTCATCTGTAAAATTCAAGGGAAATCCCGTAAAATAATAAAGCAGGTAATCTTGAGTAAGGAATGTAGTGAAATATATATACCTACGTAGGTACATATTGATAATTTTCAGTGAAAGTTGAGACGGTGTGAAAGGAGCTCGGTAAAGCGTTTGATTAGTGAAAGTAGGTGAAAATACTGCCATTATATCATGTGACATTGTGGAGAATTGGATAAATGCACCCAAACTGATTCGTTAATGTTAAGAAGTTTATCACTCAGGTGTCTTTCTTGAAAATCCCACTTATCCGGGCTCTTGGGGACATTGTTCCCGACTTTCGATTCTGAGCTGAGCCTCTATAGCTAAACGTCGTGCAAGTATAAGCTGAACCGATATTACACAACATACTCATCTGAGAACACAAAGATACACAAAGATTTGATTCAGCCACTGCACGGCCTCGTGTCAGAAGAGCATGTGGGCGGGCAAGGAGCCATGGCTGTTACTGGCTGCATAAGCAAGGAAGGATTACCGGTTCATCCAGCCGCGAATAGCAACCTTTCCAACTTCTTACGGCTTCGCTTACTTCGAGCGGCTCTGACAAGTTGTCAAAGTGTGAAGCAAAGATAGGCAAGAGAGTTTATTGTAAAAGGTAGTTGGTTGAATTTGGTAGGCTCATATGATTTTGATATGTTCTAGGTATTGTACCATCTTGTCGTTTTTGAGGAGATTCTTGATATTCCGGGAGCAAATCGTTCGATTATGGAATGACATAAGCAGATCTTTGATAATAAGCACGACGTCCCTATTGAGAAATATGAAGGAGCTAAATGCAGGCTTGAGTCATGAATCATGATCAACAATCACAACCAATTAATGATAGCCCAGGTGAGCAATTGAACTCTACAAACGAGAAGCCAGTGGTTTCTTGGCCGGTGAGCATCATATAAGTTCAATACCATCAATCACTGTGAGCTCAAAAAGGGCAATTTCCTTCTAGTAATATGCATTCCAATCAAAATAATACGAATGATATAGACACACCGTTGCATCAACATGATGGAAGCGTTGCAACAGAAACAGAAACGACCGAAACGCCAGAGCTAGAGGTAGACTCTCAGACCGGTTCACAGGTGAGCAGCGAGATTCCAATTTGCACGAGATATCCATTGATACATGATTAGTCTGCAAATAATAGCGATGCAGATTCTACTATGGGGGAATCATTCATGTGAGTAGGACGGCCTATTAACGATGAAATAACCCACATGAAAAGTTGATACTTGATACAGAAGTTCTACCGCCTCTCTTCAAGAAAGTATATATAGGTATGTCGAGGAAAACGGTCGGACGTATCATGCATATAAGTCGGGAAGTGAGTTTAAACAGTGTCTGCAATAATTCAAGTGTCCGGTGGCTGACATGTGTTTAGAGTATGTCCTCCCCAACGATGATGCTGAGCAAGAAAGATTGGGTAAGTCACTCACGGCATGACATAATGTATGGTTGATGTAGATGCATTAATTAATGCTTTCAGATTTACAACATCATCTTTTTTCTTTGTCATTTGATGGGGCTTTACATCTTGCTCCACTTCCTTCTGGACTACACAACGTTTTAGATATCGGGACTGGAACCGGTTTGTGGGCGACAGAGTTTGGTAAGTCTACTCTGTCTTTATCACCATCTGCTATTTGCGGAAGACGGAAGTCCCTGACTAAATGTCTCATTTCTAGCTGAACAATATCCTTCAGCTCAAATTATCGGCACAGACCTCAGTCCCATTCAGCCAATATAGTAAAGAGCCACCTCAATTCACCACTGTACATCCGATACTAACAAACTTTCCCAGCGTACCCCCAAACTGTAGCTTTGAAGTAAATGACGCTGAAGAACCCTGGACATACTCTCACAAATTCGACTACATACACGGTCGAGCCATGTTAAGCTGCTTTAGCGATCCCGCCGGCTTAATAACCTCCGCCTACGAATTCCTCCGCCCAGGCGGCTACCTTGAAATGCAAGACCCACAAATGCCCATCTTCGGCATTGATTCCTCCATAACAGGTACCGCCCTTGAGGAATGGGGCCGAGTGTCATGTCTCGCGGCTGAGCGTCGCGGCCGTAAACTAACCAATTCAAAACACTATGGCCAATGGATGGCCGAAGCGGGATTCGTAGATATCGTTGAGAAACATTTTTATTGGCCTTGTAATACGTGGGTTAAGGGGGAAAAGGAAAAACTGCTGGCGATGTGGACGCAGCAGAATGTGTTAGATGGTATCCAGGGAATTACGATGCGAAATTTGACGGCAGGTTTGGGTTGGAGTCCAGAACAGGTAGAACTGTTCCTGGTGGATGTTAGGAAGGATGTGAAAAATAGGAGGATTCATTCTTATATTGATGTGTAGGTTATCTGTTTTCTCTTCTGGCTTGGATGTTAGTCGCGTACCGGAGGCGAATATGAAGGGACTAACGTGTTTTCAGAGTTGTGTTTTATGGAAGGAAACCAGGGCCGGGAGATCTTGCAATGGGAGTCAGTGTTGTATGATTGTTTTGTAATGTCCGACAGTTGCGATGGGCGTTTTGAAGGTATTTCCAACTTACATATTTCACAACTTACCATGCATGGCCATTCATCATTTCTTAGGTGCCGAAGCGGGTGGGAATTCCAGTGGAGCTATGTATATATTTACTCAAGCCATGCTAGACTAGCGCCAGATATAGGCAAATTAATAAATCAACGTGCCTGAAAATGTAGATAGGAAATATGAGATGTTTATGAGACTAGGAAGATATCAGATGTGTACCTAAATTGGTTTGCGCCAGTCATGTCATGCATACCAGCCGGATAACACAAAATTATCTGTTCACTCTTCTGTGCTATGCGATGAGTTTCTAAGTCTTCCCACCGTTTCATATCACATAATTTTGATCCGCATTGCGGATATTACACCGAAAAGTTGTTGGAATATTAAAGAAACATCGGTGCCGCAACACCACATATATATATCACATACTAGCAAAAGTGGATTAGCGCTGCAAAAGCAAACTGAAGGTACCCTCATTCTATAAATCTCTATTTTCTCCTTTCTATACAGTCTACTCTATGTTATGTGCTGCCCTGTATAGTATATATAGCAACATAAAAATAAAGTCAAAAATAAAAGAATTCTCGCAGAAGATGTCTATGATACATGTATACATGCCTCTAATCAATCTTTTTACCCCACTACATCCTTATTCTGAGAATGTAATAACAAAAACAAGAAAATCTAACAGAGTCTATTCTCGATGTAGGATTAAAACAAATAAAAGCAACGAAATGAAAAATATACAAGAGAAAAAAACTCTCGCCAAGGGAGGAAGAAAGCCGAATACTGTACTTGAGTACCAGACATCATAAACAAATCTAATCATGTAGAAATGTCATAACCATCTAGTACATAGTATCAAATTCTTGGGTTGGAGAAGGAGCAAGGAGTGGCTGGACCAGCCCATCCCAAAAGTCTGTTGGCAACATCGCTAGCATAACAGCTAGTACCCCACTATGGCGTTCCAAGATCCGTTCCCCAAGCATAAGAGCCAGAATTGTAGATTCTAGCCGCGACATAGGCACCTTGAGCAGAGTATGGAGAACCGCTCTGGGCCAAGCATTGTTGCAGTCCATCACCGCCGCCGGGCTGTCCCAAGGTTCCGGTGCTTCCATCTCTGATCATGCCAGCGATGATAGAAGCTGGACATGAGTTCATTATCGTGCCGTCTCTGTTACAGCTGTGGTAACCGTTGTGGCTTTGCATGATTCCGGGGTTTGAGTTCTCCCCGAACGTAGTGGGAGCACGAACGCACCCCCAGATTCTTGCATGATGATTGCAAGGATGAAGCGCGGGTCAATGCCCGAAGAACCAGAGATAGAGCTGATGGCATATTTGATATCAGCAATCTCGGCAGGGGAGTTGTTGGCTGTACCACCAAATTGTGTGCAAGAGGTAGTCATGAAAGCTTGCGAGTTGTCCCACCTGGAAATTTGTGTTAGTATGGAATAGGTTGTTTCCATTGATAAAGGAAAGAGACATACATGGTATCGAAAGAGGTCCAGGCACTCATACTAGACCAGTGAGATCCATCGCCTGTGAACCTTTGGTAGGGGACATATCGTCCGACAAGGCTTCCAGCAGTAGGTTCTGCGACCGAAGTTGGAGCTGCAGACGCGCCTAACCTCATAGCAAGGGCGATAATGAGAGCTTTGGAGAACATATTGATGATGAATATATAAAATTGGAAATGTTGTAGAAAGACTGCAAAGGTGTGGTGAGACTTTTGGTGGAAGAGAGACCTTCGGGGAAAGAGAGCCTTTAATAAATACGAGAAGAGTGGGTGCTAAATTAGTCACAAAGGGATGCTACAAAGAGGCAAGAGAAATTCATTGAGTGTGTTCTAGGCCATTGAACATACTCCGATCAACTTAGCTCCTTCCGAAATGTACTTGCTTGTCAAGTGAGCTAGTCGATGCCTAAAATGGTAAAGATGGAGGCATTCACGAATCAAGTTCATGCCATTTCAAGTTTATTATACAAAAGGTAAGTACATACATTAAAATGAATGTCCTAATGTTGTGGCCTTCATTTTCAACTTTATCATCGCTATTTTAAACCTTATAGTTGCCTTTTCCTTTTGATGATAATGCTATTCTAAGTATTCATTATCTAGCTAAGATATATATCATAGTTGGAAATACTATGTAAATTCCACGGATAATAATATTGAAAGTTCTTCTGATAGACTTTGAATTCCTATACGTTTTAAAAACTTCAATCTTGTGCACCCTATCTATTCCTTAAAATAACATGATGGGACTTGTCAAGAATACTGGCGGGTTAACTGACCCAATTGCGAATAGCATTAGTATTTCCCTAAACTGGTGCATTGCAAAATCTAAATCAGACAGATATCAGGTTTATTAGAGGTATTTTGATAGGCAATAACTAATATCTCTTGATAACCTCTCCTAATACAGTTTTAGTGTGGTAATTTTGAATGGCCAGAACAGCTTCGCTCGAATCAATAGAATCCGTTGATTTTATCGAGGAGGAAGCGAGTCTTGATTTGTTTCATTCACACCCACGCTAAAAATCGCTTACAGGTAGATGTAAGAAACCGAATTTCTTCGTTAGTAATTCTTAGAGTTTGGAACTAGTTATTCCCGAAAAGAGTAAAGTGTGATGAATGTCGTGATCACTTCTTTGAAGATAGATCTTTTCAAACGGGGAAAGATATAGCTGATTTTGTGGGTTGATCTGTGTAATGGCCGGAACAGATATGTTGAGAATAGAATGTCGTTAAATTAGTGGGAGTCATGGACTCTATATACAGCTTAGGGAGATTTTAGGGAGGTCCACCGAGATCGAGACTTCCCATTTTGGAAGGAGATGAATATAGAAACATCCTTCATGAGTCAATATTGATCTGTTCAATGTCGGTGCAGCCTATGACAGGTAGCACCACTTAGGATCGGCGCGTTATGAGATGGGTCTTTTCTTAAAATATTAGAAGGATTGACTCAGGCATACAGAATCAGATACGGTCCGAAATAACATGTATAGCCGAAGTCCGGCACAATGATGCTTTGATCAAGATATCCAAACTACCCAATGCCCGAGGGACATAAAGTAACTTCTTCCATTGTTCTATTTAAAAATGCCATTTGTCACCATTTTATTTGTTCTAGAGTATTTCTGGAAGACTCGGAAACTTTTGTAATTCGCTAAGCTGAAAGGTTGAAAGATGTAGCTGGAAGAATGGAAATTATCCGAGAATCCCAAGACAAAGGTGTCCAATAATCAATGAAATTCTATCAATGAAATCTCCCGATGCTAGTACCAATGCCGAGTATTACACAGCCCACCTATTTTCCCTTGATCCCTCCTTATGTAAACGACTTTGCGCAGTTTCAGCAGTCAGGTGTATTTACATGTATTTTGCTCCTGGTCCCCTAGGCTGAAATTTGCCACCGCAATCCTCAAAGTAGGGGCTAATGGAGTTCATCACTCAATATGCAGCGCATATGCATATAACGTTGGATACTGGGGATTAATTTCAAGTGGTCCGCCTTGTTACCAAGCTTTGCTAAGCAAAGTGAGCGGTTGGTCCAATAGTGGTGTCACCCACGATCAAATAAACCTATAGATCCAGGGATTGAAGGAAACTCACAAACACTGAGGAAGACAACTGAATGTGGAACTTAGATAGATTTGGAGTTCTTGTGTTTTTTTTGAATATTGAGGCCCGGAGTTGTGACGACGCTTCTATTGAGTTGTGGCCGGACTGGAAATGGACACGGAGAAAGTTTCATCTTGACGTAGGAATGTGGGTGAATACTACCGTCTGAGGCACACATAATTGTGAAAAATGAAATTCATGGCATCGCGCAATTTCAACATAAATTTGACTTCCTTGTGATAATTTTGATGAATGAAATCAATCTTGTACGTTGTGCTGGGAAATTGGAAGAAAGAACGAGGAAATTCTCTTGTCAAGCTCCTTTTCAACGTAACATGTAGTCGGCATAGACAAGACCAGGAGTATCACAAAATGGTATAAGTGTATCTGTGGGGTGGGGATTATTGATATCAGGAAAAATGAAAATAAAAGGGAGAAACGGTCTGATTGATCGCAAGGCATATCCATCGTGCAATACATCATGTCTACACAATCACATTATACAGTATCAATATTTAAACTGCCCCCATGTTTCTGATGGTAAGCTCGAATAGATAGATAACCATCTTTTGAAGCAACTGGAATATGTTCTTGGATGACCTAGAATATTGATCACTTGATTATTGAAATTATTCTATAATTCTGATGCCTTACTCCTAGAGCATAACTAGATATGGGAACTGCTGGGAGAAAGTGCTTTGCACAAGCACGAAGCCTTCTTTTATAAAAATGACTGACACTGCCATTGTGATAGTATGTCCAACTTCCAGTTAAGTTAATAAAAATCATAGAGAAAGATGCCCATGAAAGTTTCAAAGATATGACGTTCCAGATAAAAATCGCTCGATGATATGCCCAGCTTGCAGTGCAAAATTGACTCTGCTCCAATGCAGAAATGAAAAACAGTGTTGATATTACCGATCACCGATCCCCAGAAATAAAATAAGTTTTGGTGTAGAAAAATGCTTCTTATATCGCTGCGTCGAAGGATTGTCTGGAGAAGACCTAGCATCGCTCCTTGTTATTAGATCCACGGTTATCGTCAGAAGTAGACGCTTCAACATCCTTCGATCCAGATTTCCGTTGAACTGCTTTTGGAGCACGCGGATTTTGGATATGAACAGTGAACGAGGCTTCTAGTTCTTCGACCGTCTTGTTGTCCACGAAGATTGACTCAACACCCACGTACATGTCCGGGTTCGCCTCAAGCATTCCCACGCGCATCTTCTCATGTGCCTCATATGCTGGAACTGCATATGTCTTGTACCAATCAGCATGGCTGCGTTTTCTCTTATTCATCCAGCTCTCTATATCACGCCATTTGTATGTGTAAATGATAGCGTCAGGAACGACACAATATGGAACGAGGTACTCATTCTCAAAAAAGTTAATGCTGTACAGTTCCTGGTCGCCGTAGAGAGATACTACATTGTAATAATGCATTTCATCTACCACTCGCAAGATTGGAAATCCAGCAGCAATTTGTGCATAGCCATTGATGAGTCAGGTTTGCACAAATCTTTTCAGTCTTCTTTCGAGTGCCATAGAATCGTGGAAGAATGTGATCAGAAGTAAGCATACTTAGGTGACTTGTAATGGAAATACCCTGAGTAAGACCACGATGTCTCCAGTATGTATGATCACGAAGAAAATTAGAGCGTTCCTTTACAGTGCGTAGAGGCAACTCTGCAGACGCCGAGAGGAAACTGTGATCATCGTCATCTATCCTGGACTTGCTGGCCTTGTCCCATAGCCGCAGAAAAAGTCCTGGGCAGACGAACTCATCATTTTTCGTGTCCATCCGAGGCAATGTCTGCGAGTTTAGCACGGCCCATCCATGCTCATCTTCTGGTTGAGTTTCCATAGAATCTGCTTGTGATGCCGCATAGCGAAAGAGTCTGTCTAGTCCGGCCGGATTTTTTGGATGATATGCCTTTTTCCCAGAACCGTAATTTTGGCGAGTTTTCTTTTGAATACCGCCATGAATTATCGGGCTCCTCTTCTTTTTCAGTAGCTGTGCGATGAAATCAAGTTCTTCTGGAGGTAGATTAACGTGGTTTCGCGGAAGGTCGATAAGTGATTCACTGCTGCAGGATAAATATTTGATTGCGAATGAAGGCTTTTTCTGCTTGGGCCCAGCAGATTGAGTTTGGACATCAGGAAGATTATCAGTCACCTGGCCATTTGTATCCAAAGTATCGCCTTCTTGACCCTTTATAGAGATTTCTGTGTCTTCGAGAGCATCCCCGCTATCCGCCTCATGGTCGCCTAAAGCGCCCGCATCATCATCCGACGCATGCATATCCATGTCTGATGCTAGTCCATCAAAGAAGCTGCCAGTCACTGTCGGATCTACATAATCAGCTCCAATCTAGCAAAGCAGAAATTGCTGTACTCCTACCTTCAATATTCGGATCACTTATGGCGGATGCATACTGAAGGACATTAATGCCTTCATTGAGCTCCACTGCGTTTGCATTCTCGACGACATCTTCATGCTCGTCAGTCATATTGGACGACTATGTATTTAGTTTCGCGATGTAAGGAAGCCCCAGGCGGAGAGTTCAACGCTGTCGATCGGATCGTGTATCGATTTATTCTGCAGCCAGACGATGACGCTCAGTTTTGAAACTACGCTCTCAAGATGGGCGATGGTATCGTGGGATCCTGTGATGGATAATGATTTGAACCTCGGGGCTCTTGAACTTGAAAAATGATAATAAAGACGCCGTTCTTAAGCAGCCAAGTGGTTGCCCGAAGAAACTCAGGTTGGTGAAAATGTGAGCTGCAAATATTGGAAATACGTATGCGTGCTATGAGTCCTGCCTTCAAACGGCTAAATATATAAATACTATGTAAGATTAAAGATAAAAAAGAAGGGATTGGTTGGCAGTGATGCTATGACCGTCACAGGAAGATGGTGAGGTCGTTGAAGAATAACTCGAACTGAAGAACTTGTTGACTTTCAATCTCGGATTCGGAAGTGGAAGAATTTGGCTTCAATAACCTAATTATTACTTCAATTTGCCATGGAAGCTTTAGGAAAAAGGATAGGTATTTGAGTGGGTTATTGTCGTTGTTGGTCAGAACAGAGATTCTCGACGGAAAGAAGGTTGTTGTAAAAGGAAGTTGACAATGGAAAGAATAGCGACAGCGAGGGAGTAGGTAAGTCTTTAGACTTGAGTGGATACACACGGGATGTATATTTAACTTTAGCCCTATGTCTGTCTCTGGTGTCTATCCAAAGATGAGGAGCGGGGTAAAAAGTTACCTATATATCTCAGACTACAGTTCTGTTGGTTGCTGTATCCTGTCTTCAGTAGGTTTGACACTGCCGACAAAAAAGACGCCATGATCATAGTACCAATTGTGCTCATACAAAAGTTGATTACCTGTTGAATGAAAAGTACTTTCTGGGAGCGTATGAGGCTCTTCACATAATGGAGTCGCAGAGAATTCGAGGCTCAAAGCCCTTTCCCCTCTCCCAACAACCCCCCTCCGCCCCAAAGTAGCTTTTCTGATTCCTGGCCTCAACTCACAGAGGAAACTTGGAACATGTGCTGAAAGTACAAAATTTACCCAGCTCAAGGCAGATCAAGCGTATAAGAATAAGCTGATAGACATCTGATGGAGCAGGCTTTCATCCATTAGAACGGAAGCAATACAGCTGTCCTCATCAACACAAACTCGTACTTCCAGAACGACATTGCTATCGCAACTATCTAGCTCAAGATTGCTATGAATATCAAGACGAAAACGCCGCAGAATGGTTGACTGCAATTGATCATTCAAGTCACTTGAATTGATGATTACCTAGTATCACCGTAAGCCAAAACGTCTCGATGAAAGCCAACTGCAAAGACCTGTTGTTTCCCTACTGCAAAATCCGTCGTCCCCCTGTCCAAACAAAACACTCTCTAACCTTAGCGTTCGGAACATCATCCACTCCGACCAAACCAAAAAGTACTCGAACCTCCAACCAAAACCAAGCCTCATGCTCTATACATTCCGCACACCATGATTTTGCGGTTTATATTGACATTATAACATTGAAACCCTCAAGATGGTCGTCAATCGCGATGGTAGATTACCCTTTTCTCTTTCTGTGCTATGCGACCAACTAACAAATGATCTAGTTTCGTCCTGGTCTACATCACATCTCCTTGCCGAATTAAGACGACGACAACAACAAGATGAATCTGGAACGATTGCCCAGAAACCTGTTTGCGGATCTGGGGTTAAGGGTAGTTATAATACGTCTGCGCATGTATATGCGCTTGTGCTAATACTCGTCCTGAGTACAATCGGTATGTCATCGCATCCTCTTCCATTTGTCACATCTAACAAGATCTTCCTTGACAGCATGCGGATTTCCCCTGATTTCTCGGCGGTCCTCGGAATCCGATGGCCCGAATCGATTTATATTTCTTTCTCAACATTTTGGTACTGGGGTTCTGATAGCTACTGCATTCGTGCATTTATTACCAACGGCTTTCATGTCCTTGACAGATCCATGTCTACCGTACTTTTTCAGCGATGGATATCATCCTTTAGCAGGTCTTATTGCCATGTTCAGTGCATTGGTAGTCGTAGGGCTGGAGATGTTTTTAACGACTAGAGGGGCAGGTCATTCTCATTCACATGGAGGGAATTGGGATATTGTGCCCGGTGGGGAAGATGAAGGGATGCAAGGAAATGGGAGCGCGAAAAGGAAGGGGAAGCAGTCGAATGGCAGATTAGGCAAATTAGGTCTAAATCATCGACCACAAGATATCGCATTAGAAGATATGGGAGAATCCGAAGGTCTCGTCGCAGGAGTCTCGCCTTTCCCAGTGTCAACGCCTAAAGCCGGTCTTACCGGGGACTCCGAGCATAACAAATATCAAGACGCCAATATCTCAGACGACGACTCCGACCTCGTCCTCGAACTCGATGAATTGAATGATCCCCTCACAAAGACTCCTACCCATTCTCCCCACGACCCTGAAACTACTACCTCCTCCCCAGTCTCAGCCGAAGACTCACAAAAACGTCAAATACTACAATGTCTCCTCCTCGAAGCTGGTATCCTCTTCCACTCCATCTTCATTGGCATGGCCATCTCCGTCGCCACGGGTCCTCCCTTTGTCGTCTTTCTAATCGCTATTGCCTTCCATCAATCCTTCGAAGGACTCGCCCTCGGATCCCGCATCGCCGCGATTAATTTTCCCACCTCTTCCCCCCGCCCCTGGCTCATGGTTCTTGCATATGGAACTACGACGCCCGTTGGTCAGGCCATTGGTTTAATTGTGCATAATTTGTACGATCCACATTCCGCGGCTGGGCTTTTGATGGTGGGGTTCATGAATGCTATTAGCAGTGGGTTGCTGCTATTCGCGGGCTTGGTACAATTGTTGGCCGAGGATTTTTTGAGTGATAAGAGTTATGGAATTCTCAAGGGAAGAAGAAGATGGGAGGCTTTTGTGGCGGTTCTGGGTGGGAGCTGTTTAATGGCGTTGGTGGGGGCTTGGGCATAAAAAAATGGATGAGCATGAAGAATGGAGGTTTTTGTGAATTGTATCAATATTACTCTTATCATTTGCATTTATAGCGTTTTTTTGTTTCAGATTTGGGTAGGAAGATATAGGCCGCCGGGCACAGCATGGGTAGAGGTTTTGGGATCGGGATAAACTGATGGCAGATTTGGATACAAGATGGAGTGTCTCTCAAATATATACTGTACCTCATTGTCGCTTTCGGTACAGGTTTCGTGATTTGGTGCTCTTGGGATTAGAACATTCGAATATGACACGTTCCAGTCGATCAACATCATTCAATCGAGCCATTTTCTAGACAGGACCACCGAAGCGTCTCAATATAGCTCGTGTCGAAGTGAATGCGAGTTCCGAGAGATGAATTGTTGCCATATTCCCTAGAAACTTTTTGAACCAATATTGACACTGGCTCATTTTTCACACTATCAACACTCGAGTATCGTCCTGTGATTCCATCCAACTCTATTCGCATCCGAACCTGGCATCACTTGTAACCTCCCAATTCCAACTCAATCATAAGCACATCATCACAAGTTCGTCCATAGTCTCGCAGTATTGGAAGGAAGCTGAATCAATTTTTCATAACCGACCGCCAGGTCTTTATGTATGTAAGTGAAGTAAGCTTAAGAAGCAATGATGCAACGCCCTCCCATTCATCCATGACTTCCTTCCATTTGACGTTAAGAACCCCGAAAAAATAACAGCCTCTTTACATAACGACACCAGAGTTACTGGCAATACGCTGAGTAGATATAGTTAGTTTCCGAGAATCAAGGGTAAAGAAGTTGGGGCGTTGGGAAGTTGGAACTTACTGGCCATAATTCAGCAGCTTCCTTTCCGACTGGTCCAGTGATGGCGGATCCCTTCATCTCTCCCTTGGGGTTGACAATCTGTAGAGAATTTGTCAGCCGTTATTCTACCCTCATGTCTTAAATGTATAATTTTATCCTCTAGCCTCCATCCTCCCCTTCTTTGTGATTTCTGATATAAAGGCATTCCCTTAACTCGCACACCACCCATGTCCCGGCGGAATGTATAAGAATAAAATCCTGCACTTACAACACCGGCGTTGTCCTCGAAGTACAAGAAAACACCATCGGTTCTCTTCCATGGCTTTGACTGTCTAACGATAACAGCTGGCATAACCTTTTTTCTTAATTCTGGCTTTCCCTTCTTGACGGTTGCCATAACCATATCACCGACACCACCGGCTGGGAGACGGTTAAGACGGGCACCGATACCCTTGACGGAAATGATGTACAAGTTACGGGCACCAGAGTTGTCGCAGCAGTTCATGACGGCTCCGCTATTTTCTAGTTAGTATTTTGTGCTTCATCGTATTGCGAATTTGAATAGGGATAGGCCCGCAGAATCAGGAATTATCGTTGTCGTGTATTCGATATCGCAGATTGTTGATTGTGGGAACTGGAGTAAAAACTCACACTGGGAGACCGAGAGTCATCTTAAGCTTGCCACCAGGGGCTCCACGTCTATGAACAAGATCATATTAGCTTTTGATTCGGTCGACTTTCAAAATTCTGTCATATAGCCTCAAATATTCAATCCCCATCCTCAATGGCCCCTCCCAAATTTAATTCCTTTCACCCATCCCCGTCGCTGAAGTCCCCGCGCATTTCTTTTGCCCAATCGACCCCACCCTCCGTTATAACTGTGTAAAAAGCAGACTCACGAAATCTTTGCCATCTCGACGGTGTTTCTTCCGGTATGCTGAAAGGGTCGAAAATGTAATTTGTCGAATTAGAGGTTGTCGTCGGGTTGATATTATTTCGAGGTTGAATTGCGAAAAATTGGCTGGTGCAAACCCTAATCTGAATAAGCGAAGAAAAAATTCGGATCCACTAATTTTTCTACCCGCAAGGAATCTCAGGTACCCCATCTCGTGAAAGTGAAGGGAAAAGCTGCAATTTTTGAAATGTTATCGCTCTATGGGGAGTGAAGTTTTAATTCCATGGTCTACAATAATTGATTCCCTCGAATAAACAACCCAATATAATACGGCGGAAGTCATCAGTTCTCAAAGTGTCTCCTTTTGCTTCACGATTTTACGATTTCTTTGCCACTTGACGTATATGCACGGCGCTGGGATTACAATCAGATTTTTTGAGACCATTTTAATCCTATTTACACAAAAGTGTTGGTATCTCCCGGGAGTAGAGGTAACGGAATCCAGAAAACTTGCAAACCTTCAGCTGAAATATCCCGTCTGCAAAAAACATTTAGTCTCCGGAAGTTCCAAGCCCCATGAAAGTTCCTCATTCCGTTCGCCATGTACGCCATGCTCAATTTGCCCCCCCTCGAGAAATGAGTAAAGAATTAGGAAAGTAAATTATTCTGTAGATTCAGGATCGTCGTCCAAGGTCAAAACGCATCGAGATTAGGACACTCATCTAAGAAATCGCATAGACTAAGTTCCTATAAGATGAATTGCCGACATACGATAAATGAATGGACCGGCGATCGCCTTTGGGCATATGTATGTTCCCATATAGCATCCCTCTAGCGAAAGAGCATACAGCAGGGGCTTAAAAGAAAATATGATGTTTTGAAAACCCCCTAAAATCCAGTGAAACTCCATGATCGAAAAAAGAAAATCGTGCTTGGGACAACGTCAATATCCTTGAATTACTCATGATTGAGCTTGCTCGGTGACCTTCTCACTTGCTTCTGCTGTCATATCGGTATCTTGTCTTTCAGTGTCGCTTTCCTGCTTCAATATTACAGGCTCTGTTTTTGGGGCGACTGTCTCAGGCACAGTTTCAGCATTGCTAGCGACCGCCTCAATGTTCGTAGCAATATTGGCTTTGACCGAGGCTGCCGGCGATGCAGGTGATTTTTCAGATTTCTCTGGGACTGCCTGGGCGTCGAGCGGCTCCGTCATATCAATATCGCCTTCATTGTCCACAACCGGTTTAGGCGAGTTTGAGAGAGATGGGGCATTTGATGGGCCCACTTCAAGAGTATCGGTGGGGGTTGCGTCTTGAGTCTTTTGTTCCATAAGCTCCGCATTTACTTGTGCATTGGCCTCGGTGACAGCTATTGGAGCATCTTCAATCTCGTCATGGATTTCGATCTCTGGAGTAGGAACACCACTATCCATATCAACATCCGAGTAAGTGTGATTGCGTTGTTTTGCTTGGCCATTTTGAGCAAATGCTCCATTTGCAAGGTTCGCTTCCTCTTCATCAGCTTCATCGAACTCATCGTCCCGAGCTATATGTTTATCGTTGCGATGCTGAGTATGACGAACATCCATGTTTTCGTCTTCATCAGCATCAGCTAAAATATCATCATCTTCGTCGGTCGTTCCAGCTAAAGTAGTACGGGGTACATCTTGCATTTGCACAGATGGGGCGTGAGCAGTTCTCTTCAAATTCTCGATGACTTGAATTTTTATCTTCTCGAGATAATCTTTCGAATTAGCATTCTCCATATTAGAGGCTCGAACATCAAGCTCATAATCAGGGCCGTAATACTACATGTCAATGTTAGATATCTTCACAATGCTGTGGCAGGAAACATACCTCGTAATATTCGTTGTAAGGGAGTACGGGATCCATCTCCTTGCCAACTAGAACACCAGTCTCAAATGCCCAAGTTCGCGCAACATTACGCATAGTGTAACCGCCTCCTCCAAGCACTAAAGTGGGCTTGTTAAAGCTTTTGACAAATTGAACACAATTGGCATGGCCCCTCATGCTCAAATTAAAACACCCCAAGCGGTCTCCAGAAAGACTGTCTCCACCACATTGAAGAACTATGGCTTCTGGCTGATAGTAATCCATTACACTTTGAATGACAGGTTCAAAGATGGATTTATAAGTAACATCATCGATACCGTCGCGAAGTGGGAAATTAACTGCGTAATTTTTGCCTTGTCCAACACCGATATCTCGTAGTTCACCAGTTCCTGGGAAATATTCGCCATATTTGTGGAACGAAACTGTCATCACTCTATCCGTGGTATAAAAGGCTTCCTCGACACCATCACCGTGATGAACATCGATATCAATGTAGAGAACTCGCTTCTTGAAGCGCAACAACTCGATTATGCCGAGGACAATATCTGAGACCAAATCAGTACAAGTATATATTACGAAAGATATATTCTCTTACCATTGACATAACAGAAGCCACTTGCTTCACTTTTCTTTGCATGATGTAATCCTCCAGCCCAATTGATTGCGATGTCGCATTTTGAACGATTCAGTCGGGCTGCACCCTCCATACTACCCCCAGCGCTAATTCCGCAGAATTCGAACAGTCCATCGAAGACAGGACAATCATCTCCAACGTTATACTTTCCCTGTTCCTTTGCAAAGGAATCCATGTTGTCGGGAGTAACTCTCTGAAGAAAGTCAATGTATTCATCGGTATGGAATTGTGTCATTTCGTGCCGGGTTGCTGGTTTGGCTCGCTGCCAGTATAGTCAGTATATAATCAGGAACGAGTGCCTTGGAATGCCTTGATGATTGTTCTTCTACTTGCACTCGCAGAGTAGGTAAGAGACAAGATAAGAATCTCAAAAGAGGGGCTTGCTCAATCGCAACTCACGTAAATCTCCATTTTCTGGTAAACTCCATAATTCATAATCAAACTATGTGCCAATCGTATTCTATGAGGTTTCATGGGATGACCTGCAACGTAGGCATAATTTCCGACATCTGAGTCGTAGAAGTATGCCACCCTCTTTTTGGTGCTTGGCCCATTCGACACTGGATCTAAAGGCGCGAAGGAATTCGACATATTGAATAAACTTGTGATCGTAGCCAGTAACAAGTAATTTTGAAGTTCCTTAGAAAAATCAATGATGAGCTTGTGTAATTGAAGTAAATGTTGGCCAAACTAGATAATTGTGGGTGAAGGCTGAGGAAGAAAGAATAAATGGGAAAGGCGGCGGAGGTGGACGAGGATAAAAGCGAGGAAAGTCAAGAGAGCTTGGAGCGGAGTAAGAAAGTCAACCAATGATGACCAAATGTTCCAAACACACCCTATCGCTCATTGGATGAAGGATAAAGGTACAACAAAACAACCTTGTTTGAGACAGCCAAACTCAAGAAGAAGATTTATATCATAAATTGGATAATCAATTTTCATGATATTCCCAAAGGATATATAAAACATCTAGATAGTCAAAGCTTAACCTTATCCAGGAAAAATTAAAGCTACGATTCTACATTTACTCGAGTGTCTCCGAAGGATTGACAAGGCTGAAGATCATGACAAGGCTGAACAGTCATGTGTTAAAATCTTGATTACATAATAACCTTACCCTTCACTGAACCTCATGCGCGTTCTAAGCTGCCTTGAGTTGGAGCTTTACAACACCATTGTAACTTTGACACTTTTCGACTTTTTCCTCGTCCTCTGTTCTCCTCAAGATACCCCTTTCACACTTAATAACAGATCAAAAAATTCAATATGGACAGATTAAATCGCATGTTGGCCAATGCTGGAGGTATGGGAGGCATGAATTCTGCTGTACCTGGATCTGTAAGCTATTCTATTTCCAAATTCAGCAGAATGGGCTCGAATATTAGTGGAATTACTGATACTAACCTCATATAATTCTTAGGATAACTCAAATCTGATCGATAACTCCGAAACCGTATATATCTCTTCGTTGGCGCTACTGAAGATGTTGCGACATGGCAGAGCTGGTGTACCTATGGAAGTTATGGGTCTGATGTTGGGAGAGTTTGTGGATGATTTCACAGTTAGAGTTGTGGATGTATTTGCGATGCCGCAAAGTGGTACAGGTGTTAGTGTCGAGGCAGTAGATCCAGTATTCCAAACGAAAATGATGGATATGTTGAGACAGACAGGACGGTTCGTACACTCTTCTCTTCCCCGCGAACCAAGTTTCTAATATTATCTTCTGCAGACCCGAAACTGTTGTTGGCTGGTACCATTCACATCCAGGTTTTGGTTGTTGGCTATCATCTGTAGATATTAACACACAACAATCATTCGAGCAATTGACACCTCGAGCTGTTGCCGTTGTTGTTGATCCTATTCAATCCGTTAAGGGAAAAGTCGTTATTGATGCTTTCCGTCTAATCAATCCACAATCTCTCATGCTCGGACAAGAACCTCGCCAAAGTACATCCAATTTAGGACATCTTAACAAACCTTCTATCCAAGCGCTTATCCACGGCCTCAACAGACATTACTACAGCATAGGAATCAACTATCGCAAAACTGCCTTGGAGGAGAATATGTTGATGAATTTGCATAAACATGTATGGACTGAGGGTCTGCAGATGGATGATTTCCGAGTTGAAGGAACTCGAAACACCGAACGATTACAGAAACTAGTTGGACTTGCTGAAGGTTATGAGAAGCGTGTCAAGGAAGAGACCGAAATGACTAAAGATCAATTGAAGACCAGATACGTTGGAAAGGTTGATCCGAAGAAACATTTGGAGGATGTTGGACAAAAACTTATTGAAGACAACATTGTTTCAGTTTCAAGACAGATGATTGACAAGGAGGCATCTGCACCAAAGGAGAAGAGTGGAGCAAATGGACACGCACCACAGGACATGGATGTTGATGAAGAATTGTAACGATTTCCACATGATACTGTATAATAGGCGTTTGGATGCTAGCTAGAGCTTAGCATAAAAACTCTACATGACATAGTTGGTCTGGAGATGGAGTTAATGCAGCTTGGTTCCGAGCCTATTTTTTTTTCTGCTATAAATATGATGCGAGAGTTGCAGCATACATATAAAGTATTAGGGGAATTAGACTTAAATCTATCAAGTCAAATTACGATGTTAAGTATCGGGTGACGAAGTGAACTAGCAGACTGGGGTGATTCTAATAACTGAATTATTATCTACTCCTCCAGAGATGTTTGAACTATGCTCTAGCCTCTAACAGACTATTGCTTTCTCATAACCCCATAGCTACCTACCTACCTACCTACCTACAGCTTAATATACCCATGAGGTAAATCCAGGTTCATTTTTTCATTTTTTCTTGAGCAATAAAACTACTAGGTGTACCTGCTTGCCTAGCATCGTATCGTATCTTAATTCCAAAATATATAAATATATATAGAAATATATCCCTTTTTTAAGTTAGGGGGGAGGGAGGGGAGCAGATATAGATAGGTCATGTAATTATTAATCTCCGAAATATTTCTTCACGCGGATATCTGGTGGTGGTATGTTTGGGGTGGATTCCTGAGGTTTGGGGATTTCTTGGGGGTTTGAGGGGTTTGGAGTGTGATGGGTAGAGAGATAGGGAGTATACTTTACATATATACAGCGTATGAATACTCTCATATTGGGAGTTGGGTGTAGGAATCTAATGCAATGTTTTATTTCATTTCATTTCGATTCGATTATATCCTTTCTATCTACCTATCTATTTAACCCCCCCCCCCCCCCCCCCCCCCCCCCCCCAATCCAAGTCATACCAGGTACTTCTAACTTGTATTGTGAGCATCATGAGATATGGAAAATTTTTCTGTTATTTATTTCCTTATTTGATCATACCTATGCATTCCCAGTGCTCCAAACGAGAAACTTTCCTCTCGTTAATGTAAGAAAAGATAGGTGTAGGAATATATCTTTTATACTATATACTCTGTATACAGAAGAATATGCACCGCATACCATGTACTGCACCCCAGACGACGCAAAAGAATATAAGAAATATAAAAACACAAGAACATAAAAGCACGATCTTACCCACCCCTTGTTCTGCCAAAAGCCAAATACAAGAAAGACAGAAAGAAAGACGTTAAAAGACACGCATTTGGTTAGGGGGTAGGTGGTAAGAATATTCCAAAAACACAAAACAAGGAACTTCTAAAATGAAATTTTAATATTTTAATCAATACCATTGCTGGATTATGAAATGTACACCTTAAGTGTAGATAAGTCTATGTACAAAAAAATGCATAAATTCGCTAATAGCCCAAAGCTACCTATACGCTGTAGACAAAGTCAAGCCAGACCGACCAGAATCACTCCATGCAATACGCGAAACCGATTTGGGTATCTGACGAGTCTGAAAAATAGACTCGAGTAAAATGCCGAAAACTCCTATTCCTTATCCCAAACAACCCTCTCTCCCCGAAAAGCTAGCCATGTATATAAAATATTATACGCTTCCATTTTCATGCCCATAAAAATGTCAAAGAATTACCGCCCAGTATTTGTATCCTCATCATCGTTTATTCATATAAATGTCCAGATAAAGACTGCCTAGCAACTCCATTATGAATGTAAAATGGTAGTTCTGTGTGTGTGAACAAAGTCATATCTGCATCAAGTCTTGTCTCGTCAACCGACCTCATTGTATGAGGTAACAAAGGCATATCTGCATGAAATTCCGGCTCATCGTCCGATTCCGCTGCTATAGTCCCATCTTCAGATCTATCATCTTCATCCCCATTCTCACTTCCAAAATGCATCACTTCATCTTCATCTTCCGAACCATGTTCCGATTCGGTCATAGCGTCACTAATGATAGAGGCAGGAGAGACTGGACGTGGAATGGATCCAAAAGGTGGTTGAATTGGAGAATAAATGTCGTTCCTGAGGAACGTAGCAGTATTGGCAGCTTCTTGAGTATCGGTAGTAGATCTCTCCGATAAAAAGTCCCAATCCCTTTGATCCAAAGCACGTCGAATCTGTCGACGTTGTTCAGGATCCGCAAGAGCATCTCCGAGATGCCAGATTGGTCCACCATATCTCTCAATCCAGAATCTGCAATCACGAATTGAGAGTACACGAAGATTTGGCCCCATTTTTCGAGAAATTCTCTCCGCAAGTTCTAAATTCTCACATTCGGACCCTGCTAGATGTTTCATACCCAAAAGATGATCTTGGTCTATTGATCTGAGTCGGGGGCTAGATTTATCATGTGGATCGGGAAGAAGACCATAATTCCATAACAACCCAGGATTCAGGACAAGAACTTTGATATTATGCCATGCTCGATAAGATTTAAAACCGACATCGATGTTAGTAAGATCAAATCGATCAAGCCTAGCCCGGCGAAGATCGTCACCCCAATAACCCCCACCGTCGACGGACAGGAAATCTGCAGGTCGAGTCCATTCTTGTCCTCTAGGAACATTGGAATAATGATCGGCAGTATGTTCTGAGTCCAGCCGAATCTCCTTGATGGACATCCATTCCTTAAGCACTTTGTTTAATGGATTTTCATATTTTAATAGTCGGTTATCTTCGGCTGCGTTAAGAAGTTGAAAGGATTGAAGAGTAGGCTTGTGTGATTCAATAAAAGGGATCATGACTCTGCTCATGGCACGAGGGTGGCGGTAATCATGTCTCTCAGACTCGGGCCAAGGTAAGTGAAGATGAGTTAGGCGGGGGAAGAGGGGATTTCTCTCGGAAGAACAACTGAGAACGTGAGTGAGCAAAGATTCGTCTAAAAAGTCGAAGTAAAATCTTGTCAAATTGTTCCTGCATCTGCGGAATGATTGTTGTACAATCTTTGGAGGAGCGATAGGACTATCATACAAAATTAGTATATCTGAAACGGTTGAATGGAGTTTGGACTGACAGATGTGCATCATCTTCGAGAACCAGTTCACGCATAGATGCTGGGAAACCAATATTTGTATTCTGAATAATTGGTGAAGTATCATCGATCTCTTTGGGTACAAGATTCTCCCAAAATCTTGCCAAAGTGAGTGCTCCTTGATCATTAAAGGATCTATTATCACGGGTGACAGCAATGTGAAGGACTTCAAGGTTGCTTTCCCTGACTGCAGCACCTAAGGCTGCCGATTCCAAAGGTGATAGCAAACCAATCTCGAAAGTTGTTAGTCTTGATAAACCTTGGAAATTTAGTACCATGTTTTCTACTAGCTCTTGTTTATCCTTCTGAGAGAATTGATTGATGGCTTCTGCTGGATGATACCTGTCTAGAAGAGCTTGAGAGTCAACTGTTGTAGTTCGCCATATCCTTAATTCTCGAAGGGATGGTAATGCGAGTAATAAATTCCAGGTTCTTCTATTAACCTCACCGTCAATTCGTAGCGTATAAAGGTTATTCATCATGGGAAATAAATCTTTATAAACTTCTTGGATCCTCCAATCTTCTCTTGAACCACCTTGGGGTAAATCTCGCGAGTCGACATCCCAAACTGTCCTAAGAGCGAAGTTTTTGACCATTGAAAGCCTCGAAACAATTGAAGGCACTCTTAGATCTCCTCTTTTCATTCCCATCCATTTCGGCAGTAAATGTGTGTTATTCCGTCTTTCGTAACTTTCATGACGAAGGATTTGAACAGGGTCTTGTCCGTCTGAGGGGTAGGCTGGATCATAAAATTGGGAGGTATTGATAGTGATGTTTGACCAAAGTATTCGTTCAGCAATATCATTGCATGTCCAACTAACTAGCGCCCAATTCTTTAATGATTGTAAGTCGTCGGCTTGGGATATGATGTTGTTGATAATTTCGGTGGGTAGATATGGGATGGCTATCGGTTTCGCGGATCGTGGTGTGACATGGCTAGTGATACCTGAGAGATGATGTTAATGGTTATCTTTAGATTAAATAGATGCAGATGGCAGAAAGAGAAGTGCAAGAGTGCATACTTGACCAGGGTATCATGTTGTTACCCGTTAAGATATTTTGATGTTCATCATAAATGATAGAACCATCGGAGGGTAAGCAGGTGGTAAGAGCCGCCGATTGCCAATTCCCATCTCTTTTAGTTTTGGAAAAAGGAATGGTTTCGCAGGTAGCTTTCCCACTAGTAGAATGACGTTTCAATTTCTCCATGATGATGTGTTGCATATGTGAGAATTTAAGAATGAATGGATTTGTTTCTTTGCTTTGTGTAGAGGGTTTCAAAGGTTAAAGAGAGATTGAGAGACTGGGGAAATGAGAGATGGAGAGATGAAGGCGTGAGATCAATATATTGCAGCGACAGAAATTATGTGGTACGCGAATGGATATGCTGTGTGTACTGTACTAGTACTAGTAAGTACATCACCATACACTCCCCGTCCGTATTGTAGACAAACAATGATGCTATTTCAGTCTAACTTGATGATAGCCGAGCCCGAGATGCAGTTAGTTATCCGCCATCTTCTTTTTGGGGGAGTGAAGGGGGGGGGATGTTTCGGGTTTCAAGGGTCATTCGCATTTTATTATCCTTGCGGGTCTGGATGGTACTGCACTGCACCTACCTGGTACTAGGTATCTACTCTCGACTATCGACTGTACAGAGCACTATGGAGATGGAAGTGCATGTCCATCACTCGATAACTCCGTACAGAGTATATTATTCCATGTAACCTTCACCACCGCCACATTCATCTGTGAGAGAGTGTGTTTGCTTTGAAAAGCTGCATTCGTTCCTTGAATCGTGAGGTTTTACATCTTGCTGTATTACTCATATGTGTGACCCGTGTATAGACCAGAAAGGATCGATTACACCCACTACCTACATCAAATCTACATCAAACCTACATCAAATGTACCAGGTAGATACTCAGCTACCTCATCTACCCACCTATGAATTATATCCTCTTATTTATATTTGAATCAGCCAAAAAATTAACCTTATACGTTTCAAAGTGGAATGAACCATTATTGTAGATGGCATGACCTGATACACTCAGTACATATGAGAATCAACAGTGGGATCATGGCTAATCATGGGTTTGCTCTCTATTAGGCACAATTGCTTCAAATTCAAAGTTCAAACATCCATTCAGCTACAGGCCTAGGAATATCAACTAACACAACATATTAATGTTTCCGACATCCCATTTACGATTGCTAAAACGTCTCACAACCCTTCAAGATCTTGCTTGGGCTTGTGTTTCTCCAATTTCTTACTCTGTACATTCGACAATCATCTTATCCATTGGATATAAATCTCCGAATCCTGCTCGGTCAGGTATACTAAACAGTGGATACTTATTGCCAGCGGCCGTACACGTAGACCTCGAGAATTTTTAAAGCACACGTTCTTCCAATACTTTCAAAATTTACAGCCTCAAAATGGCCTCGACCTTGCCTTTGATTCGAGGAAATGGACATTGGTGGAGGCAATATGTTCTAATAGGCTATCTCAAGAGGAAGAAATTTTGAGATTTCTCATGACGAGAAGAGAAGACTTGCTGTGAATTTATTATTGACATCATTGTCAAAGTATTGATCATCCTTCCTATTTTTAATGGAGTAAAAGAGGATACTCTTTGAATGCCGCCTCAACGTCTCAATGCACACTCAACCGTTTTAAGTGATGATATCTGCTAGTGCTGCAATCGAGCTTAAGGGTAGAACTATTATTATATCCACTGTGGAGAAAAATGCAGAAATGATTCTAGAATTTCAGCCATTGCACTTATTTTCCTTCGTTTCCCTTCATTTTCCTCCCTACTCGGTACGCCTTTGATCCATCAAACTACTTCCCCTCTATTCATCAACTTCCGCCGTTATTCTCCATCTGATATTTACTATGCAGGTACGAATCTTTCCTTGAACACTTATCAGAAGGCAAACGGCGAAAAGACCTTTGCCACGTATTTCAGCCCAAAGGCTTCTTAATGGTCTTAATGGACTTGGTTTGGGTCTCCAGGATCATGTATCATGAGGATGATGGAGTACTCTATCTACCCACCTAGGTATCTTAAGGCGCTTTATCCTCGGATGATCCTCGCCTCTATGAGGTGCTTCAAATCACGAGGTAGATCAAGTTTGCTGGTATTGCAAAAGAACTTCCAAATCCTCAACTCAACCGGCAATGAAAAGGTAATCCCATCACCCCTCATTAACACATCTTGATGTCTTGCTCTTATCGTGGCTGAGTGTACAAGATCGAAAGATCATGTTGATCGGGTACAAATGATATCATGTTTGTCCTCTCACTCCTCACGCCTTGAGATTAATGTCTGCACCGTGCCACCGATTCGATCCACCCGTTCGTTGTGAGACTACTTTATTTGTCGACACGGCCATCACCGAGAAGGATGTTTTTAAGACATATTCCTGCGGGTATTTGCTGAAGTTTTTCAGGACACAAACTTCTAGATACCAAAAGGCTCGTCCCACATAGACATAAGATCCGACTCGATCAACCCCGTCGGGTTCGATTGGTTATTCTAAATTTCTAGATGGTGTTTTGAAACCCAGGCGATCCTAGATCATGAATATTAGGCCTATGACTAAGGAAATTAGTTACCCCAGATTTACAAGACAATATAGGGTCCAATAAGCAATATATATGCTACATCTATACTACCTACTAGACTCATGGGACCCTTTTATGACAGAGAAGGCATTCGTCAGCCTTGTTAAGTCATTTAACCTTGCATAAGGGTCCAGCAGCGACTCTTGGAGCCATAGCAAATGTTTCCAATATTCTGCCTTCTCCATGGAAAGTTATGAGTCTGATTGGCTCGACTTTTAAGAGGAGGTACGGCAGTTTGTGAGTTCCCAACGATCTTTGATCATTCCAATCCGGGGATCCGGAGATTGTTGTTGAAAATGAAAATGAAAATGATTGGTATTTGTCGTATGCTCACCAGCTTATGGATTATTCAGCTCGATTTTGTAGTTTTGGGGACCGGAGTACAGAGTACAGGCAAAAGGGACTAATATGAAATTCAACTTGACCTTTTATCTACTCGAATCATAGCATAAGCATTTGCATTCTTATGATTCCGAAAGCACGTCGTGGGATAATTTTTAAATCCTTCTATCTTGATCAGAGGAAATGGTAGAACAACGGAACTCCATAATCATTCGCCATTTCAGTATCAAGCGCCCTCAACTCTTCTCTCGCCCTCTAAATGACGTACCGACCGGCCGTATGCGATCTCCCATTCTTAGACCCATTTTTATGTTCATCGCAGACCACTTAACTTTAATATTACTTGACCTTGATCAATTGGTGGCTCGAGGGTGGATTAGTTAGCTCCATCACCAGAACTTGGTTCTTCCCTTAACTGCGCCAAAAGGACGAGAACGGCAAAAGAATAAGACGAGTTCGAGAAGTTCGCAGTCTACCCCTTCTTTAGCACTTTATTGTGCCGTGGTCCCTGAATTAATTATTCATCTCCTCATATCACGATTGCCGTCTGTTTCATGTGAATCTAAAGGGCCAAGAGAAGGAAAACTTTTTGGGATATTTTCAATCTCGAGTTCCTTTTGTTTACAAAAGATAAGCAAAAATGCAATCGCGCCGGCAATCCGCGAACGAGGATCCAAACTTTTTAACAACAACCGGAACAGAATTGCCAACTTTATCAATACCCAGAATACCTGAGAACAACTCAAGAAGGAATAGCAGAAGAGGAAGTATTGGTCCATCTACAGCACGTACATCGGCGAATTCACTTGCACAGCAGAACACTCCGAATACCCAGGCAACGAACGATAGTCCACAACTGCAACGACCTCCACCAACAATATGGCGACCAAGTATTCGGATTAGGCGATTATCATCAACAAACAATCTTCGTGGTGGAAATTCGCAGAGCAATCTACCTTATGATTATACATCGCGGAGGGATTGGCAGATCAATAATAGTTCGACTCCGCATATTGACAACAATCTACCTTCCGCCAGCAATACCATTGATATATCAAACAGGCGTCGGAGTAGTTCTGAACCACAACGTCCAGCATGGTTAAGTACTCAATCAGCTACGAATGCTGGTCCACCACGAGTGAGGGCAGGCTCATATATCCCGAATATCATTGAAGAGGCACCTGCCACAAGACAGGAGGGTCCGATTTTCAACCCAATCCGTCCAGGTGAAAATAGAACGGTCAATGAGACTCCTGGTCCTTTAGTACATTCTCATACAGTCAGTGAGGCAGTACCAACTACTCATAGCGAATACGACACTGATCTTGTTGATTTCCTTGATCTTGTTGGTTCGTATCTCTCAAGTTTCACCTATGAATATCTCTAACTTTTCCAGATCCCGAAATCTCTACCTTGACCAGTCTTACCAATATTCAAAACTCTTTATTCATCCCATCACTTGGCAACTTATTTAATCGTAATCCAACATATAATCTTTCCCGAAATGACCTTGCCCATGGTCCAACAAATGATCTTTCTCGTCGTCCAACAAATTTGGCTGAACGCCCAATAGTTGAAGAGCCGGAGCCAAATAACGAATCAAGGCAAACACTCCCTCGACCAGAAAGGCCTCGACTTCAGAGTAGAGATACTGGAGCTTTTACTCTCACTGAATCCATATCGCATCCAGATGAGGAAACTCCGCATTATGCAGTAGTTCCGGAAGGCATCAATTTGGATGGATGGTCACCAGAGGATAAAAAAGAACTCAATGATCATGTACGACATTTGTTACATTCAAGGAGGGAAGGATTTAAGCGAGCAATGAAGGGATTTGGACAATATGTTAGACAGCGTATGTCTCTTCACCTTCCAAGTATTTATTAGACTAACATTTACAGCTCTTGGATTTTTCGTTACCATATATGCAACTCTTATTACTTTATTTGGATTAGCATGGGTTCTTTTCTTAATTGGTTGGGTTAATCTTGGAAGTAAACGTCTTTACGTGATAAACGTTATTGACAATGTTCTTGTCGCCCTTTTTGCTATCATGGGTGATGGACTTGCTCCATTTCGAGCTATTGACACTTACCACATGATATACATAGCTCATTATCATCATTTAACCTGGCGACTTCGAAAAGAAAAGGCCTTACCAAAATTAGAAGATCATAATGACCTACCAGCCATATTACCCGAAGATCTAGAAGATCAAATTGTCGAAGATGAAGTATCAGTCCTCAACCCAGCTCAACAAAAAAAACTTCAACATCATCAAAAGAAATTCAATCGATCTCATACATTTTATAAACCTCACGAAACTGCAACACATCACGCATTCCCTCTTCGATTACTTGTCGCTGTTGTCGTTCTTTTGGATTGTCATTCCCTTCTTCAAATAGCTCTTGGTACATGTACTTGGGCAATCAGTTATAAGACCCGACCATTTGCATTAACAACGGTGATTCTATGCTGTAGTATTACAGTGAATATTACAGCTGGTGTACTTATCAGTGTTGGAGATCATAGAACTAGGAAGAAGGATGTTTTGGAGAAGATGTTTAAGCAGGATTTGACAAAGGAAGCTATACATAAGATGGAGAAGAAGAAGGAAAAGGAGAAGGAAAGAAATGAAGAGTTGGAGGCGGAGAATAATTCAGAGGTGAACATTTTAAGGGACAACAGAAAATCCATCGATGTTCAGGAGCCAGGAATTGAGAATGAGGATAGAAACGGACAGTGAAACTATAACTATGACTGAAGCTAATAGTCTGAAATATCTATGAAGCATGATGAGAAGGATATGAGGAGATTTATTGTTTTGAATTCTGACTGGATATTCGAGGTAGGATTTGGGATATGAAGCGGACAATTGTATGATCATGGGTGTATGTGTGGATGAAAAAATGAGTTGTTTTGTTTATATATAATAGATACCAGGGGATATACATTGCCCTTTACCATTCTTCTAATTACTACTTCTTCGAAATATGAAACAATTATTATAAGAAGGATTTTCTTCTAAAGTTATGTTATTGCACTTCTCTTTTTGCTTTAGTGATTCGCTGATTCGGTGATGTGGGATACATATATATAAATATATGCAAGTTTATGACTATGCAACCTCCTAGTTGATGGGGGATGTTGAAATCTACTATCTTCATCTCAAATTACTTGATACATTAATACATCAATAGGCATATGAATCGGATAATCTATGAAAATCAGCCTACATACATGTACGAAGTATTAGTTATCCACAGTACTCATACTCCACCCCTAATAAGCATCGATATCGCATCCCATCCACTCATATCAAACCCACCCCTCTGCCTCTACGTATGTACATGTACCTCAACCTCGGCCTCGCTTAATTCATTCTCCCATATCCCATCATGGAAATCCCCACCAGCAATGATAAGAATATAATATATATTCTAATTAGTCAAGGTAGAAACAACAACAGAAATTAAGAAAGGCCGGATGGTGTAGTTGGTTATCACGTGTCCTTAACACGGACAAGGTCCTGGGATCGTGCCCCAGTCTGGTCATGTTTTTTAGTTTTTTTAATTTTTTAATTTTTGGAGAAGTTTTGGGGGGGAGGAAGAAAGAGTGTTTTTGGGGGACTTGCGGGGAGGGAGAGGGAGATTTTTGTGGGTGGGGTGGGGCTTGTGGGCTAGCTACTCGTAAGTGCTAGTGACGGTTAGAACTATGGAGTATGGAGTAGTTCCGATTCATGCATTTGATTACTCGTAGATCTACGGAATAAAGTAAACTAGCTATACTTTAAATATTTACCTTGCTTTTTCGTTTTGTTCTTCCTTGAATTGGTATATACCGAGTACTAGCAACTGTTGTCCTTTATGTTTGATGACTAAGGAGTGAATGTACTTAGTAAGCAAGAGGCTCAAGATCGACATCTACTAATTTAGGAACGGTAACGTTGACCTGCTATACGTTAGATGTTGTGCTAGGTGGGTATGTCTAAGGTTTGTACTTGATATCATAATCTTGATAATTGCTATCTTTATCTCGATCTCGAGTCAAGGTTGATCTTGACTCGGGTTGTACTTAGTAAGTGCAGAGCTTGAGGAAGCTAGCTATAGCTATAGTGTAACTATAGTACTTGTTAAATGATTCGGGATTGGGGAATCGGAGGACATGAATCTTTCCTCCACTCATCTTTTCTTCATCTTATCTCCTACCCAATCCTAACCTGTCATTTAAGAGAGCTTGTGGTTCTTAAGAATAGAGTCAGTATCTCGATCCAAGTTACTCATGATCTAGCTACAGACCTCTCTATCCCCTTTTAGTCTAAGTAGAAGTCGAGATCTGGCTGAGGTCTAACTCAACAACTTTAGAGGACTTTTTAGTGCAAATGCAGATGCCATGTTTATTTTAGCGTTTAATACTGATGTGATTGATTTACTTCATACTTGTTCTTACCTCTCTCTTCTTTTGCATTTATGTGTTCAATTCCCACTTGCATGGCTTTTTTTTACTTTATATGTTTTTATCTTGATACACGAAAATATCCTAGTTATATACCTTTGATCTGCGACCTTTGACTCTCGGCTTTTTCTCTTCAGATTTTATTACTTATTATCGTAGTCTTCCTCTCATCATAATATTTCTCTCATCATAATCTCTCTCATCATAATCTGTCTCATCATAATCTGTCTACCAACTACCGTGTTTACCCAATCCTGAATTTTTCATCTGCTCAAAACTTCGATCTCCTTCTAGTAGAATATCTCACATTTCCAAAGCCATTTAAGGCTGCTATCATATGTAAGCCTATCATCCTTAAATGCTACGAGCGTAGTTTAAACTAGTTGAGAATCCCACTGACATTTTGCATACGTAGAGCATCAATATATTCGTATTTATATTTCTACAGCCCATTCGCAAGCCCTTCTCGAAGTTCGATATCCACAAATATGAAAGGACAATCGAGCGGAGCCATGCAACGCTTCAAAAGAATGATTCCTCGTTCTTTAAGGCGTGAGTCTAATAGACCAGATGCATTATCATCTTCCGGTTTTAAAAACATTCCGTCGGACATTTTACTATGTATATTGGAATGCCTTCCTCCGCACGCCGCCGCCGCTTTTTCTCTCACCTGTACGATTTTCCAAACCCAATTTGGAGATAAATACGTCTGGCAGCCACGGCTTTTCTCGTCAATTGAGGAACGTGATGCACTTTTAAATTTGGTAGCCTCCGCCAGGTTAGGTGTTATTGCTTGTTCTTGTTGCCATAGACTCCGCGTGGCGAAGAAACTATATCAATATGACGGCCGAAAGACTAATATATCTCAACGAGAAAGGGAAGTAAAACGTCTAACTCAGTTTCTGGAATCTAAAAATGAACGTGTGTTCAAATACTTATCGCCTCATGGGGAAGTGCCAAAATTTAGCGATTTAGAGTGGCGGTATTGTTACGACTCCTCTCTCCAACCAGTCATTAGGACCAGTCAACAAGGACTTGTACAAATGTGCAATGACAATCTTCGAGTCATTGATGAATCTTTGATACATCGTCGCCAATGGGTATGGATGTCACTTGAGAACTTGTCTGCTTCAGCATTCGAAGGCCGAAGTACCAATCGGTTTGCAATGTCCGCAGTAGGGCCCTCCAATCTTCAAATTTGTCCACATATAAAACTGGTGGAAAAGATTACCGTCGGGGATTTTTTACAAAAAGGGAGATGTTCCGGATGCCGTACGGAATTTTCTCTTGGTTTCAAACATTTCGAGAGCCGTGGATATGCCTTCTACGTTACAATATGGAAGGATTTGGGAAATGAGCCATACAAAACAATGATGCAGTCATTCGAATCGGATAAAAGACATGATTCGAGGACTCATGAGCTTACATATTTGGCTGCTCACGAAACAAGTTGCGCACAAGATGACGCAGAAAATCGAATCTAGAACTACCCTCAGCTGCTAGAAATATCTTCGAAGTTTGAGCGCAAAGATAAGTCTAATTTTGAATCGATTTTTCAAGCAAAGTATCAGTATCCACTGTTCTGTTTTCAATGGAAACATCAAATGAAGGAATTAAAGATACCTCCATCACGTGCCCCGACTCATAATTGTTCTCGACCGCTCGACGAGCATAATTCGGTTGAAGAAACTCCTCAAGATCGTCCTCATCGTAGTTTGTCATACACGATCATTCGACGATTTGAAAAACTTTTGGAGTTTTGAATAAAGAGGATTCTTCAGAATAGGCTTGGTGCGTTTTGCGCTATGTTGGTTCGAAAAAGAGTCTGATACCTTATCGACATAAAGTACTCCTAACTCTGTGTTGGGTTTTACAATCAAGTCTTATGGTTTTATGAGGAATACTTACTTTTAAGGAGGTTCTGAGGGTTACCGATAGCGCTTACCAGACTTCCTGTACGAATACGTAGAATACACACTAGTGGCATGGCCCCCATTAAAATCAGTGTGTCCAATAGTCCGGACTGCAGAACGGACTATACGTTTTAAGTTAAACAGTCGAGCCTAAGTCCATTGGAAAGTTAAACAGTCCGTCTGGAATAATTTATCGCCAACAAGCCGATTTTTTAGTCCGGATTGCAATCTAGACTTTTTAATATTAGACTCTCTAGTCCAGACTTTTTATATTAGAACTCCCCCAATAGTCCATCTAGTCCAATAAATCACAGACTAGCCGTCCGGACGGAATACTGTAAGACTATTGGACATACTGCCCCATTTTTGTTCTCGACCTTACACGTTTTGCTCTTCTTCTTCTTCATCAAATTTCGGAACAGAGTTATTCGGGATGGCGAGCTTTTCACTACCGTCTCCCGTTCTCATTGATGGACTCTCTTACATTCCACCACCATCAGCCGAAGCATTCAAAGAAGAATTTCGGGATACTCCCTCCAGGAAAAGATGTTCAGTCATCCCGGGGCATAATACATTATTATGATTTCAACCCTGAAGCCTTGCCAACTGCAAAAAGACTCCTCTTGATTCATGGTATCGAAACATGCACTATTGGTATGGCACTGCTCGCTCAACGCCTCACGGTATCCGCATCGCCTGTTGTTATCTATGATATATGGGGACATGGTAATTCTTCCACTCCGCTAGAAACACATATTCTCGGCGTTGATGCATGAGCAAATCTTTGAGCTTCTCTCACATTTAAGATGGAGCACGATGCATATCATAGGGTTCAGCTTGGGAGGGAGCATTCTCGCCACGTTCACGGCGATACATCCTCATATCGCGGACAGTGCAACGATTATAGCTCGAGCAGGGCTTGGAGGAAAAATGGAAGTGGTTGGTGGGATAGATTGCGGCGCGATGGAGAATGGATATTAGATGATTCTAGTGAACACGCTATAATTGATGAGCTCGAAGGAAATGATTCATCCAAGGAAGGTTGGAAAGAAAGATTAAAGTACAGAAAAGGCGAATCCGAGCCGGTGGAAAGGTGGGAGAGAGAAAATCATACTGATCATAAAGCGAGTGTGGTTAGCATTTTCAGATATGGGAATATTTTCAATCTACATGAATCCTATCGTAAATTGGCGAATAGCAATCTTAAGATTCTGATGATTCTAGGAGAAAACGATAGTGTGTTTCCACCGGAATATGTGAAGAGGGGATTAAGTGCTCTGAGTTGGAAGAAAGATGTTAAGCTGATGGATGGGGCGGGACATGGTATTGTGAGAACGCATTCGGAGGAAGTAGCTGGCCTTATGAGGCGTTTTGGGAGGTGTGTGGAGTTGTGAGGTAGTAACCTAGGAAAGATACCGAAATCATCAGTCGGCTTTGCACGAAACCAATAAATGGAGCATTCCATTCATGCATTTACCGCCGAATCTACGGAAGATCCCTAAAAAAGAAACGTGGCTATAGGGCTTCCAGGGTATTCCACGCTATTAGAGTCCCTGGAAACCTTGTGTCTGTGCTTAGATAAAGGCCTAAATAGCCTACTTGTAGTGGTTAATAGATCCGAATTTAAAATTCAATAATTCCCAATTTGAATAAATTACAAGCATTCTATATATACCTCTCCGAAACTCATTCATAGGGCTCTACAAGTTATTAGGAAGATTTATCATAAGAGTCCTGTAATCTCACACTTGGACCATCTAATAAATGCGAAGAAAGCCTAATTATAAGATTATCATGTATCGAATTCATTTAATGCTAATAACTATAATTGATTGGAATTGAAAAGCTTGTAAAGTTTAAAGAAGAGTTTTAAGCTTTATTAAGCACTAGAGTTTTGTGGACGCAGTGGATAGTCTAGAGTTAGAGACTTAAGGTGTGTTATAGTGCTGATTTTCTGTAGGGCGTTATGGTTGTAAGATTATCTGAACGTTAAGTTGGGTCTCTCTTTGGTGTTTGATTGGTTATTTTTTTGTCAGTTGTGTAGTCCGTAAGGCCTTAGATTGTACTCGAGTATCGAGTCTTCGAGACGTACTGTGGTCATTTGTAAAGAAATATATGGCGGATTATGCATCGATTTTCACAATGCTCCTAACTTCATGTCCCTCTGTTTCTCGAACCAGCTAAACTTGTTTAGGTGGAAGTGTCAGTAAATGCCGAAAATTGTACTTCAATAGAAGGAAAAATATTTCTGCCTCATCTTATTCGTGTGAAGGTATAATGTACGGTTAATTGTCCAACTTCCTGTTGTGAATGAAGATATTGAAATTTAAAGTCGGTTAAGGGGTTAAAACATTTAACGAGGCAGACTCAAGGTGTACTAGATTCACCAGAACAAATAAAACCATGGTGATTGTTCTGACAATTCTTTATATTTTGGTATCGTTGTTCGTCCAATTCATACTATTTAAGTCTAGATGTACTTTTACATCCTATATCTATATAGATCCCATGCTAAAACGCCTTGTTGCAAATAGTTTGACAAAAAAAAAGAATAAACCACAAATGAAATAAATCACAAAAGAAATAATCCCCTCTGTGTTCAAGCGGAATTAATAGATACCATCAATTGTACGGATGTTGAACATCCTTCTCCAATATATCCGAGTGCTAGTCAAGATCATCCATCCCACTAAGATTTTTTCCCCATTCCCTTCTGTCTTTGTACCTCTAACCTAAACCTCTTCTCGAGTATATTGACGATTGTGATACTTGCCCGCGGAAGGGGTTCTATCCTCCATAGCGTAACCATCCCTGCTTCCTGTGGGAGCTGCTGCATGGTATTGCTGACCCTTTCCTTGAATGATAGCACTTGGATGACGAACATTAAAGATAACCGTAACAATGAACATGAGGGTAGCATCAAAGATATAGATATATGTCTCCGTTGACAAAAGATATCCATCATTTCCCTGAACATACTCGGCGATACGGAACAGCGATCGAATCATGATGAATGTACTAGCGAGATATAGAATCATCAAGTATTGTTGCCAAGGGACCGCAGCAGCAGCTGATCCACCATTTCCTCTCGTAATTCGGAAATGGAAAACTCCAGCCGAGACGATAAAGAAGGCGAAGAAGATAACTTGGACAACGAGACCACCAGTGATGATATTTTGGCCCCTCTGAATACTATCAGGTGTCTTCGCAGTGGCGAGCATTCCACCACCAGATGATTGCATCATGAAAGAAAGGACATCTCCGGCGACAAATATCTTGGTTAACCATCGAGCTCGAATAAGGGAATATTGCTCGCCATCTGTGAGGACGATGATGCGACCAAGTACCATGTAGATGGATGCGGCGAAGAAGGCGGGTGCAAGAAGGATGAAAAGTGATTGCAGAAGATAGGGTCCGAGAGTCCATTCCGCATATGCTTGCCGTGAATTCATAAAACGGCCTATGTAGCCTATGAATTCAACTGTTGGGGCTAGATTAGTATGTATAGATGAAGATGTGGGGAATGGTAACTTACATATACCTCCGATGACGAATGGGATGAAATACCATGTTCGCCTCTTGATTAATTGATAAAGGTGGAGGATAGCGGTGATACCGAATAAGACTATGAAAATGGCCGCTGGGGCTGATGAAGGGTTGTAGTGGTAGAGTAGATATTTGCCGCCATCGGTAGACATGATAATTGATGTATTGAGTTTGTCAAGGGGTTGTGTATGAATCAGAATTCGAAGTTTGAGGCGACCAAGAAAGAGATATCGAATTTAGACACTTTAAATTGGTTGTACTTTTCAAAGGGAAAGAAGAAGATGTGTAAAACAGAATGCAATGAAGAAGAGAAGTCCATTTTGTAGAAAAGGAAGTGAGCTATAATATATGTGGTTCTTGAAAAATGCAGCTTAATTGAAAATCTACAGTCTCGTATTCCACCGTTCTTGATTGGACTCGCATTCGCGCACGCATTCGTATATCGTTTACTCGGTTTCTCGCTCTCGGAAATATTCGCATATGCATGCGAGGAAGGCGGAGCTTGTGAAGAGTGGGTATGTACTTCTTGGCAGACAGATTGACAGACCGACCCTTCATTATTCTCCGCCTATTATGGATGTTTCAAGATTGGAAATGCATTGCAAATGAGATTTTTTTTGTTCCTTTGAGGAACTTTAAGTTATAATTGCTTGTCGAATTTTTCTCTGATATTTCCTGAACCGTGGATTTACGCTACAGTTGTGTAGACTTGATATAAGCTTTCTGGTCCACCTAGTACTCATTAGTAATATTCTAGAATGAATAATTTAAAGCGGCTGGGTTACTGGGTGGAGTAAAGAAGGTTTGTCTAATTGGATCGTTTAATTTTGCCCTTGTACATGCATACACTACCTAGGTAGTTTCAAAGATAGATCTCGCATTCTCGCATAACTTCGCTTCTAGATTGACCAACTTCATTCCATCATCAAACCACAGCCCAGCAACACGCACACTCATTTCCCGCCCAGCTAATAAGTTACATGTCGAGTTCTTCCAATGAATCAAGCCCGAAGCTCCTTATTGTACATCTAAGCACAATCGACAGCCAACGGAAAACCTTTATAAGGCTCCCCGTTCTCGGACCTCATACCGCTGCCTGCCTTGCTGCCTTTGCTTCATTATTTTCGTACTCGGGCTCCAGAGTAATACAGGATAAGATAAGATAAGATCCATCTTTTATATAATCCTATCATGCAAACGACGTCACGTAAGCCACATAGGAAAGTTCGGACAGGTTGTCGTGTTTGCAAGTCCAGAAAAATTAAGGTACAATACCCATTATATATACCTCCGATCTAATCAGCTGTAACTAATAATTGCTTTAGTGTGACGAAAATAAGCCATCATGTAAGGCTTTCCGGATAATAAATGTTCCTGATACCCAGTAGTCTGGACTATTGAACATCGAATGTTCTTTCCATATACTAACCATGATATAGGTAATAATTGCGTCAAACATTCCGTGTCATGTGATATCATGACAAGTAGCAATGCCTTAGCCCCGTCTCCTAAACCTAGCCTCAATGGAACACCAACGAACGCATTCAGCCCTATGAGTGTTACTGGATCATCACATTCTCCTCACCAGTTACCACTACCTTCAATTCCAATACTCGATGGTCATGGACCGAATTTCACTCTCCTTGACATGGAGCTACTCCACCATTACACTACATCCACATGTATGACTGTGGTCTCGAATCCTGCTCTTGCAACGCTATGGCGAATCAATATCCCACAGCTTGCTTACTCTCATGAAATTGTGATGCGGGGCCTTTTGTCGCTTGCGGCTCTTCACATTGCCCACTATAAGCCCGAAAAAAGAGACTTTTATATCTCGGTGGCTTTATCTCATCATCAAAATGCATTAGCTAGTGCAATCACCATGATGACTGATGTTAATGATGACAATTGTACTGCACTACATATATTTACCTCTATCACGTTATTGTACTCGCTAGCAAGTCCTCGGAAATCTTTGGATTTGATTATTGTTGGCGAGAACGACGTATCGGATTGGCTATCACTGCTGAAGGGAGTGAGAGCGATAGCAGATCACGCACACGAACAAATTTATCAAGGAAGTCTAAGGCCAATGTTCAGTGCTGGAGCAAGACGTGATAAATTGAGAAACGATCCGAGTCCATATCCCCCAAATCAATACCTCATCGAGGTGTCCGACTTCTTGACGGCATCTGTATCCGATCAACATGATTTGGAAATATACATGCAAAGTATAAATGAGCTTCAAAAGTCCTACGCGGTTCTCTTGAAAGTGGGTCGTGATAATTTTGAATCGGCTGATTTGTTTATTTGGCCATATCGAGTATCTGGTCATTATACGTCACTTCTTCGACAGCGAACTGCCCCTGCGCTCGTTATCTATGCATATTTTGCAGTGTTAATGAAATTTCTGGATGCACATTGGTGGATGAAAGGTTGGTCTGAATATCTGATTGCTCAGATTTATGGATTATTAGACGGCGAACACCGCATATGGATTAGGGGGGCTATTGAAGAAATTGGATGGGTCCCTTGATAATTTTCGGTGTAGGAGTGGTTGCTAGGACTTGTATTGCCAGGAAGCATTGATTGGTCCGAGATTGCTGCAATGTATGTCATACTTTTCAATATTTATTACGAACTTGCGAAAGAGATTAATACTATATCCTTTATCATGGGGTCAAATGAGAAGATGATTATGACCCATAGGACATCCTATCCTCACTAAAGGTTAAGGTTAAGATTAGGACGGTGAGGATAGTTATTTAAAAGTACATTCCTGGAAAATTACCACAGATATACAAGTATTGAACGAGTTTCGCTAAAGGCTGAGGAGAGCATGCTCAGACTTTGGGATTGCTAGCTTTGATGAAAAGAGGGTGCCAAATACATTTCTTAATGGGGTATTTGGCACCCATCTCTCCGAGTGTATTTGTACAATTAAGCAGTCGCTCCATGTTTTCGGCCTGCTCCCCCATTTTTCAAGGCCCCATCCGCCAACTTGTTCCCTTCCTCCTTGCCAAGCATGCCAGTGAAGAATTGTCGCCTCTTCCCCGAATTCTTCCTTCGACAGGTTCAGTACTAGGTAAGATGAGCGCCCTTGAAGAAGAAGGTGCACACTGGCTTGTCCGACTTTGAAGGATCTTTCGGTGGTTCAGCGAGGGTTTGTGGCGTATCCTTCGCTGGTTCAGCCAGTTCCTTCGTAACCTTTTCGGCCCCGGCAGGTTTGGAAGATTCGCCAGTTTGATTTGCAGCAATTCCACCTGCAGTCGAAGGATTGGATGGGCGAGATCCAAATGTTGGACGTGTGCTCCGTAGTATCTGTCTAGGTCTTCTCCTAGGCTGCTTCATTCGTTCCAGTCGCGCGCATTCAGCAGCGCTGGGAAAGTCTCCTTCAACTATCGATAAACGTTAGCATACTATCCATTAAAGGCCGATGATCGTACGTAAAAAATTCGCTCCAAACAGCACGTTCCATCTTCTCAAGCTTTTTGTCAGGTTGAGAGTCGAACGTGCTGTCGGCGTCGAACTCCTTTTTGATCTTGTCATATAACCTCGCAAAAGACACTATCTTGTTTTTCGCTGCTGCTTTCTCGGCCATTGTCCATTCTCTGGATATGTAGGTCGACATTTTGTTTGAATGTCTGGGATATGTAAGTTGCAAAATAAAAAAATCTTGAATAAGGTGAAAAGCTGAGAGGGCGTCGCGAAATAAATCATGTTACCTGGACAACTTCACAATGCACGCACGATATCCTAAAAGAAAACAAAAAAATTATCAAGCGACTGAACAGAACATCTTACCCTCCACAAAAACGTTCACAATGGATAAAAATTTGTCCAATTCCAAGCCTAGAGGCAGGGGCAGACCCAAGAAGACATCAAAAATAATGGAGCAACGAAGCTCTCATGTTCCGGACTCGGATGGAGAAATACAGCAACAACCATCAGCACCCTCTACGCGGCGGTTGGTCATCGAAATTCCGTCAAGGCCGAGGGCCTTCGAACCAAAGAAAAGACCAAACCCAAAGGGTTCAGACCAAGATGATGAAGAATTATCAGGAGCAGAGCAGAACCCTGCGAAACGTCGCAAGAAAGATCACATTGGTCAAGATATCTCCAAGGATCATAATCCACCAGAAGGAGATGACGATAGCAGTGATGATCCATTTCTTGACGAGCCCAAGGGAAACAAAGGCAAAGGCAAAGCAACCGGATACCATCTGGAACAACCTGAGCAAGTTCCAGATGAAGATGGAGACGTCGTATTTGATGACCTCTGGACTTTGGATGACGAGTCAAACCTTCTAATGAGCTGGTCAGAAGATGATCAGACTCTTCTGGATAGTCTACCCAAAGCAGAAATTGCTCTGTGGAGAAGGTTGATGAGGTTATTTGGTGTTGGTCCCGAGGAACTCTTTCTTCCCAACGTCACCATATCAAGAGCGGACCTCCCAGATTATGTGGGCAAAGATGGTCGTGCCATACCCAATAAGATACACTTGTCCACGAACTTCTGCAATGCCTTCAAGTATATCATATCTCTGCCATTATTGGCGAAAAGACGGAGTTTGCTTCAATATTTATTGACAAAAGCTTTACGTCTCAGGTATGGTGATCGATGTGCGGTTCCCAAATCCTTTGATACACAGGTTATAGACATGGAAGCAACCAGCCTACTTGAAACCCTCAGACACGCAGGTATTATCGGGAACCTTACATGTGGACAAGAGCGGATATTCAAAGATATCCTTGGTGATCGTTTTCCCGAACACTTCCACTTTCACGAGCATCTCAAAGATATTGTAAAGGCCAATTCTGGGATGAAACCACAAAATGCTTCGAAGAATCCAGATGCGGTACAAGATGGAGATCTTGATACATATCAACTCCGTCCCAAGGATTTGAATAATATCATCAAGGCATGGGACTTTTATAGAAATGACCCCAAGAATTCTCATCACCTCCTGCCATCTATGAAGAAATATTTTGATGAAAATAAAATTCTGAAAAATAGGAAAGGGGACGCTTCTCTTCACCAAATCAAATATGGAAGAAGGATTGGGTATTATCCCAACGTCGTCAGCAACTCAGATCGGAGAAACAACCCAATCTGAGGGATCCTCTTGGAGGTGAAATCCTTGAGGATAACAACTTATCCGACGACGCTGAAGATTCAGGCTTTGATCTAGCCCATGGTGGCAGAATTTCCAGCGATGAAGAAAATCAGGAAGATGACCAGGCTATGATAGATGACGAGCCCTTTGGTATGGGCATGGTTTCAGGGGAGAGATCTCCCGTACTGACTGGACCACAAGAAGCTCAAAGAATCGAACCATTCGAAGTTCTTGCTAGTCCAAAAGGAGAGAATCTTCCGAATGTCCCTGCTCCTGATGAAGCTAGAGACAGCGAAAGCATTCCTGGCTTCCAAAATATAGTCGTCAACCAAAGTGCCATATCAAAATGCGATATTCAACAGTATCGAGATGATAAAGATAATACACTTGTTCGGAGATCGAATATGCCAATGGCAAAAGACTCAATAGGCAATATGGTTCAGCGGAGGTCGACTCAATTGAAAATGCTTGAAACGCAAGCCTACGCATACTTAAGCAAATGAAATCTTGCCGCGATGAATGCTCTTTATCCTGATGCCAAATATTTATATAAATATGCACAGTTTATTGTTAGTAGTGGTCATTTTGGAAGTGTTATCAGGCCGCAGAGAGCTATTGAAGCACTGGAGGTGAGATCGTTGGGTGGAGAGGGTGGAGAGGGTGGAGACGGTGGATAGGTTGAAGAAGTTGGAGAGGGTAGACAGGGTGGAAATGGTGGAGATGGTAGAGAAGGTTGGGATGGTGGAGATGATGGAAAGGGTAGAGAGGCTGGAGAGGGAATCTGTTGACCTCCTGGGATCTTGGCAGCATATGCATATATATTGCATGATGCATATAAGGAGCAAACAAAACTCAACTTTTAATTCATTCTTTCCTTTTTGGTATACTGTTTGTTTGCTTTCAATATTTTGATTTCAAAGCACTTTAATTCCGAAGGCTGAATACCTAACCTTATTCCTTCATTTTTTGAATATATACTCGCAGCTTAACTGCTTAGCTAGAGAATCAATCAATTCAATCTGATGCTCTTTCTGGTCTCAAGAAACCCAATAGAATCTCTTGAGTTCGGATCGAATGGGGTTGAGGAAATTTTTGTAACATTAGTATAATTATTTTCAAATGTATAAATCCTCTCATTTTCACTCACTTTAATATCGATCAAAGCATTTCAGAATATAATATATTTAGATGTAAATTACTGGCTTACCACGAAAATCAGGATCACTTTACTCTTATGGCATTTAGGATCTAGCCTAAAATGGCTAGAATTTATATTAAAGAATCTATCTCATCACCTTAAATTCTACCCTTCCTAGTATAGATTCTACTCTTCCACTATAGATTCTAATCTTTGATTAAAAGTTCTACCCTCCCCTAAAGATTCCATATTCCTCTATAGATCCAGGCTTCCTTCTATGGATTCTACCCTTACATTAAAATATTGCGAGGTTTGCCGTCTAGATCACGTGGAAGTGCTCTAGGCTCTCGAGGTGGTTTATAACTAGGTGTTGGGTTTCTTGAGACTAGAAAGAGTATCAGATTGAATTGATTGATTCTCTAGCTAAGCAGTTAAGCTGCGAGCATATATTCAAAAAAATGAAGGAATAGGTTGGGTATTCAGCCTTCGGAATTAAAGTGCTTTGAAATCAAAATATTGAAAGCAAACAAACAGTATACCAAAAAGGAAAGAATGAATTAAAAGTTGAGTTTTGTTTGCTCCTTATATGCATATGTACTATATATGCATATGCTGCCAAGATCCCAGGAGGTCAACACGCCCCCTCAGGGATTACCGAGTTAGTTAATAATGAGGTTATTCCTGAACCTGAGACCGAATGTCAACCATTCCCAAAAGATTGATAAAATGAGTGTGTTTCTGTGGTGGTAGAGGTTTAGTGAAACCATCTGCAACCATTTCAGTAGTTGGAACCCATTCGACTTGTAGCCTTCCTGCTTGCACTTCCTGGCGAAGCCAACAGGAGTGTATATCAACATGCCGGAGTTTTGTAACAAGTCTAGGAGTACTATGCTGAAGAAGTCGAATGGTTTGGCGATTATCACAGAAAATTGAAGCCTTTTCTTCGAGATCTAAACCAACATTCTTAAAGAAGCGTATCCACCACATAAGCTCTCGAGCAGTAACGGAAAGAGCCAGTATTTCAGAGTGTGTGCTGGAAGTAGTCACCGACTTCAGCTTAGTGCTTTTGAAGTGGATCAAACCTCCAAAGAGTATGAGGCAATATCCCATTGAAGAAACTCTTGTATCGATATCGTCAGCATGGGAGGCGTCACTCCAGATTTGAAAGTTCCTGGTAGTTGTTGCTTTCTTCCCATCGAACATGATAGCATAGAATTTGGTATTCTCAAGGTATTGCAATGTATGTACTGCTGCATTGATATGAGTAGCGGATGGATTACGAAGAAATTCTGATAGTATTGAAGATGCTTTTGCAATATCAGCCCGAGTCACAACAGCAGCGTAGTTAATGCTGCCAACTCGCTGCTGGTAGCCGAAAACCTGTTGCGGAGTTGCAATTGCTGGATTCTTTGTAAGTGCTGTTGTTGGCAATGGAGAACAGGCTTGAGGATTAGGTTTGATATTGAAGCGTGTTGATATTTTTGAAATGTAGTTATCTTGGCAAAGCCACAGACGATGATTTTGTCGATCTCGTAGTACCCTAATCCCTAAGAAGAACTGTATATCTCCAAGTGATTTGATGGTGTATGCTGATTTTAAGGTGTTTTCGAATAAGGTTAATCGTAGCAAATCAGCTTTCTTGCAAATTGCGATAATATCGTCGACATAGAAGAGAACCGTAAGCCAGCTATTGGTGAAAACACAGGGTGCTCCTGGAACTGGATCCAGACCAAAGTCGGTTAACGTGTAGGTCAGATCCTCATACCAGTATGCTGGAGACTCTCGGAAGCCATAAAGTGCTTGGTTTACGGAAATCACTTTCCCTGGGACTTCGAAGCCATCAGGGCACTTGCAAATAATTGGTTGCCTTAATGTTGCATGTAAAAAAGCATTGGAAACGTCAAATTGTCGAATCTCAAGATCGAAAGCTGCAGCGATAGCCATCATAGCTCTAAAAATTTGTGAAGTTAGCGTTGCAGCGTATGTCTCTTCTTCGGTTGATTGAAGATCTCCTCTGGCACAGATTCTTGCTTTGAACTTGATGAGATAACCATCTTGATCGAATTTATAAGTGAAAACCCAGAGTAATGGTAAAGGCTTTTGTCCTCTTGTAGATATATCGATGTATTCGAAGGTTTTACGTTCTTTCAGAGCGTTGATCTCATCCTCACATGCTTTTTGGAATTCTCTAGCATATGGATGCTGTACTAGCTCATGATAAAATCGAGGTGGAGGTGGTAGATCATTTTGATGTAATCTAGGAGTTCGTAATTTAGACCTTCCGATAGCAAATGCTGCAAAGTAGCTGGATAGTTGAGGAAGTGATGAAAGTGCTGCAGCATGATGTTCTTTCCTTTGTGAACGTCTAGAACCCTGAATTATATGGGATACGTCGATATCGGCACGTATTTGCTCTGCCAAAGGTGCTGTATTATGAGATGATGTTGTAGTGATGATATCATGTTGACTTAACGATGATGATGGGGAAGATGAGAGTTCTGACTCCGGTAATGATGGTATAGGAACATCTCCAGTAGATTGTCTTGTAAGTGCTTCTGGTGATAAGGTTGCTCTAGGCGTTGGCAATTGAGGGTTAGTTTGAGGAACCCCCTCATTGGTTGGAATACCATCATCCGTCTTGTTTGAAGAGCTTTCATTCGTTGGTCGCTCGTTTAAGCGATTGTGTTGTAAGTTCCATGGCCCTTCAACTACAATTATATCACCAATACTCTCATCTGATTCTTCACTCAACAGATTCGATATTTCTATCTCTTCTGCCCTCTTTTCGTGAATAGCTGCAGTATCCCGAAGTTGATCCTTAATAAGAAAGCCAATATCTATATCTTCTGGTCGATAATACCGGGTTTCATCAAATTTGACATCCCTACTTCGAATGACGCGATTTATGGAAGGGAGCCAGATCCTGAAGATATTCGTTGAATCATACCCTACAAGATAGCCCAGTTTTGCACGAGGTTGCATCTTCGCACGTCTTGGAATCTGCTTGTTGAGCACATATGCCAAGCACCCATATGGATGTAGATGTGCTAGCGAAGGTTTATTGCCAGTAGCACTTTCAAATGGTGTTTTCCATTGAAGAGCTCTTTTTGGAGTACGGTTTTCAAGATAACCGGCTGTTTTAATTGCTTCTGGCCAAAGGTTTTGTGGTAGGTTTGCTGAAAGGAGGAGGGCTCTTGCTCTGACCATGAGCATTTTACCAGCATTCTCTGCAGCGCCATTCTGTGCTGGTGTATCTGGTGGAGTGCGTTCGACAATGATGCCACGTTTGTCTGTGATCCTCTTGAAGTCGCCCCCTAACGTAGTTTCACCGTCGAGGCGTATGAATCGGACCTTTGAGCCGAATTGTGTTTGTATCAGAGAGAATTGAGTATCCATAATATCGATCATCTCTGTTTTCCTAGTTAGAACATACACCCATTGTATTTTGTGTGTCGTACACCAGAAGTGGCTGATATATCGGGTATTATTATAAGCCTCATCCATCTCGAACAGATCCCATGCCAATCGATCTCCGACATGGCCGTTCTCTGGCATCTCCTTCCTTGGATTACGAGATATAATCTGTTGAGCCTTCGAGAGATTACAAACTTTGCAGGTAGAGAAGGAAGGTGTCGAAATCGTTTTGTCGATAATGATATCAGTAGTTGCTGATTCTAGGTGCTGAAGGGCTTCGAGAGAAGGATGGCCTAGAAGATCATGTAACTCTGTTGTTGTAACCTTTCGGCATATTGATTTGGTGTGGTTTTTGGTGGCAAACGAAGCATGCTGAGAAAGGATAATAGGATCGAGGGTCCAATGGTCTCCTGTTTGCTTCAGAGTAATAAATGCAATGCCTTCTTTTGTAAGGACATCTGGGTGTTCAGTGTTCCAATGTACACCTTTCTTTGAGAGTAAAGCTAGAGAGACTAGGTTTGTAAGAAACCCTGGGATGTACGCCACTCTTTTTAAGGTTATTTGCCCTGGCCCAGTTGGTGTATTGATCAACATAGTGATAGTACCGAATGCTTCAATTTGGAATCGGTCCCTTCCAGCGCTTATCATATCGGATGGCTTTCCAAACTCTTCAAGAACAAAGTTGTGTAGAGAGTTGGTGACATGGGTATCGGAACCGCTATCAATTAGCCATTTGTGAAGGATGCTAGCATTGTTGTAGGTAGGACTTTGTTTAGTGAGAAAAGCCCCAAGATCCTTATCTTTCTCTTTTCCAGATTCTGAAGGATTAGTCAATGTTTCCTTCCATGCTGGATCCCAAGAGAGATTTGCTAGCTTGAGAAGTTCTTTAGTTCCTTCATGTCTACGAACAAACCAGTTCCTTCGTTTTGTTGATTGCCTTCCCCAGAACTTCTTGAAGTATTCAATATCGGCATCGATTGGTTTCCAGTTCCTTGGTCGATTATCCGAATATAGATAGTAGCATTTTTCATATAGATGTTTCTTGCCACATAGACAGGTTCTCTCTCCTTCCTTTTTATCTTTATTCCCATCCTTATAGGTTGCAAATGACGTAGAAGAGGTTGAAGTAGTTGATGCCTGTGTGAGTCGAGTGTAGTTTCGAAAGTCTTCGATTAAATCGTACACATCAATCGTTTCTTCAGGCTGATTCTTGAGCTTTTTGGTGATCTCCAACAGAGTTGAAGTTGCCCAAGAGGAGCTGTGATTCATAAGGGCTGTAGAAAAGTCGAACGCAGCTCGATTTCGATCGACGTCTGGCAGATTGAGAGTTTTAGCCTCAGTGTAGATGAGTTCCCATTCGTTCAACCATTCATAAATATCCTGATTGGATTTGTAGGGTTGCTTTACACAATTGTATCGTGCTACGACGGTAAGCTCTCTCGCACGATCAGTTGGTGCTAGCCTTTTGCGTAAATCAGCAAGCACTTGAGGTGCTGTGATACTGGTGGTACTAATAAACTTTTCGCAATTGCGGTTGATTGATGAAAGTATGTACTTGAGAACCTCTGAAATGGCCTTGTTGATTTTCTCGTATTTGGTATTCTTGATACGATAGTTCTCTAGTTGCATCTGATATTGCTTTAAAGCCCTATCAATAACAGCCTCAGAAGCATTTTCATCAACTGTGGGTAGCTCTGGTTCATCTAGCAACTCTGGTATAGGTACAACTGTTGTAGTGGGATCAAGGTATACCCAGCATTTGATGCCGCCGGATTCTGCAATACGCTGAACATTTCGAATCCAACTATTCCAATCCTCTGGTGAGGAAAGGATGATTTTAGTTGAATTATCGCCTGTAGTCATATTGAAGAAATAAAGTCAGAATTATCGAGGTTTGGGTTTTATAGAAACCACACTACGTAAGGTAATTCTTAAAAGAGTGAAACTTGAAGGTATCGTAGAGTTTCGGTATATGTGAATCAAGTATTGTGCAGGATGTTTAATTGAAAGTCAGCACCGGGCTCATAACTGTTGGGTTTCTTGAGACTAGAAAGAGTATCAGATTGAATTGATTGATTCTCTAGCTAAGCAGTTAAGCTGCGAGCATATATTCAAAAAAATGAAGGAATAGGTTGGGTATTCAGCCTTCGGAATTAAAGTGCTTTGAAATCAAAATATTGAAAGCAAACAAACAGTATACCAAAAAGGAAAGAATGAATTAAAAGTTGAGTTTTGTTTGCTCCTTATATGCATATGTACTATATATGCATATGCTGCCAAGATCCCAGGAGGTCAACACTAGGCGTCAAGCAGGGACTTAAAGTAATGATAATGATGATATGAAATTCGTAACTAATAGTAGAGTATACTAAATGATTGATCTTGAGCACGAAGCTCTATACAAAGGAAATCCATCTTGATTATATAGACCTTCGTGTTCTAGCTGATCAGTAGGATCAGTATGGCTCAGTACTGAGCTTGCTGATCCTCACTGAGCCAGTTACATGATATTGGTAGCACGTGAGCGTTTTCTTGTTACCCGGCGTAACAGCTAGTTAGCTAGCAGAGTTAACATCGATAGGAATATTAGCTATGTTAATCAATTAATATAATTAATATCCAAAGAAACAATGAATATATAATTAGAATAATTTTATAGTTTAAAAGCTTTATACTCAACTTAGTTATCAATTAGTTTACTTACATTCTACTTGATCTAGTAACGAATTCACTTTCAAGTGAATACCAGTGATAAAGCCTTAACCCATAACTACCAACCGACGAACCTTAGGCAGCCGCTACCTTTAGTACAGTATCGTTACAACTAGTCCTATTAGGACTAGATTGAGAAGCTCTCTGTAGGAGAGCTTCGCACTTCCGTAGAACTAAGAGAATGGGTGATTTAGATACAAGACCAATATAGCCTCAGTTCTGCCCTATCAGCTTCCCACTATTCCCTGTGTAAGGTCATTCCTTTTAACAGATATATATAATTGATAAATTAGATAGATATTAATTAGTAGAAAAAAAGAAATAAATGGTATCTCCCTTTTCTATCTCCCAAAACGCCTGAATCTTTATCACTTCCAAAGGAAGAGCGTAGCCAACACTAATAGAATCATTTTAAAATGACGATCCATTGACCATAGGCACCAATTTCTCAGAAAACAAAGTCTTTCCCTTCACCATGTTGACCATGAAGCTAGGGAGTTTCATTCCTCCCATATGACCTGTGCCGACCTTTTTGCCAACTGTAACTGCCAGCATATCTAAAGTAGAGTCAGTATATCATATCCTCGGTAACTCGAAGATCGAGATTGAGGGGAAGTGGGAGCAAACCAACTTTTTTCAGCAACCTTATAACCAACTGGCTGGGAATTCTTCAATCCCAATCCAATGTTCTTCGCAACATGCACACTTTGCTTTTCGGTATTCACATATTGTGGTCGTTCAACAGCTGACACGTCACCCACAACCCAAACATCTTCAGTTCCTTTTAGCCTCAAGAACTCGTCCACGATTGCATAACCTGCTGGGTTGAGGTATTTTTCTGGAATATATGAAGAATTTGGTACGAGACCCATACTTGGAATGTATAAATCGGTGGTGATTTTCTTGCCATTAGAGAATGTGAGTTCGTATTTCCCGTCTGGTGTCTTTGCTGAGCCAGAAACTTTGGTAGAGACCATGATGTCAACTTGAAGGCTTTGTAGTTGTTTGGTGGCAGTTTTTGAGACACTTGGTGGAGTTCCCTCAAGAACAGTTGGACCACTTGCAATCTGGGATTACGGGTTAGTAATTTGGGTGGATTCTAAGGTACAAATTTCGGTGGAAAACTTACCAGAGTAATTTTCTTCGCTGATCCGTATGCAAACCCTAGCTCACCAGCTGTTTCGACACCTAATCACATATATGAGAATTAAGATTCTTGATTAATCATACAAGAACATACCTGTGGCCCCAGCTCCGGCGATATAGATAGAAGATGCATTCTTGACCTTGGATTGCCATTCATGTAACGAGTCAAGTGTTTCTTGATAGGAACCCTTGCCTTTGAAAGGAGAATCTTCTCTAGTTCTTGAACCAGTGGCAAGTATAAGTGTATCGTAGTTCAAGCTTGATCTCCCACTATCCCCCGAAACAACAACTGTTTTGTTCTCCACATCCAGTCCTTCAGCGGTACCGACAATAAACTCGAATTTATCAGTTGGGTATTGCTTGAAACCTGTAGTTATGGAAGAGAAAATTCTCTCATCTGACATTTCTCCAGGTACAATTGCTCGTACGGATGCAAGGTTCCAGTATGCATGGGTGTTTGGTGAAACCAAGGTGATCTTGATGGCGAGTCCAGTTTTGGCTGACTGCTTGAGGATTCTATGTGCTGTGCTAACACCGCCAAAAGATCCGCCGAGGATGAGAATGTTCTTGACAAGGTTCGCCATTATGTCGAGATGTTGTAGTAATTGGTTCCAGGAAATTAGATATGATGTGAGTTGAGAATGAGATGAAGATGCTTCTCTATAAAGTGTGGAAGATATGAGGTTATAGAAGTGCTGTAATTCTGAGTAGAAGTAGTCATCTAGGATACGAGACCCCCCCTATATACCTTTTCCCATATTCGTCGAAAAGCAGAAGGACAGTGCTTTGTAAATTTAATTTGAGGTTTGACGTATTGAGGAAGTGCCACAGGTGGAAGCCAATCAGAGATCATACCGCAGTGATGATCTACATATGCTAGTCATTTTATTGAGCCGTGCTAAGCCCTTTGATAAGGTTTAGGTGTTCCCTAACTCAAAATCTGCATAGTTGATCACCAACTCCAATAAAAATCGGTAGACGCTTATCATTAATTTGGCCTTTTCTTAGTAATGATGAATAATTCACAACCCCCACTATTAAATTTCGAAATTTTCATCTAGAATTCAGAATAATAAGCTGAACGATAGAAATGGGTATTTACCTGTCAAGAAAGTATATTCCGATGGGAATTTCCCCTCCAAAAAAGCCCAAAAGATTACAAATGTATTACATGAGTTTTGCTGAAAGTTCTCAATTCCATTTGAAACACGATTCCGAGCAAAGAAGCAAAGACAGGATGTTTGTATGTTCAATGTTGCATTTGCATCCACTACCTGTCCCTATTACTACCGCTCGGACGAACGAAGTTTCGATGATCACGTGTTTCGGTGGACATTTGGTTCATGAGCACCGCATTGAACTCATGGAATTTGCCCAAGCATTTCTCTGTACCTTTCAATCACTCCCTCTTTTTACCACCCTTCTTTACCAGCAATCATCGTCTCTTCCACGTCTCTTCCTCCTCACCATTATCATTTACCATCAGATCACTACTTTCCCCTCCTATCATTAGGCGAAATCCCCCTCCTTTCAAGTTATCACCATGGTCGTTCCCATAATTAGGATCGATAACTTACTTCCCGCTAGCCATGAATACTTTTCCATTATATTTCATGAAAAATCTCATCCATTTCTCATTCAAATTGGATGATGAGTGATCCACAACAGAAACCTCTCCATAGCAGATTTGGCGGACCGTGCGTCGAACAATTATTAACTGGTGAGACAAGGTTAAAAATGATCATTCTATGGTTAATCCTCGCCTGCAGTGATTATTAATCATAAATATGCTTAAAAGTTCTACATACCTAATATCAGAAAGTAAAAACTTCACTTCATGTCACTCATTAGGCAGCAGACGAGTAAATTATGGTGACGAGTGTTAAATTCATGGAAATACAGACACCTAAAAGCATATCTCTTTCATGCACCAACCCATCGATGTACTCCTTTCTCCCCCATCCATGTTTGCTCAAAATGTTTTCCAAACAGCATTTACTGACCACGGGCCCGGATGCATGTCACACAAATCCTCCATGCTACGATAAATTAGAGTAGGAAACACCACTACCCTCCCCCCCGCGACCACCACGACCACCACGACCACCCCGCCGACGATGCCCTTCAAACCCACACGTCTAAATGAAAACCTTGGTAATCCTGAGAGTTTTGATTCGAGTAAAATGGTTCTGGTTTTGTATCTCCAAAGCTATGTCTTCCTCTATCCATGATGTTATATGGTGAAGACGGTGAGGTTATACGTTCTTGCGATTATTTACCAACTGCTCGTTCAGCAGATTCTCTGCTCCCGGAAGGCTTTTCCTGTGGGTTCATCACTGGCTTGGATGGATTGCCACCTCTACGGATTGGAAACTCCGATTCTTCGTCGAATTCAAGATCCGGAACAATATATCCAGGAAGACGAGTATTTGTATCAGACTTTATCCGACGTCTTGGGCTTAGTCGTCGTTTTCTTTTGTGCTTCTTCCCCTTTAAACATTGAGATGATTCGGGAAACTTCTTTTCAAGGACAGACTCTGGTACGCCATCAGCAAGGGTGACGCGAGTATAGAAAAGAAGGTATCGACCCGGCTCTCTAATACTCCATCTCTTATTCCCAGCTTCCTTATACTCTTTTTCCATATGCTCTTCTTTTTTATTCCCTGCAACAGCCACATTTCGTGAATCGACCGGTTGGCCGTCGATCCAGTATGTCCGGACATCATCGACGATCTTCATGCCCTTCTTGTCGTATCGCTCGCCAGATAGCCTGACTGAAGCAACCAGTTGATAAACATAATCTTGCTTAGCTACAAGCAACGGAAGTTGGCGGTCCTCTTTCTCTATCACAACCTGGTGGTGATAGTGAATTTATGATGGTTATGATAGTCGCTACATTTTTTTGGTTCAAATTTAACGCATATGAGGGTTGGTAGGTGGAAGAGGAACCTGAATGCTTTATCTCCCACCTCCTGGTGAAATATATTGTGGAGTAACGATGGAATTCCGACCTCTCCATCAGTTTTGAGATCATTCATTCGTCGGATATCTTCCGGGTCCAATATGCCCTTTTCCCAGGTCGCCTTGGCGTTATCCTTTGGCCTCGTAATATAAATTCGGCTTATTGCCTGAAGTACTTTGCTCTCCTTCAGGAGATTCTTCAGGTCATCTCTATTATAGAGTGCCTCAAATGTTAGATCGACTCCTTTCATGATATCTGGAGTGACTGCATCAGTGTGCAGCAATTTTTTAATGATCTCTTCTTTCATAATCTGATCATCCAAGCAGACCCAACCCATGGTCTTCCACGCCATTTCTTCAAACATTTTTTCATTTGGAGTTGCGTTAGGAGGAAGGTCGAGTGTCGTGGCATAATAGAGAACCATTCGTAAGACAATAAGAATGCATCGATTCCATATGTACCATCGTTGTCTACGTTGCTGTGCATGCGTACTCGCAACTCCCTCGGATTAAGCCTGTTCATATTGGGTCCGGTCGCGTTATAGCCATGGAATGGACGCGGTACTGTCAGTAGATAACGCTGATGTCCAATCTCGTCTTTGTATTCTTCTCGAATATCTTTTGGTATTTGAAACGTTATTTTCTCCATCTTTTATGATTGGTGATGGATCTGAATAAATCGTTGTGTTGTTACGAGAGGAATAAAGTATGGAGGAAGAGTTGTGACTCGGATACTTTTTGTTCAGCCTTACCAAATCTACAAGCCTTATGTAAAAGTGAAGCGCACGGCACGTCGGGGGTGGCTTTGGCTCGGGATGATCACACTATGGGAATAGCTTCCACTGTATATTAGTCGAGGTTCCTAGAGGGGATGGCGTCAAGTATTAACGGTATAGGCGTAAGAAATTCTTTGTACTTCAAGTGCATTCCCTTTGGAAACAAGACTGAAGGAGACGGGAGGGGTTCAGGAAATGCAGAGCGGTTCTCGCAATACTTCATTCTATCTATTCTCGTACAAGAGCGGGTATGTAGGCAGGCGGTCGGATTCCTCCCTTCCCAGGCTCAAATTATTATAATGATATTCGAGGAGCATTGGACACCAAATACATCTTTGGTTTCAACTACACAAATATACCCCCAAGTGGTAGAGTTAAACCTGCAGTTCATAGATCCCAAAATGATGAAAATAATACACTCACTGGCAAATTGAAGAGATTCAAGGGCGCACCAAGCCATATAGTCCCCGAAAAATGGGTTGCAATGGAGAACAATGACGCTGTGGGATATTCGGTGAAGTGCAGACTCAGCTAGTAACACCAAAGACAAGACAGGATGGATAGAAAATAGAGTAAGCATATACTCATCAAACGAGAATCACTTTTACGCCATGAGGCGTCATTGTCACAACCCAGCTACCCTTCTATTGAGATCATGATTACATCTATGCCACAGTTTAACCCTATATTACCCATCCATCAGCTCTTCCTTCAAATTCTAGCCCAATTTTAACCTCATTCTAGCCCCATCACTAACTCCCAACGCTGGATACAATTCCTCAATCCCAACCCTAACTCCATCCCTAAACCTGGATATAATACCTCAATTCACATCCCGACCCTGTCCCTAACACACTATCCTTAAAACCCCCCTTCCCCAAATCACGGTTCTTTTTTCACCAACCTGGCTTTCTTCGCCTCCCGCTTGGATTCACACTCAGCGCAGTGAGGGGCAATCCCCAAACTCGAGCTATGTTTGCCCAGGCAAATAACCACATTTCTCGAAACTTTGTTCGCACACTTATCTGTGTGGTGGTTTTTAAAGCCACATTTCTGGCAATGTTTCTTGCATGCGAACATTGAGCATCCCCTCAAGGTGCAGTGCAAGCTTAAGACATTTCCACCGACAGCGTGCATCGCTGTGACATGGTCATGACTTCTGCACACCTTGCAGCCATTTCTTGCTTCAAGACAGCTTTTCCCACTGTGCCCCAAAGTACCGCAGAAACAGCATTTGGTCGGGCAATTGAACAAATAATGACCGGATTCTTCCTTGTTGTTTGTGCATAAGCGTGCATTGCAGGGTAGCTTGCAGTCGAAGATGAGATGGCCTGGTGTAGTTTTACAAACGCATTTGAGTTGAATTCCAGGGCATTCGTCTAGCTGATGGCCAGCTTCACCACAGCAGCCGCAGGCAGCGGCGCATTCTTCCTCGCTATGCGTAGTGTCCTTAAAATTTGTGCATACTAGAGTTGGCGGGGCAGCGACGGATAGAGTCCTATCGGTGTCAATGGTTCTGACCAACTTTCGAGGGCTCCAGCTCCTCTCATCTCCGCGATTCCTTGACTTTCTTCTTCCTCTGCTTCGTGGTATTCCACGGCTTCGTGCTCTTTTCCGGCTTCGTGCTCTTTTCCGGCTTCGTGATCTTCCCCGGCTTCGACCTCGACGTCCACTGTTTCCTGGATCATCTCGTCTGCCTTTCTCTCCCTGGTTGGATTGTATGACTGGAGCGGGTTTCCAAGCAGCGCGGAATTTGATTGGTCTAATCGTATCACAGACATTAGGGTTCTTCAATCGTGACATGCCGCCAGGATTTTGTGCCTTGAATGACCATCTTTTGTCCCGTTCTGTGCCGATTACCTCCTTTTGGTTATTGCCCTCCATGTATTTGTGACCTTTCCAGTAATTGGGGTTGGCCAGCTGGTATTCAATGGCAGTATCCGTAGTCCATAGACCCCTGCCTTCGTACTTTTGCCCTGGGCCGGCGAGTCTGTGCCTCAATGGGTTTATAGTGCAGGCCAATGGTGGCAGGTTTTCTCTGTCTTCAAGGCATATTTTCGCCAATTTGTCTACGTCGTTTATGATGTCGTAAAGCTCACACTCCTGGCTGATGTGGCCACCACTATTGCAAAATGCGCATCCCATGATAAACCCTGAACCTGAGACTGGTCCAATGCAGTGGATGACACGATGCCCAACTTCCTCGCAGTTTCCGCAGGTAGTTTCCTTCTTTGGCAGGTTACTGTGTTTCTTGGCAGCTGGTTCAGAATCATCGTTCGTGCTATCACGAGTTCTCTTGTTGTCCTGCTGAGACTGTCTGCCACCACCTTGATTCATCGGTGGGCCATTACTAGATGAGTACTGGGCATCCGGATTAGGACCCGAGTACTGCTCCCTATTATCGTTCCAGTAGCGTAGACCGTAACCCATTGGTGGGCCATTGTTCTGTCCAAATCGATAATAGTCTTCTTGATTATTTGAACCTTGAAAATCTCCATAATTGGAGGGCGGGTATCCACCATATTGTGGTGGGCCTCGAAAATCACCATGTTGTGGTGGGCCTCTAAAATCACCATACATCCGATGGTTCCCAAACCAACTTTCATCGTTGTAGTAGTAGTTTGGACGCATGTTTTGGTCCCAGCCATTTCCACCATGTTGGGGGAAATTGGGGCCACCATTGTAGCCATCATTGTAGCCACTATTGTTCTGGTTGCGTCCCTGGCGGTCGTTCCATCTGTTGCTGTTGTTGCTGTTATACCTGTTGCCATTGCGGCCGTTATTGAAATTGTGGTTATTCATTCTGCTGGTTTTCTCCGCAGTGTGGTTTGTTGTTGTTTTTTTGAAAGCGAGAAATTGGAAAGTGGGAATATTATCTATGTTGCTACGTGGTAGCGAGGTCGAAATTTTCAAGTCAGGCGTCAAAAATCTCTCAAAAATTTAAGATGATTTAATTTTAATTTCAAAATTTTCAGATCCGGGGCGTCAATATTCATCATATGGCAATCATACTCATTTTACATTGATACACTAAAGGACACTGAATTAACCCATTTACATGCCCAGATGTTTATAGATCTAAAATTAAGGGGTGGAATCCAAAACTTCCAGCTCAAATGAATATTATCTTATCCTCCGAAAGTTCCACCACGTTTTCCCAGCTCACATCATTTGAATGGGTATCTCTGAGAGACCAGACCTTCTCCAGCAGCGGTAGAATGGTACTCCGATGATGCATGAAAGGATCATTCAATGGTAGAGAAGAGAACATGTTTCTGAACATTTGCCGGTCTTCTGCTTTAGCCATACATCCAAAGATATATAAAGGACAAACGGTGGCGCGAAAAGGATCTACACGTGGCAAGCTTGGAAGCATCATCATCACTTCATCGACAACATCACAAAAGTCCGAATTCTCCTCAACCCTTTTAAAGCCCCCAACGACAAGTTCTAAGTATATGTGAGCGGCACGAGTAAACATACGCGTGATGATTTCCTGAGGTCTGATTGGTGAATTGGCATACGAGGGCGAATTTGGGCTTGTAATACGTAGTTCTGACAAGAACTGCTCATTTTGTCCACGTCGGATGGTTTGTCTGATATTATCGGCCTGAGTCTTGAATAAATGAGCATCAAAATTGCCATTCTGAAGTCCGTTCCGTTTGGATTCATGTAGTTGAGAAATACGGCCTATTTCTGTCATAACCCAGTTCTTGCAACCCATAATTTTCTCCAACTTAATTTGAGGTTTCGCGCCAAGTACCATGGGGTGGAGGTCACGGAGTTGTGGTGAATTTCCAGTACTTAGACAAGATACTATGTCTAGCCACATAATCACTCCCGAATGGAACAAGAAGATTATGGAGGATTCGCCATTCTTCGATTCATGTGCCGTTCGTAGCGTGTTGGAGGTTGATTCACCATTGACTATGAAGCCAAGCTCGGTGGCATGTTTGCGGTACCTCTGGCCAAGAAGATCCGTAGCAGCACGTAGATGAATTTGCCAAGAGCTTTTACGCACACCAAAAAGCTGTTTGTGATATTCAGTAAAGCTTGACTAAACTATGCACTACATAAAAGAAGGAACTTGCCTCGAAAAAGATGAGTTGAACAACACAAGCCATGATTCCAAGGCTACTTTCAGGAACAGCCGAGCTACAATCGCTACTATCATGAGCTGATCTGATTGCATTCTGAAACTCATTCAAGCAAATCGCAAGGTGGCCCTCTTGTTCAGCGATACTAGGTTTTGTACACCCACCATAACTTTTTTCACGAAGGACAACACCGCGATGATAGGCACTGAGACCAATCGATGCATGATATAATGGTTTGGTTTTCAACAGAAGCGAAAGTAACCATCCTCGTCCTCCTTCGGCCACTTCAGGCTTATAGATTGGGTACTGCAGTGGAAAGACATTATCCAAGAAATGCATGAGTAAAGCGGCTTCACCAGCAGCAGCCGGTAGTGTTCCCAGAAGAGTTTTTCCGTTGTCTGGAATTGGGGCCTATTTCTTGTTAATCATTCATAAATGCTCACTGTTCTTTGACCTTACCATGGAAGCATCAACTGATGTGGTATGTGCTGAATGAGCAGGAGAAGACTCTGAAGATGTCTTCTGGTAAACCCCATCTTCACTAACAGTGTGGCTTTCTTTGGAGAACAGAGTCAAGGGCCTCTGTGCGAGATTGATGGCTGAAGACTCTCTACTCTCGCCATTATTCTGACCTGTGTCCAACACAACTGGCCGACTTTTTCGACGTGATGTGTGCTTGACGATTTGTTTGATACTATTCGCCATTTCTTTCTCCTTTATCCCATTATCCATCCATTCCGGTTTTGCTCCATACCCATAGCATGTTATCGCTAAAGATTCACATAATAAACATGGTGATGGTTTTCGTTCATCACACTTCTTCTTGCGCAAACGACAGGTCCAACAACCAGTTTTGCTTCGGAGTAAACCATTCATGGAGAAAACACCAAGAATAGAGAATTTGTTTGAAGAAATAATATACAGAGCTGGTTTCTATTCACGATGCTTCAATAATGGCAACTTCACCGTCGTTTCAATTGCTTATAAATCCGTGTGAGTATCATCTTCCCCTAGCGGCCGCCCCCCAAGCAAGCATCGCTGTACAAATTCAGCCACAGCCACAGCCACACTTCAAACATTAACATCATAACTGCCAGAGCATTTTACAGAATCGCATAGAAAATACTCATAATTAACTAAATTTCCAGAACTCAAAGTTATCACCGTATTGGAAGGTAGAATGAGTACTAAGCGAGAATAAGGCGCAAATTTATGTGTTGCAGAGGTTGAACAACTAACTACAAGGTTACTATTCTCTCTACTTACACGGCCCCCTAATGTTATAAACCATGGTACAAGAGCAGAGAAGAGAAGATCGAAACTAGACGCAAACAATTGGCTGGTAAAGATCATGTATCGCTCCAAAACTCCCTTTGCAGTAAATACATCAGCAGCATGCGGAATCGCTCCCTATCAAAATCCCCAGCTAAGGAGTACCTATAATGTTTAAGCCCAACCTCACAAAACACCTTGATATCTGTACTAAATAGTAGAACCAACTCTATTATATAGTAACCTTATGCCACTAATCATCTCATCAAAACACGTCATGAAATCAAAATTCCATATCAAAGAATGGGAAAGTGTGCAGAAGAGATGGAGATTTGAGAAATCGCATACGAAGCAGATACGCAACAATAACTATTCTTCGCAGGACTAATCAGTTAACATCCTATTAGTCTATCTAATTTTGCGGTCTAGATTCCTCTCTAGCTATTAGTATATGAAGCGCTCATCATAGTAAGTATTAATACTTGAATCGTTGAACTAATTAACTCAGATACCCATCATACCTTGGCAGCAAACACCAAAGCTCGACCACAAGAAACAAAATTCCAGATTCACAAACTCGAATCCAAGGTAATGGCTTCACCAAAAAGCCAAGCCAAACTAATACCAACCGTTATAACCTCATTAACTCTCTACCTTTACGATGAATATCCCGATATGCAGGTACCAAGATAACAGACACTAGGTAGAACTTAGTTCCCAGCTTCCCACTTCCAACATGATTTGCTAGTCTTTAATTCAAAGTAGCTAGCTAGCTAGTACCTCCCCCCCCCACAGCACCCCACCCCGCACACTATACCTCTTCCGCGATACCACCTAGTAGGCTAGGTACCTAAGTAATAACAAACCAAACAAACAATCTAGAAAAGCAGGGAAATCAAGTCTCTACAGCTAGATCGAAAGATAGTGATCTACAAACAAACACACGATTCGCATAACCCACTTTTTTTTCTTAGCTACTGCTACTACCCAGTTACTAGTACGGTTTATTACTCGTATGAGTGGGAAGATCGACATTGGCATCGACATTGGCATGTCAAGGTTAAATGGACTACAAGAGGAGAGTTTAAGTTTTGACCGTTTGATCTACTAGTCATGAAGATCAGATTATTATTATTAGAGAAAACCTTGGTATGCATAGCTGAAAAATAATGCAGGTACTTTCTCTTTCCCACCTTCGAGTGTGTAAGTTTTGAGAAATTTGACTTGAATTTGGATGTTACTTCATCTGTGCCATGAGAATAGTGACATGTGTCTGGATTGTAAAAATCACTCCCCGTATTCATAGTGCCATGCCAATAGTGAGTGGCATATGTCTCAATTGTAAATATCACTCATATACCTCAAAATGCATGTTAACTTGTGAGTCTTGTATAACCGAGATGATAAAACTTATGTGACTATTGTTACTACGAATTATACTATGTAGCTATACGAATCATACTCCATCCTGAATGCATGAATCCCAATCCTCCACGAATAAAACCCAAAATGTTCCTTCTCTATCACTTCCAAAATTAGAAATTAAAACCAACAACTTGAAGCTTCTCATCCGGGTGCCCACAGCTTCCCTCTCTTGATTAAAAATTAAATATAAACTTCCACAAATCCAATAACCACTCCTCTAATACCAAATGTCCATCTACACATTACATTCAATCATTGCAGTATTTGAGGTGTGATCGGACACATCTTTCGACTTTCCAAGTCTGCCAAATTTCCCCGTCAACGATTTCAAAGTGGGATTTGAGAATGAAGGTTTAGAAAAATGTTTTTTGAAGCCGGGTTTTGATTTCGATTTCGCTTCAGATCCAGGTTCAGGTAAATCCAGCTCCTTTCTACGTTCTCTGCAGAATGCTTCTTCGTCCTCCTCCTCGTTTTCCCGTAACTCCTGACCTTCCTCTCGAGAAGGACCAGGACAGTCACAGTGAAATCCTGGGGTTTTATTCCCGTCACACCAAGGCAAATGATTCAGATGAGAAACATATACGATCGTACTAGATTTATCAACTGAGCTGGACCTAGCCTGAAGACAAGGTTCTGAGGATAATTCACCGAAAATATCGGGCGCTTCGATGGTGCAGTAACCAGAATCTTGCCTGAGAAATTTTGGGATAGGTGGACAACGGTCTGGTCTCTTTCCGAGTGCGATTACTGCACTGAAGTTATGACGACTATGATTTTCCGGACGGTGAAACTTGGCCAAGTCATTATTATCCGCATGATTTATCCATGCGAGTGGTCCACCTTGACCTTCATTATAACCTTCACTATAAATCCAACAGATAAGTACTCCCCCCAATAGGGGCAAATCGCCTCCGTGATTCATTCTTTCCCAGCAACTCCAAATCCGATCACTGGATGTAGTAAAGATTTTGAGGGGTTCGGGTCGGTAAGGCATTTCTTCCTTATGTTTGCTGAAGATGTACATCATTCGAGCGTCGTAAAGATGAGCCGTCCGTTCAACCATGACACTCCTTCGATAGACATCAGTTTCCTTTGTGATCCATACCCACCTTCCATTAAGCAAATGATTCTTAACCAAGTCAAATCCAGTAACTCCAATACTTTGATCTTCGGTTGGCAGGTCTGCAAAATTCCTCCAATCATTGAGTAAATAATCATTATGATCAATTAGTAGAGCACAATGATTCAACATATCCCGTGAAAGATCTTTAGAAAGTACCATCCTTGTCTCCTTCCAAGTGATCTCACCCATATTGGTAACACGTTCTGGGAACTGAAATACGGGTATTAACTTGAGGCGCCCGCTTGACCCATTAACCTTTCGAGGATAAAAGTCATCCTTCGCATGGGCATATGCAAAACTAATACCATCTTCGGATTGCGTTTGCGAGATAGTCTTTTTGAGTTTTCGAATTTCTGATTGATGATTATATTTAGGTATGATGGATTGGACAAAACTCAGATCCTGTGAAACGGGCGGCAGATCCTTTCGAAGATCTTGCTCTATAAATAATGATTTTAGAGCTGGTTTGTGAAATTTGACGTCCTCTTCTTTTCGATGATCAAAAATCTCTTTCATTTCTTGAAAATGCTGTACCTCAGATAGCATTTTCTCGGATAGTTCCTTTGAGGTCTTGAGGCTGAAATGAATTTGTTCGTCAGGTACTTGAATTTCCGAAGCAATGACTTGAAGTTCCGGAATGATTGCTCGAGGGTGTGAAGGTGAAATTACACTTGAAATGACAGGCAGTCTTTGAAGCTTGTATCCCGGTAACGTGTAGTCATCAGGAATAAAGGAGGAAGGAAGAGTAACTCTCAGGATACAACCTTCATTTCCCTCTGAACCATATTCCTCATAAGTAGCCATAATTCTAGATGAGCTCAAGGGAGATGATTATATCGAAGAAAGGGAAGATGGAAAATGGAGAGATTAGAGAGGAAGAAAAAGTTTCAAAAGATAGAATAGTGGAAAAGGCCGAAAAATTGTGGATGGTAATACATGGAAGTGTAAGAAAGCAGTACGTGGGCAAAATTAAATGTATTGAATGGGGGAAGTGGTGTAGATTATATAGATATGGAAAAAAGTGTGGGGCTATGGGAATTCCCCAGCTACTAGTGGCACCGTTTGAACTGCAACCCAGTAGTTAGTATACTAAAAGAAGCCAAACCTTTAAGCCTTTTATAGCTCGCCCATAATATTGAAAATGACACTGACACTGACACTCGAAATTCATGGAAATAAAGTCATTAACTTCAAACGGCCAAACAAGCATCAAATGTACATGACTTGTCCAATAACGCGCATGTTCCAGCTACGCATTAGCAATAGTACGCCAAACACGTCATCCATCAATAAGATTTCCCTCCATTTCATTACGATTTCTCACTCTCTCCATGATATCATCCTTTGACTTTTGTGTAATAAGTTTTTGATCTTCCAGGCGGGTTATTCCTTGCTGAATGTGTTCGATGTGAACGGACAAAGGTATATCGGTTCTGTCACGTGAAAGTTCTGGTGCGGCTACCCTCTCTCGTAAATCCTCTAGACCAGAACCAATCTGTTGAAGCTTGATCAGAGTTCCCGAAACATGAGCTAAAGCAATCTTACGTCTGTCCCCAATATCTTTCAACAAATTGAGCTGGCCATTGAGTTTGTTGATCTTGCCTCGATGACCACCAAGCCATGCCCATAATTCCGATAAGGTCTCGTCCTTGCTAGCTTGTACTTGAACTCCATCTCTTACTGTGATTCCGTGGATAATCTCTAAACGATCTTCTAAATTATTTAGAACTAGCAATAGAGCTTGTGCTTCGACCACCAATCTAGCAATTTCTTCTTCCACAGCTCGAGTATGCTCCACATACTGATCAAGAATGAGTCTTTCAGAAAATTTGATAGGCTGGAACGGTGCAAGTAACTTGTCATTAACAAAGGCTCCGATCAAGCCACGAGAACTTTCGCGCTCCTGAATACCATCAAGAACCCGTGAGGTCCAACGCGTGATAGATATGACACTATCTACCGCTCTACCCACATGACTATTGAACTTTGTAAGGTCCCATGATGCAATCTTTGCTGTATCGATGAATCCATCGAATTCCAGAACGAGCTCGTTCCTAAAATTGAAAGTATTAGCATTCTGTTCTTGGAACGAAACTTATTTGGCGTTCCTTTAGGCTACAAGGCTTGTATTGAATGACTCGCTAGTTAGAGTCGTCGAGTGATTGCTTACCTTGACCTGAGTTGGCTATATCGTACAAGTTGACGTAGATCCCTAAGGAAACTCTCCCCACGTTTCATATCCAATGGTAGCGAGACTCCACCAGCGCTTTCCTTTAAAATGTCTTCAAACTGGGATTGAACCATCATCACTTGTTCAAACTCAACTGGCACTCTTGCTCTATTGACGGGACCGCCATTGTCGGTAGAACAAAATGGTAAGTTTAACAATGATGATCCTGGGAGAAAACAAATAGGAGATAATGATGCATAGATGGAACTTGTAATCAGGTTTCTAGCAGCTAGAGAAAATCCATAGAGTATGCATATAGCAAGTAAGTAAGATAGGGGCGTTCGCAAAAGTCTAAGTGCACCTTTCAGAATTTCTAGGATCCATGTAAAAGCCATAATTGTATGGTCGGAGAGAACAGTGATGATATCTTTGGCGTCAGAATTTGGTCGATGAGTTGTATTAAAATTGGTGGTGGAAGAGGCGAAAGGGGATTTATTATAAGATGGCTGCTTCCTTAATCGTATGTTTGGGATTTCATGACTGGTATCATGTCGCGAGTTTCTTCTCTTGGATTCCTGAAACCGCCTGGGACTTCTACCTGTGCTCTCACTTTGAGACCATGAAGCTTCTAAAGTTTCTGCGTCTAGAGGAGGCATCACAAACTCAGGATCCGGGGATCGGTTGTTACCTCTGGTAGATCTTCGTGGAGTAGAAATTATTGCTTGATGATCGTAATCTTCCTCGTTTGGTGGCAAATATTCATCTATTTCCTCGTCATGACCATCTACCACCCATGATTCACCAAGTTGTAAGTTTGGTTTCCCACCACGCATTGTGCAAGGGACGTTTGATATTTTAGGTTTGCTCTGGATCGTATCGTTTGCGACGATAGGTAATAATAATGAAAGAGATGCAAGTAAGGTTAAACTATGTTGGTAGCCGGGAGGATATAGTATGTAGCACAATAGCAAATACAACGTGGAACGACGAGAAGTTTATAGAATGTGATAAGGAATGATTTGGAAGAGCTGAATGTGGTAAAGATTCGTTTATATTGGAAATGGCAAAAGTAACTTCATTCAGTCTGATTCATAAGGTTACTCTGGGGATAAATAAATAAATAGATGATGATGTCTCATGATTTTGCTGTTGTCGACTTTCCCACCTATCGTAGCCCCTGCAAGATGTAAGATCTTATATATATCCTGGCTTCACGTAAAGCCACGTCCGGTGTTTGATGGTTCATGCATTATTGTGGCATTATGGTATATTGTGGCATTGTGACGCGTCAACTCGTGATTAACCCCACCAACCACAATTTCATCAAACTTCTCGGGAAGCTGTTTGAATATATGGAATTCGCAGGATTAAGATCTTGAGTCACAATTATCGTGATGGTCTCCTCTAGAGCCTTACGACTGTTCCAGAATGGATTGAATGTCAAATCGACCTCACAATGCTCTCGATATTGGGCCCCAAAGAAGTCCAGTAATGCAACAATTATCCTCACGCGTTCATGTGCATCCTGCGAAAGTCCATCGAAAGTCGCAAAACCTACCACAACCCTCCCAACCCCAGCAGCTGATCATCGGCAGCTAGGAATTGAACAAGAACTATTTACTACTTCTCCTTATAGTCCTGGCTCACCTCTATTTCTTCCTAAAGGTGCGCGCATGTTCAAAGCATTGACCGAATTTCTCAGTGCACAATATTCACATTTCGGTTTCGAAGAGGTCATAACACCTACAATATATAAAAAGTCATTATGGGAAAAGTCGGGACATTGGGAGAATTATGCCGAAGATATGTATTCAGTAATTGGTCGTGGTGCGTCAGGAGAAACAGTTGAGGGTCAAAAGGGAGAGAATGAAGAATATGGTTTGAAGCCAATGAATTGTCCGGGTCATTGTTTAATATTTGCATCAAAGCAAAGAAGCTATCGTGAGATGCCTATTAGATATACTGATTTCAGTCCATTGCACAGGAACGAGATATCTGGTGCGTTGAGCGGGTTAACTAGGGTACGAAGATTCCACCAAGATGATGGGCACATCTTTTGTCGACCTTCACAGATAAAAGAGGAGATCTCTAAAACATTGGAGTTTGTGAAAATGACGTACAGCACATTGGGACTTGGGATGAATTATAGATTGGTGTTGTCTACTCGACCAAGCGATCACTACATCGGAACAAAGGAAGAATGGGATAATGCTGAGAAAGCATTAAAGCAGTCATTGGATAACAGTGGTCGAGAATGGACGATGAATGAAGGGGATGGAGCTTTCTATGGACCAAAGATTGACATCATTTTGAAAGATTCTGATGGAAAAGAGCATCAAACTGCAACGATTCAACTTGATTTTCAGCTACCAAAACGTTTCGAGTTAGAATATCAAGCCCCCGCACCAGAGATTGAAGCAAAGGGAGAGATTACACATGACCCTATTCTGTTGGCTAAGCAAGGACCAGTGACGCCGGTTTTAATCCATCGAGCTATCCTAGGGTCTGTCGAAAGAATGATGGCACTTTTAATAGAACATTACAATGGCCGTTGGCCATTCTGGTTAAACCCTTCTAAAGTCACTATCCTTACGGTTAATGATTCTGAAGTAGTTGTAAAATACGCGAAAGTGGTCAAAAAACAACTAGCACATCATTCACATCACAACTTATTCCCAAGATCGCGTCACGCCGTTGAAATTCCAATTGAGCTAGATGATAGTCCACGATCGCTCAAAAAGAAGATATCCGAAGCAAAACGGAAACGTTACGGGGCAATAATCGTCATAGGCAACCAAAATGTTGATGACAAGACTGTCACAGTTGACTTATCAGGTATCCCAGAGAGCGAACACTTGAGCCCGGGAAAGGATATTCGGCAGATCTTGAGCCAAAATCACACATTTGAGGATGGCAAGACATGGGAAGAACGGTTAAAAACGTTGACTATTAATCCTTCGGGGCTTAGGAATGTGTTTTCATCACTGCTCCATCGGTATATGTAAGATATTAGAATTGTAAAATATCAAGAAATAATTGTAACCTGGATCTCTGTGAGAAACAAATCATAATGCTATGACCTCGATTACTGCATCCTTTTATGTCAAATTGTACCTGGTGAGGACCTAGTTAGTAATTACCTAGATGCCATTGGAAAAGATTTCTGCTGGAATAAGCAATAACTTTATGAGGTCCGAGCTCTCCCTCTTTGAGTTCTCATGAACTGCAACTTCAAGAACCTTACAGAAAGCAACCATAATCCAAGACTTCACAATAAAAATGCTTCACAATTTTTGATCAATCACTTACTACCAACAGCACTAACTAAAGTAAAATTTTACAAGATGTCTACCCCAGCAGCCAAACGTCGTCGAATTGAAGCTGCAAATACTCTTCAAAAACCCTTCCGTTCACCATTCAAGACACCATTCAAATCACCCCTCATTAAAGCCCCTCCAAACACTCGCGCTTCTACTGCCGCCTCAGCAGCCTCTATTCCTCTATCTTCCAAGATTTCAAGTTCTTATCCGGTCGTGAGCATTCCATCTCCAAATACAGTGACGCGCGTCAAGAAATCCTTCACATCACCGGTTTCCCCAGCGGTTCTTAATGCCGATCCAAATATTGCGCCGCTACTCAAAGAGCAAAGAGAATTGGAGAAACAACTGAAGGCAGTCAAGGAGGAATTAGACATGGCAGAACAGGCGAAGAAGATTGAGAGGGATAGTAAAACTAAAGATAAGGATGGAAATGGAGAGATTGATGGAGAGTTAATAGAACTGTGTGAGAAGTGGAAAGGAGCGAGTCGATTAGCAGCAGAAGAGTTATTTGGGAAAGTTAGAGATAGGGTTAATAGGTACGTCACTCTACACTTGAGGTTGTAGGGCTGTGCTGATAGGTTGCGATGGAGTAGGATGGGTGGACCAAGAGCTTGGAAGGAAATGCAAAAGAGACAACAGGAATATCAAAATAATTGGGATCAGGATGAAGTAAACAACAATAATAATGACGATTCTGATGACGATGATGAGGATGGTAAGGTCAAGGAGAAGCGAGATATTTATGCAGAGTATAGCATTGATCCTGAGACGGAGAATGAAAGAGCACAGAGAGCTCCGGGACTTGGTGATACTGGAGAGAATCCTGGAGAGGAAGATGTAAGTTTGTTTATGTTTGACTTGATCTACTACTGATACAGTACAGGAATTTACAATGGCAATGATGCTGAGAACATTAAATGTGGATTTGGCAGTAATTGGGTATGATAGGGAGCAACAAAGATGGATTGATTGAGTGATTGATGGCCGTTTCACATATTCACATGAGCAAATAGTTGTTGCTTAAAAAGACACACTCAAAATGTTATTAATGGTATCTGTAGGATCATTTTTTCTATGTAACATTGACTTGGTGTAGCTAAAGACTACCGCGAGTAGAGGGTAGAATTTTCCCTATTATGAATGGTTACTCATTCTTGGCTGAACAATTCTACAGGAGAATAGGGAGTAAACTACGAGTTTCAATTTGCGGAGAGGTCAGAAAAAAGGTGAATGAGATGAGATATTAGCCAGAGCAAAGCCCTCAGTAGTGTCGCTAGATATGTGTTGTCTTTAAGATAATATTAAAACATTATTCTTTTTTGATCGACTTTCGCAGTTTAATGGGTGTCTTCCACATTGAAAGTATGACAGAGATCAGAGTGCAATTTCACAAACTGTTATATATCATGGTTGATGAACACATGATACTCGAATTATTTATGGACGGTGGATGCTCAGACTGCGAGACTAATATAGTTTACTCGAGTATACTTAGAGCTACATGCAGTACAAAAAGAGGGAATTATATTGTTTTTAGCTTCATACATGGATGGATCTACATGTGAATGTATCATCTATTTTCCTCAAAATGCCTATCACGCACTTACCCCATTTCGGCCCACGCTTTGACATGTTAATCCATAACATGTACCTGATAGGGAATAAAGCAATAGGTAGGTACCTATGTAGCAAGACCACCCAAATTCTTCATCATCATTTCCATCAAGCGTTTAGCTCATCTTAATCTCGTTCCTGCAATGACACTCTCCATAGTGCTTGTAAGATTAGTTGTCATCATAACTTTCTCACTGCCGATGAGCCTCGCACTTCCCGTTTCCCCGTAAGATTCTCTCCATTCTTCCCCTCAATCTTTCTCTCCACCTCTCTAATCCTATTCTCCATCTCCCGTTCCTTTCTTCCTTTTTTAATCGTCCATCTAGCATCATCTCTCTCCATCTCCATCTCCCTCCTCACCTCCCCCCTCAACCCCTCTTCCACATCCCGTCTCACTTCCTCCCTAATATCCCTCTTCGCCTGCGCAACCAACACCCCCTCTTTCCTATTCCTTCCCATCTCCTCTCTAATTACCTTTTTCAACTCCTTTCTTACTTCTCTCCTAACTTATCTCTCCAACTCCATCCTCAACTCTCCTTTAATCTCCCGCGTAACTTCTTTCTTCAAATTCCGTATCCCTTCTCTATCCCTCCTAATCTCATTCTTCAACTCCATCCTAACTTCTTGTCTAACTTCCCATTCTAATTTCCTCTTTATCTCACTCTTTAACCCTCTATTTATATCCTGTAGAATTTCCTCTTCGATAATTCGTACATCTTCCTCACTATCTCTATCTCTCTCAAAATTTCGTAGTTTGATGTTCCTTCAAAGTTAGAGGATAAAATACTACACTGTGGAAAGCGCTGTATATATGTAGGTAGGTCAGGCTTATGTATCATTTCATGATGAAATAAAACTTGTTTTACGAGATGTGTCTTTTTAATCTTACATCTTGCGCCTTACATCTACCCGTAAGCTGGCATATTAGTACTGTGTCCTCGAATTCACGGGCGCGAATGAGAATGTTCACTATATTTAGGTGAATTGTGAGTTGTTGCAGCTGCTGGAGCCTACTGATTTTCTTCCTACATCTCTGACAGCCGCACGATTGGAATCCATATCACAAATGCTGATGAGACATTTAAAAATGCAGCTAGGTTGAGGCCTGGGAGAATCTTATACATCAAATACTGCAAGATCATACTGCCAGAAAACTCGCTTGTAATTTCAGATTAGCTACTATTCATCATCACCTTCTTCTTCAAACTCATCACCATCATCCACCTGACTATCCTCATCTTCATCATCTTCTCCTCGAATGAATGGCACAAATCTGAAATCAACAAAGCTAACACCACCACCTTCTACCTCAACCATAAATTGCAAACTCAAAACACCTTGCTCATCACCCCTTACACTAACTTTACTCGCTAATCTCATAGCCTCACCAGCAGCTTTTATCATATCAAAACGATAACTTTGAGACCATCTTTCTTTGACCGCGAAAGTTTCTAATAGCTCTCTCCCTTTAGAAAAATCGACACTAGCACTACCCAAATGACCAGTAGCGGATAAGCTGATAAAGGGTTTCGAAGGTAGAGCAAGAATATCAAGTCGATTTGGAGTTGTGGAACTCAATTCTTGAATGGCATCAAAAAGCCAACGAGCTTGCATAATGATTTTGACTTGCATCGAATTCCTTTGGAATGGTATTTCTTCAATGTCTTCTGGTTCATAAGTGTTGAGATTACAAGTTGTAGTAACCCCAGCTTCTTCAAGGATAATACTAAAAGGTGATCCTGTTCCGGCATAAGAAAAACGACATACACCGGCCATTCCCAAAGCTTGGTTGCTAAATGCATTTGGACGATTTGGACGGATATTACTATTGTAGCCTTCATTTTCGGGTTTGAAAAATCGTGAAGTGGCATCTGCTGCGCCAAAAATCTGTAGAGTTTCGAGCAAGGCGGAAAGCGATATTTGAAAGGCAGGTAAATCTTTCAAGGATGCATCTTCCTGATCCTCTTCGAGTTCTGCTTCCGGAAGAGTGCAATTGAAAGTAGTAAACAGAGCCTTGTCAAGAAATACGATTCCTAAAAAAAAAGTTACAAGGAGAACTACATCCATTGAACCCAGGGAAGCTAACCTTGCACTACTCTTGATTCTTCAACCGCGAACCGGATGCCTTGGGTACTAATCTGGACATGAACTTTAGGTGCGAATCGTATTGTATTGAGTAATTGAAAGAGCTGCCGAGCAGAACTGGAGACGGCTTTAAAGATTGGCACTACTGGCTTGTCATGAGCAGATGGTGTCGACATTGCGAAAATAAAGAAAAATAATAGACGGATGTAAAATGAAGAGGAAGTGGGATATTGAATCTGCGAGATCACTGATATGAGAATTGTATTAAATCCTTTTGCTTTTTCTATCATCCAGCTATTGTACAAAAATGTGGTAACGTAGTATGTTCGTTTCGATGATGGAGGGGTATCTTAAACATAAACTCCGACGGCGCAAATCATGTAAACCGAGCCGAACCTATTTAATATCAGTATATGTACGGAAAAGAGGAAATTTCGAATATAACATACGCAATGGCTGCTGAGGCAGGAAGTCCAAGTAAAGGCACAGTGAGAGCTGATCGATCTAAAGCGAATGATTAGTACAAGCTTGGTATTATGATATCGAGACGCATACTGAGTCCAAACAGTCCAGAAAGAAGAACTCCTATACACAATAATGAGAATCCCAAGGTGAATTGGCTATCTTTTCCAACGGTAGGGATGAAGGGATTGCCAACGGCACTTTCCCAAACTCCGTGTAATGAGGACTCCATAAGATGAGCTTGAGAGTGGTTATCGGCGGTAGGTAGTGTTGAATCGACTATGAAAAGTTTGATTGTTACTTAAGAGATTGGTTGAAGGATTGATTCTGAATTGAAGAAACTCGAGTGTTTTGTTATTGTTGTTGTCGTCGTTACTATGTACACTTGCAGCACTCGTACTTTGCATAAAGCTCCCTCCAACTCCAAGCTTACGACAAATCTGGCTTTACACCCTGGAATGGCTTAGCGTCGGAAAAAGCTCCACCGATACTAGCACGGTACACTAATGCACTTGGTGCCACTCACTAAGATGATGACATAATACAGGGAATCTCGATGTTCAACTTCTCCATGTTTCCACCTCCTCTTTCCCCTCATCCTCATTCCCAGTCCATTTACATCTCTCTCTCACTACATTCAGAAGCGACAATACACTTCAATTTACAGGACCAATTAAAACGGCAAGTAGCAACGATATTATTGAACTTTAATCATCTATCTATATCACATCCAATACTCAAAGTAAGTCAATCCTACACACATCAACGAAAATTGCTAACATGCCTCCCTCAAAAGAACTTTCCAAAGATCTAAAAATCAACTTGGGCGATCATCAATATATCGATAGTGCAAGACAATCTCTGAGATCAGAAACCCAAACACTTCAGAAAACAATTAATCAACTGTCAATTTCAACCCCGGAAGTTTCAACCCAAAGAGATACTGCACTTCAAGATACAACATCACAAGTTACTTCCAGTGAATTGACTACAGCCATGGGTGCAAATCCTCAAAATCCTCCAAAACGAAAGGCTACAGAAGAGCCACCTAGTACTCCTGTTGATTCTAAAAGGATGAAAATGAATGAAGCCGAATTGTCTGCCCATTTAAAGAAGATGAATACAGAACATCCTGCCAACATCAACATCATACCTTTCCCAGAAAAAGTGAGTCTCCTGGTGTAATTCCACATCATCTCTTTTTATCTAACAATAATTTAGCCGGCGGTAATTGAAGAGCGTGAGGGTGAAATCGAATTTCGAGTTGTCAACAATGACGATACGAATGCAAGCACTGTAATCCTCTCGGGACTGAAAGGTATTTTTCAAAAACAGTTGCCAAAGATGCCAAAGGAATACATTGCTCGTTTAGTCTATGATCGAAACCATTTATCTATTGCTTTGGTAAAAGTTTCACCACTGGAAGTAATAGGAGGAATTACATATCGACCATTTGATGATCGCGAGTTTGCGGAAATTGTCTTTTGTGCCATATCATCTGATCAACAGGTCAAAGGATATGGTGCACATCTCATGAACCATCTAAAAGACTACGTCAAGGCTTCCTCTAACGTCATGTACTTCCTCACCTACGCTGATAATTATGCCATTGGATACTTTAAGAAACAGGGATTCACTAAAGAAATCACTTTGGAGAAAAGTCGCTGGATGGGTTACATCAAAGATTATGAAGGTGGAACAATTATGCAATGCGAGATGCTCCCAAGAGTTCGTTACCTCGAACACTCTCGAATGATCTTGAAACAAAAGGAGGTAGTTAATGCAAAGATCCTCGCCTTCAGCAAATCAGACGAAGTTCACGCACCACCCAAACAATGGAAGAATGGCGTTTGCAAAATAGATCCAATGTCTATCCCAGCTATTCGTGCTTCTGGTTGGACACCTGCCATGGATGAATTAGCTCGTCAACCTCGTCATGGACCAAACTTCTCACAGCTACAAAGACTCCTGAGTTCTCTTCAGAATTATCATCAATCTTGGCCATTCATCTCACCTGTCAACATTAATGATGTAGCCGATTACTACGATGTAATTTTGAATCCGATGGACTTTCAAACCATGGAAACGAAGCTTGAACAGGATTTGTATGAAAAGCCGGAAGATTTTATCGCAGACGCAATGTTGATTTACACCAATTGTAAGAAATACAACAATGATTCGACTCCGTATGCAAAGTGTGCTACCAAAGTGGAGAAATATATGTGGAGTCTTATCAAAGAAATTCCTGAGTGGTCATACTTATTGGACAATTAGTCAATGGGTGTCGTTGGGTTTCAGGCGTACCCGGATATGGAATTAGGGGAAGATGGGGTTGGAAAAATGGGATGGAATTGTACAGCATGGAGTACTTGGCATGAATAGCGTTGAATAGAACGGAGAAGACGGACATGAGGACGGGGTGTAGAAGGGAAGAACGGAATAACGTAAAGTTTAAACTTGATGTTTTAGAAATGTCCAGTAGCGACATGGACATAAAAAGAATACAGTTCGTATCAAAAAGTAATCAATCTTTAAGTCCATAAAACCCTGAGCTTCCATTATATATGAATAGGGGATTTACATTCTAGAAAATTGATCGCACTACATAAAGAACGAAAATAACATCTTATAAAATCTATCGCACTCATGCATAAATACCTGGTAAGATTGAGTACCTATTGATGTACCTAGGTAGGTAACCATCATTCCCAAACCCCGAGCTAACTATCATAAAAGAGATGAGGTAATGTAAGGACTATAGTTCCATGTCTGCTAACCCGAGTAGTAATAGCGATAGAAATCACTAATCACTATCCTTTACTTATGTAAAGACTTACTAGAAACTTTTCTCCCTAGAAAAGGAATAGATAGAGCTACTAGGTACTCTTAGAATTTACACTCTACTCTTTATATTATCTTATCCAGTCCTGTCCTGTTCCCCAATAGAGTGCAAAGCCATAAAATTATACACTTGTGCATATATATATATAGCATTCATATATATATATCGCAGGCGGTGCATATCATGTTAATAGGTAGCCTTTAGTACTTTATCATATCTCCAGCTTGGTATGAATAACAGGCTCGAGTTGCTTCTTGGTGTCGTTATAAATTCTAAGAGAGTAAACTAAAAACTTGATGTGGGATGATTTTTGGTTGTAATTAGTTGTTTTGGAGGAGGAGGAGGAGTTGGATATTTGGGTTTGGTCATTTGGATATTTATATCCTTATACTTTGACCTTTATCAATTACAATTACAACTATAATAAAGAATCAACTTTCAAAACAGTCTAAGCATTCTCCTCGATAAATTCCTAAGTATCCGCGCAATTGTTTTAGAGGATATAGAAGTCACTAACTCCCAAATATCCGCAGATGCATCACGCAGGGAGTCTCTCCAGAGGCAGAGGGGCTGTCTCTCTAATCTATCTCTGTAGAGTATAGCACGTATTTAAATCGTATCTAGAAAGTTTAAGGAAGATGTTTTTATCTGCTCTTTTGATATCATTGATGTAATGATTGTGTAGCGTTGAGAAGGAGATTGTCGATTGTCGATTGATGGAATATCATGATTACAAATCTTAGCATAATTACCTATGTCTTGATCCTGAAGAAGTATACGTACGTAATCTTACTCATACAGTATGACCTGGCCCGGTAGTATATGCATACATGCATACACGCATGGAGACGGGAATTCGAATTCGAACTCGGGTTCGCGGGTAAGAAAATATTTTCTCGTTTGTTTCATCTCCAGCTCATGCAAGCAGATGGTGATATCGATATCCATATAGCTTTTTTTGAGTAATCTTACGTTTAGCCATGGCCAGATGTAAGATTACTAGTGAAGCCTAGAGGAGATAGATAGAAAAGTTAATAAGCTGTATAGATCCGGAACCGGAGTCAAGGGGAGAGATCAGGAGAATTGAGTGGTTAGCGAGAGAATATTAATTTGCTTTGAGGCTGGGATTTTGAAGTGGGAATTCGGTTTAGTGTAGTCGATATTTTGGCGGGGTTTTTTTTCTGGTGTATAGGTAGGTAGTAGGTAGTTAACTGGGAAGTTACAATATGTAATATGAAGGGATGGATGAGGAGGATTAGAAGGGGAAGAAGGGGAAGAAAAAAAGAAGGAAGGAGGGAGAGAATGAAGTTTGAGGTTTTTGGACACTTAATATATATGTGCGGGAGTTAACTGAGCTATTAAAAGTCTCTGAATATCTTGTTCGATTATTCGGGCGTACATACGCATACTCGATCTTAGTCAGCATATCAATTATCCAGATCCCCGAGAATTCTATTACTATCCACAGAGTAGAAAGGTTAAACAAGTAGACTTCGATATCTCGTTCGGATGAAGTATCTCATTATCAAGTCATCAAGTCATCAACTCATCAAGTCTGAGTTATCCATGAAGATTTAACTTATAATCAGGCCAGGTCAGGTTATCTTGAGTATCATAACAGCCTGTGTATATCTTAACATTTGAACATCTTACATAGAAATGAGATCAATCACAATTACAATCACAATTATAATCACAATCAACCCCACTTCAACATATATAAAATAATTTCCAGAGCAGAATATTAACTAGAGAAGATAAGAATCGATGCCGTGGTTCAATATGAAAGCTTTTTGTTCTCTTGGATGTAAGGTGTCCTGGATGTAAGGTGCGCTGTTTTCGTGAAACTGGTTTGCTGTGATGTGAGGTGATGGGATGTGAGGTGATGGGATGTGAGGTGATGGGATGTGAGGTGATGGGATGTGAGGTTATTTGATGGGATGTGATATTGTGTGTTAATGTAATATTTTTCCTTTGGGGAGGAGAAGAGAGGAGATAACATTCTAGTTTAGGATTAAATGATGATAATGATAATATTAAGAATAATAAATATTTTAATTCAGCTACTCAGCTCAGCTCAGCAAGCAGCTATATCCCTTCCTTTCTTTTTTCTTCGCTTTCTCTCTTCCTTCCTCTCTCCTCTATATTACCATCCCTCCTCTGTAAAGCTCTCCATCCCCATCCCCATACCCCAGCATCCCTCCCCACTTCCTCTCCCTCATCTGTTTAAAAAATCCCAATTATGATCCTTCTTTCCTCTCTTCCTTTCCCCCTTCATTCCTCTCCTTCCTACATAATGACTAAACCAAACTATACCGTACCACCCACCCATCCACCCACCCATCCAATCCGTATACCTACCCATCTACACAAATAAACCCCCCTCCTTCCTCCTCCTCCCTCCCTCCCTCCCTCCCTTTATCCTTTACCTCTCTTCATCCTATCCCTCCTATCCCTCCTATCCCTCCTATTCTATATCTATATCTATATCAACATCTATATCTATCTATATCTGTACCTATACCCTCCCTCATCGCATCACTTATACCTATACTTATTTCCACCTCATAT